ACAAATTTTACCATTTTCTCTATATTTGACTATGTTTTATTATATTAAGATATATGTGTATAAGTTTGAATTTTAAAGAGGGAAGTGTAATGTAATAAAAATGTATATTCTCAGAAGTATGTATATATCAAATATGTATATGCATATATATATATATATATATTAATAGATACAATGTTCTTATACAATCTGACAATGTATATTATGTAATATTTGTTGATACTGAATCCATTCATTCAATTTATTACGAGGAACAAATGTTTTGTTATAACTAGTAGCTTTTCTAAAATGATATAGACTCCAAATACTGGTACGTATATATAAATTACTATATAGCTTAGGAACTATTCATTTTTTATATATGATATGTGATGTGTACTTAACTTGAGTATTTTGAAATAGCAAATTTTGATTATTATAAATAATGTTACAACATAACATGAAATGAAAATAAAGCGGCAATCATTATTCTTTTGAAAAACTTAGGATTACATCTAGAGAGACAAATCAGTTCCCCAATCTTTAGAACCATTGATGATGGAACTCTTTTCTCCGAAGTTTGGAGTAAGATCTACCGAGTAATGGTCACGACGTCTTTCAATGGTTGAAATGAGATCTCTTGTGTAAATCTCCGGAATATGAGCATCGCCACGATTACGAACAAGGTCGAGTAACTCACGTAAAAATGAGATTGAAGGAGATGAAGAAGATTCTTCAACATCAACACTCATGGTCAAACAACCATGTTTGGAACTATAACGAATGTTCTCAAATGGCTGGACATCTGACTTGCGTAAAGGAAAATCAAAGGAACGAACACTAGTACGAGAGCTATCAAATGACATATCATCTAAACCAGCTTGCAAAAATTCGGAAATGTTTGAGTACCGATCAGGGTTGAAGAGGCTAGGTTGCTCCGGTTTCTTCTCTTTGCGTTTCATCTCCATGTCTACACTTTTGTGAACACAATTTTGTGGCTTTGAATTGAGAAAAACTCTTTCTTGTCTAAACCCTAGATTGTAGGACAATATATATTTTATCAGACAATAACTCAAACCCACTTTGCATTTATAGGCGATCTTTCATTTCTATATGGCCTGCTTTTGCAGTAGCACAAATGATGACCGAAAGACTTATGTCTTATCTATTAGTCACAAGATACGCTCTTAATTAAGCTTATCTAGGTATTTATGGTATAATATTTCTACGGTTTGACAAATACATTACATTATTCGACCAAAAAACAAGACAAATACATTACTGTCAAGAAACTAGAAAAAGTTATTTTCAAATTATAAGGAAACAAATTAGGCCCAATATCATCAAATTTGTTTCTTGAATGATATTTTTATGTGCGCTTTTATTGCTTTCATAAAGTTTGGTAAATCAAATGTACAGCAAATTAATAGTCAATAATGAGTTACATATTGTTAAAATGAGTCATAAAAATCAATAATGATACATGCATGTAATTATGTCACTGATGATGGAAAAAAATACAGAATTTTCTGAGGGAGAATTAGCTTAAAAGGATCTTTTCTAAGTTAAACTTTTTTTCCAGTACTCTGGTAAACTCATATTATACTCGTACATGTAAAAATGTTGATATTTTTTTTAAGTGCTAACACGTTTAAAAAGAGAAAATCTCTTCTAGGAGCGGCCTTTTAAGTGCTCATCTCAAGTTTTTTTTTGGCTTTTTATTATTCTAAAACAACATGATATTAAGAACAAAAATGATTACAAGTTTACAACACACAATAAGCCCATTAAAATAATGTTATAAGTTTATAATTTTTTTTATAAAAAAACTCATATATTCTGTTAAAAACTCACATTTTCATATTTTTCTTTCTTTGAAAAACCTAAATATTCTTCTTTTCTTATAATCGGCAAAACTGGTGTTATTTCTGGAAATAATGAACATATTAAGATTAAATAAACCCTATGTATAGAAGAAGAAAAACCCTATTTTAAGTGAATTATGTCGTTTCACTCTCGTTAAATAAACAAGATGAATACATGTGCAATACACAAGTTTAATTTCGAATAATATCTTTATTAACTTATTGTGTGAAGAATGTTTGAAATTCTTAAGAATATTATATACATTTTAAAAAACAGGATTAAATTACAAAAAATTGACGACAGTAACAAAAATATCTAAATCATCTTGAGATTACATCGCCAATTCGTCATAAATCCCCTATATTTCATATACATGGTTATGCAAATATGCACTACGTCTATTTTTTTTTTATAATCATCATATACTCATATAATATTAAAAATCAATAGAATTGTAGGAGCTTCTTTAATTTTTATTTTTTTACCCATCTTATTTTATTTTGAAATGCTTAATCTTAGTCCTACATTCAAACATTTTCCTTTTGATCATCCTCATTAATATATTTGTAGAACTTAAACACGAACTAGCTGAGGTTTATTGGTGCTCATTCTTGAGCGATGTAAAAGAAAAAAAAGAATGAAATCACCAATATCTATATATAAATATATGTATACATATATATGATTGAATTTCAGAAACGTAGCTACCTGCTTCTGACATTGCTTGAGCCATCTTCTTATCACCAATAACAAATCTCCATTCTTTACCACTCTCTCTTCCTCTTGGCAGTAAAACTCCCATAACCATAAACCATAACCCACACCATGTTATTTTCAGTAACATAAATTCGAGGAAATGTTTTGTCCATTATCGTTTGAACATGATGCTATGACGACCTATAAAATGATGATTAATTACTATTGTTTTAGCATTATTTTCTCATCATCAAAGTAATTTAATTGTTTCTTTTTGCACTTCTTAATACAACATGTAGATCATTGCCTGAGGTGAATTTTCGAAAGATTGTTAGTAAGATCTTACGTGGTTCGACATATAGCTAACACAACAAGAACAAAAATATAAATTCAAACATTTTTTGAAAATTACTTTCATTTCTGTTGGATAAACTTGCGTTCGTCGGTGGCAATTGTGATACTAAGAATCTATGACATAGACTAAATTAATGTTCTAAAAGAATGCATTCATCTTGCATTTGAGTTTTGAAAAGTCGGGTTTAAGATTCTATTGTGTTATAAAGGAGATCAAATTAAGAAAAGCCATTCAATTAGCAAGCTACCGAGTAGGTTAAGTTAACCAATCTTTATTGTAATACTCTAGATATCTTTTGAACAGAGAGCAACCAGTAATACAATGACCAGAAGGTATTAAATCATCACTAGCCCAAAAGTTTTCGATGCTTTTAACTTTTCTGAAAAACTCTTTGATACCAAGATTTGTCACTCGTGAGGAGGAAAGATATCAATTTTTTTTTTACATAAGACTTGCATAATTTCCATAACTATGTCGTAAGTAATGTTGATGTGTTGTAAATTTGAAAGGGTGGAACGTGTGATATAAGAAAGCGAGCTGATGTGTTAAGCTTTTGTAAGATTTACCGAGCCTTTATAAAATATATATATATAGGGTTTATTAAATGTTAATGTATTCGTTATTTTCAAAAACAACGTCAGTCTTCTTACTAAAATACACAATAACCTTTTATATATTTTATAAAACGATCTCTTCTAATTACTGTTAAACTATTTTAAACGTTTTATTATAAATATAGTACAATATATTTTTGATCAAGTTCTTGTGAGATTCACCGTATTTTTATTCAATATATAGGGTTTATTAAATGTTAATGTACTCATTACATTTTAAAACAATGTTAGTATTTTTTATAAAAATAGACGATAAAGTTTTCATAAATTTTAGGCAAAAAGATATTCTCTATAACTTTTTTAAATATTCAAAACGTTTCATTATAAATACAATATATTTTTGATCATTGACATAACTTAATTTTTTTTTTCCTAGATAAAGACATCTCACATTGTTTTATGCTCTTTGTTTAGAGGGTTTGATGCATACCGTATTTATATTGCGCACAGTTCATCTATATCACGCTATGGTACGTGCTTCATATTGTAATATATACATCAATATCCGGTCCTGAGACTTAAGTTTATGTCATGTGAGACAAACATATTATAAATACAAACTCTTATAGTCAAAATGAACTTATTACTATAGAATATCCTTGAAATATTTTTCATTTCTTCTTTAGTTGAAAGATCTGCAAAATAAAATCAGAAGAAGTTTGGTTGGCAAAGTTACACGCCTCAAATCATGGAGTTCACTTTTTTTTTATTTTTTGTTGCTAACGTAGCATTAGCTCGTGTTCAACTGGCTTTTGGACTGCATGCGAGGAGAATATACGTTGTTCCTAGCTACATAACTAGCGTTTATTCGGTACTATACTTATAGTCATTGTTTCCCAAAAATTCATAGTTTTTTCTTCTAAACATAGACGATAATTTTTCGGACATAATTTCTGGTAAACATAAAATCTACTTTTTGGAAATTTGAGTCAACACGATCTCTTCAAATTACTTTTTAAAATATCCAAAACGCTCCATCGTAAATGCTAGACTATTTTTGGATGATATGATGATTTTTATTTATAAGACTATATGCAGCGTACCATGTAAATATACATGAAACTCGAATAGGTTCGATCGATCATAAGTGAAACACTAACATCTTTAACAAAACAAAAAAGTATTGATTTATCGACAGGGTTGAAAATCAACACACATAACCTCCATAATCTTGGTAGATGAATATTCAACCATGATTTTTGAAAATTGCAGAAATGGTAGAAGATTCTTGATATATAGATGGGCAACAAGAAAAGAAAAAAAGAAAGGAATCAGACATTTAAAAACAAACTCAATCAAACACGCATTACATCTGAATAGAAGAAGAGATGCTACAGACAAAGGAACATTTAAAATGAAATAAACTAAAACGAAAGAGAGAGAGAAAAACATTCCTCATGATAGAGACAGAGATGTGATGGAGAGAGAGGTCTGTAATAGATACGAGACCTCAAAATGAAAAATAGATTACGCATAGGACTAAACGATACTCAAAGGGATAGAGATAAATCAATGCCCCATCCTTCAGCGTTCCCTTCTTTTGGCTGATTATCATCATCATCATCATCAATCTCCTCAATTTTGGCCTTCCCAATCTTTGAGATGAAATTCTCCTCGACCAAAACATTCTCTTCCGAAGGATTGGTGGTTAGAGGAGGATGAAAAGGAGGAACGTTCATAGGGATCATCGGGAGATTGCTGATGTTGGAAGGGCTGAGCTCAAATCCCCTTGAAGACGAAGAACCATTGGTGAAAGTGGTCCCGTTGAAGAAGCGAGTAGGAGTGATGCGAGGAACAACGGTCATGTTCATGTCCCCGAGTCCTCTAGGGAAAGATGAGCAAACGCTGCGTTTCATCAAAGGTTCAAGAGTGATCCCAAGATGGTTTTCGTTGGATAAAGCATCTTGTGAATACCCACCTAAGAGCAAGTGAGGCTTGTCCAGGTAAGGGGGCAAAAAGGCGAGTTCGGGGTAGGTTTCTTCCATCTCCTTCCGCTTCTTGTCCCACTGGCGCTCTTGCTTGTGCGCGTTCTGGTGACCACCTAGGGCTTGAGAGGTTGAGAACCCTTTGCTGCAAAACTGACAAGTGTAGATCTTATTGGACTTCGACGGGTACAACGTCATGATCTCTTTTCCTGTTCGGACAGCACCAGATCTGACACTAGGGTTCTCACTCGTCCTTTCAGACATAACCTCCTGCTCAGCAGGAGACCCTAGTCTCAAATTGGTGCTCTCCGTTGCCTTCTCCCTGGACTCTTCTTCCATGGCCAAAATAAGGCCTTGGAGCTTCTCGGTTTGGGTGGTGGAGGAGCTTGAAGAAGACATAACTGGGCTCGCCATGGAACAAATATTTTTTTTTTTTTTCTTTTTCGGATTGAGATGTGATCTTTAACTCTTTGTGCTAGATTCGGAGAAATGAGGACACTATTTATCGAGAAGATAACGTTAGTGTTAGTTAACTATTATGGTATAAAATCTCCAAAAGGGTAAAACTAATTAAAATCACAGCTACTACTATGAAAATCATATCTCAAAAGTTATGATTGTTTCTTTAACTATGTTGAGTTTACTCTTTTTGTCTAACAAAATGATTTTTTTTTGTTAAACTGTACTAATTTTTCTTTTCATGACAAAGTAGCAACTGTAACCAGGCAGGCTAAGACAAAGCTGTCTAAGTATAATGTTTATGCAAAGTTAGTTTTTCCATATATTACGTACATTTCACTTTGTATTTGCAATGACTATACATTTTCTACAAAATTAGTGAAGAATAAGATAATTCTTAAAATATGTTTGGTTTCTAACCATCTTAATTTTACTCTTTTTATTTAATAATTTTCATCTATTTTTATATAATTATGTATGTTATTTCTGTGAGTAAAAATATATTTAACTTTAAATTTTAATTTAAAATAAAATAAGAATTAAGAAGCCAACTAGTCAAAGTAGCATCTGTCACTCTTATGGAAGGATTGTGTTATTCTTCACTAAATTGAAAATATGTAATCATTGCAAATACAAAGAAATTGCAATGTAATATACGGAAAAACTAAACTTGGAAGATGTTTATAAGTTTCATAACAATTGTACTTAGGCAGCTGTCTTACCCTGTTTGACTGTTGCTTATGTGTCCTTAGATTAATTAGTAAAAAATGTGAGTTTCTTCTTTATTTAGTTTTCCGGTCATATTCAACTTTTACTTTCTATGTTCTGATTGGGAGAAATATACTCAAAAATAAATAAAAATTATAACAAAATGATGCATGGACTAGAAAGAATCCAGGAAAAAAAAAGTTTGAATATCTTTAGTGTTATTTATTTCTTAACTAGACTACATAACTATTTTTTAACAAAATAATTATATATACAGTTATGTAGTCCGATTTAAGAAAAAAATAACAGTAAATGTATTCAAACTCTTTATTTCCTGGATATAACTATTGGTAAAAAATATCTAAGATACATTTTATGATTACTGATTTATTACTACATAATGTTGTTTGTTCTTATCCTTTTTTCCACGAAGACAGAACAGCATTATGAAATCATTCCTTTCTGTGGGCAATACCAACATTTTAAGGAGAAAGTTTGCGTCCTGTTTAGGAAGAGATTTTCTAAAACTATCTCACACATCTTAGTACAGCTAAAAGTAAAGCTTACTCTTACGGTATGTCTAAAAGCTGTAAGCCTTGCTCCATATGTCCAATTTTATTTATCTTTTACTATTGTACACTTTTATTCATAAAACTACTATATAGTTATAATACTTTTGACATATTTTTAAAGCCATTCATTATTTATCTTTTATCTTTAGATATCTAGCAATTACATTGATTTTTTTTTTCCTATTTGCCTGACCTTATCTTTTTGTTTACCAAATATATGTACTTTTTGTGCAACTATGATTTCACATTTTTTTACAAAAAAAAAAAAAAAACTATGATTTCACATTTTCAAAATTGGAATGAAAACTCTAAAAGTAACGTGTGTGTGTGTATATTATCATAAAATTCATGTTTTGTATACATGAATGTATATATATATATTATATTACACATATGTATATGTATAAGATATGATTAAATTTTTCTAGAACTTCATGATACCAATAAATCATATTGTTTACCAAATGTTGTTTTTTGCAATATTTCATTATCTAAACTAATTTCTAACTACGAAAATTCATAAAATAGCACAAATCTGGACTTAAAGTTAAAATTTCTATCCTACTATAAGTTTATAAGTTTTCCACTTTTCAGGCCCAATATAACTTATTATTTGTAACTTGCAACAAATTAAACGGTTCAAATGGTAGACTAAAAAACAATAAAACTAAACAATAAACCAAGTCGAATAACATAAGAGATCTCCTAAAAGTATGGATGTCATTGGTTTTACTAACCTGAGTGACCCTATTAAAATTGTAGCATTTGTTTGATCATCGAATCAAAACAGCTCTCGGATCTTCAAACCATGCCTAGTGAATTACAATTAATCGAATCAAGTATGCACAACGACTCCTGATGAAGGATCTTCTATTTTTGGTGATCGCTTGTTGAATCTTCGGTCTTTCCTAACATTCTTTGTCGTTGGTCATCTTGAATTGGGGAGAATATGTTCTTCAAGTTTTTTTTTTGCGTTCTCCTCCCTTTTTCTTTACTTTAAAACTTTCTTATTTATAGGCAAATATCAAATCCTGATTTCTCTAACGATAGCCGTATCATAATCATAATTTCATACTATCAATAAATTTCATTTTTTTCGAGCGTTTTGAAGCCATTTAAAAAAGTAAAAATATATTACTGATATCTAAATTTGCTAAATTCAATCGATTTTCATTTACAATATTCTTCTCAAAAAACGAAAAAAATGAGATATGCCTAATATATAGAGGGTAAAGTGTTTTGACAAAAAAAAATTGAATATAATCCTGTTCAAAATATTTAACTTATAACATTCACTACTTTGTTGTGAACAAAAAACAGTTTTATTTTTTTAAGTTAGTTCGATTACACCTTAAATGAAGATTATCAAATTTTCCCTGTTTAGTAACTCATAAAGAAAAGAAAAAAATCAGAGAGAAAAAACAAAACCACAAACCTATTTGTGTCTCTATCTCTCTCGCTCTTAAGCCGAACGAGTTTCCCGCCAAACCTCATAAAACAGAGCAACCAAAACGATGAACCTCTTTATCTATCGGAAACAAAACTATCATTGCAAATGTTTAAAAAAACTATGCAAAGTTCACACTCCTAAGGAGGCTACGTAAGCTTCAAAACAGGAGTCTATACAAAAACAATAAACAGCTCTTAAAAAAAACAATTCAACAAAAAGAAGCTGCTCAATATATATATATATACATTTTAAAAAAAAACAAAAAAAAAAATTGACAAAAAATGGCATACGGATCCTACAACGATGATTCGAAGAGGAAAAGGAGCTACGTAATCATCTCCATCTCCTCTGCTGTTCTGATTTCTATGATTGTCGCCGTTACCGTCAGCGTCAATAAGAACGATAACGGAGGTAACGAAGAAATCACGACTTCTGTTAAAGCCATCAAGGATGTTTGCGCGCCAACGGATTACAAGAAGACTTGTGAAGATACTCTAAGGAAAGACGCAAAGAACATATCTGATCCTTTGGAGCTCGTGAAGACAGCGTTTAACGCAACGATGAAACAGATAAGTAACGTGGCGAAGAAGTCACAGACGATGATTGACCTACAAAAGGATCCAAGGACAAAGATGGCTTTAGATCAATGCAAGGAGCTAATGGATTACGCAATCGTCGAGCTAACTAAATCGTTTGATGAAATAGGGAGCTTCGAGCTTCACAAGATGGACGAGGCCTTGATCAAGCTAAAGATTTGGCTCAGCGCGACGATAAGCCACGAGCAAACATGTCTTGACGGGTTTCAAGGGACACAAGGGAATAATAACGCAGGTGAGACGATGAAGAAGGCATTGAAAACAGCGGTCCAGTTAACGCATAACGGGCTTGCAATGGTCAGCGAGATGTCGAATTCCTTGGGACAAATGCAGTTTCCTGAGCTGAATAGTCGTCGTTTGCTTTCTCAAGATCAGTTCCCTTCGTGGCTTGATGTGCGTGCGCGTAGCCTCTTGAACGTTCCATCGTCTGAGGCCAAACCAGATATGGTGGTGGCTCAGGACGGAAGCGGTCAGTACAAGACGATCAACGAGGCTTTGCAAAATGTCCCCAAGAAGAGGAACGCAACGTTCGTTGTTCACATCAAGGAAGGAATCTATAAAGAATATGTCCAAGTGAATAGAAGCATGCCGGATCTGGTTTTCATCGGCGATGGCCCTGACAAAACAGTTCTCTCCGGCGATAAAAGTTTCAAGGACGGTATTACAACCTACCGTACCGCCACCGTTGGTAATGATTTTTTAATGATATCGATCTCATATCTATTAGTAATGGACCTAACTTACACCAAAAAACTAGCTAGAGTGAGAGGCTTGCCACGCATTTATATATTGTCCATAAATCTTCTATATCATCAATGTAGGACAAATCATTCTAACAATTTTTTTTTCTTATTAAAAATTTGTATTTTTGAATTGAGTTTTAATGGTTGATTATTGCAGGAATCATTGGAGACCATTTCATTGCCAAGAACATGGGGTTCGAGAACACGGCTGGGGCCATAAAGCATCAAGCAGTTGCGATTAGGGTTTTATCGGATGAGTCTATATTCTACAACTGTAGATTCGATGGTTACCAAGACACTCTCTACGCACATTCTCACCGTCAGTTTTACCGCGACTGTACTATCTCCGGAACCATAGATTTTCTCTTTGGAGACGCAGCCGCGGTATTCCAAAACTGTACCTTATTGGTGAGGAAGCCACTACCAAACCAGGCATGTCCCATTACAGCACACGGACGTAAAGATCCGCGAGAATCCACAGGGTTTGTGCTTCAAGGGTGTAGAATTGCTGGAGAATCTGATTACTTGGCGGTCAAGGAAACTAGCAAAGCTTATCTTGGAAGGCCATGGAAAGAGTATTCAAAAACTATCATCATGAACACTTTTATCCCGGATTTTGTTCCGGCCCAAGGATGGCAGCCATGGCAAGGTAATTTTGGGCTTGACACGCTCTTCTACTCGGAGGTGCGGAACACTGGACCGGGTGCACCAGTCACGAACCGGGTTACTTGGCCAGGAATCAAGAAGTTGAGTGAAGAAGAAGTTCTTGAATTCACTCCATCTCGGTACATCCAAGGTGACGCTTGGATTCCGGGTAAAGGTGTTCCGTACACCCCAGGTCTTTTCACCGGAAACGGTTCAGGAACTGATACGGCTTCCTCCAATTCCACAACTACCGGTCCAAGCGAACCAGGCTCGGCAAATTTGACCGGTACTGTAGATAATACAGAAACTGGTTCCAGCTCTGGTATAACAGGGTTTGGTTTGATAGATTCTCCAGCCGCTGCACCAGGAGCCTCCATTAAACCCAATGGTTTAGGGTCACCTTCAGCTTCTCCATCAACAACTCCATCAGCTTCACCTTCAGCTTCACCATCGGCTTCTCCATCAACAACTCCATCAGCTTCACCATCAGCTTCACCATCAGCTTCACCATCAACTTCACCTTCGACTTCTCCATCGGCTTCATCTTCAGTCTCACCTTCTGCTTCCCCTTCGCTTTCACCTTCGGCTTCTCCGAAAAGTTCTGTTATGAGTGCGTCTAACTAGAGGTCGTGTGTGTATTTGTGCTGTCTACTCAAGAGAAGGATCAATATTTCGACAAACCTTATGGACTTTGTAAATGAAATGAGTATATATGATTAGATTTGTAAATTCAAGTTAAATCTTCCCGGTATATGTTAACTTCTTAGAAGTTAAATTAGTACTTCTTGTTTTTTGGTTAAAGGCGGATACGGTAGCGATTAAACATAAATTGTAAAATCACAAGATACACAAAGATTTGTGTTTTTGTTTTGTTTTTAGGGCTGGGCCAGATAGCTGATTTAGGCCCGAGATGCGTGTTGTTGACTTTACAGATCCAGCTTATAACTTGTGTAACTTGTAAGCGAGGATTCTTAAATTGCATGAAACACCTCAACCTTTGAATCCTTATAACTAAGCACCTTAAAGTCTTTTATTATACTATTAAGCCCTCTAGTTATTTCCGAACCCATATACCTTTCTTACATATTTGAGCCAAAACCCCTTAAGATCTAAATTTTTCTTCTTCTTGATTCTCATCTGACCAATGGCGGCTTCCTCGTCCTCTTCTTCCTCGTCCTCCTCCGACGTTTCCTCTGATTCTGCAGACTCTCATCGCCGCCGCAAGGATCGCCGTCGCCACCGTAGAAGCGACCGTGACAGGGACTCGCTCAAGGTACGGAAGAAGAGCAGGTCCAGCTCGAAACGACGCCGTAGACGCCAGCACCCCTCCGATTCCTCTGATTCTTCTTACTCCGATTCCTCCAGGTCCGTGAATTTCTTCAAGCAATGCTATCACCTATCTCCCGCCGAGAAATACGATTGAAAATCCTAATTTCATGTTTGGTGTTTTGAGTTTTTAATTGCTTTTTCGTTTCTGGATCGGAGCACCTGGTTTCAAGTTTTGATTTTGTTCGTCGATGTTTGGTTTTTTGGTTTGGTTTCATGGAAACTGGTTTGGGAATATAGTCAATAGAACTCTATAGGTTGATTCAAACAGAGACTAGAGAGCATAAAAAGTGTTATTTGCGATTTTGTTGCAGAGGTGAGAGCTCAGATAGTGAGGACGAGAGGTCACGAAGGCACAAGAAGCATGAAAAGCCAAAGAAGGTTGCTTATTTGCTCGATTCTTAATCATTTGATGTTCTCTATTAATGGTTGTCAGCTTTATAAGTAACCTTTCCGTTTGACAGGCCAAGGATAAGGAGCGAAGCAAGAGTCATCGTCATAAACGTCACAAGAACAGAGACAGAAAGGTAGGAGCTTTTTGTCTCATTACAATATTTGCTTAGATAAAACTATTCTTTTGCCTCGGATACAATAAAAGTTTCCATCAAGATGACGAGTTACTTATAATACTTCTTTTGCCTTTCTCTGTGGCCTCTTCGAACTTGGAGCTGGGGTTTGGTGACATGATCAACCGGGGACATTGTTGATTTTTTTTCTTTTTGGTCCTGGCAATGTGAGTCTTGTATAGAAAGGGGAAGGAGAAGGAAGCAGCGGGCCTGTTAAACTATCAAAGGTACTAAAGCGATATTCCCAAAAGATCTAAACTTTACGTTTCCTTGCCTTGAGTTTCACTGTTATTTTTCTTTTCTAATTCAGTTTTTGAGCCGCGACAAAGGCGATGGTGAGCGTAGAAGTGCTGTATCTGGGAAAAAAGTCAGTCGAGACTCTCTCTCTCTTCCTCTCAGTCTCTTAAGTTTTAATCTTACACTGTTTGTTGCTTACGTTCTTCTTCTGTGTTTGGTTACAGATTCTGCTGAAGGTTGACAAGTCCAAAGAGGACAAAGCTGCAGAGAGCAAGAGAAATGAATTGCTCAAGTTCTTGAATGCAAGTTTCGACTAGTTATTTGTTTGCTTTTTTTTGTCTCAATGAAAAAATCTCGCAACGAGAAAATGTAAGACAGTGATTCAGACTCGTTTTGTTTATCCAGAGAACCAATCTGTCATGGAATTGAGTTGATATTAAAGCATGTTGAATTTGTTTCTTTTGCATGTTTGGTCTTAAAACTTTTTTTGCCCACATTGTTCTTATTGGAAACCCGTGAAATTGTTACTGAAATTTATCGGTGCGTATATCAGACCAGTTACAGCTTCCAAGATCCACCATCCAATCTGGAACTTTTGAGCCAACTCCTTCATGAAGTTGTGTTCCATTTGTTGGAGTACATATAACTTGTAATGAGAAACCTTTGTGTATTCTAATTCCATTATGATTATGGAAATTACGTAGCATATCGATTCTGCAATAACATTTTCAGTCTCCAATTCTTCTTAGCCAATTACAGTCTTACGTTCAAATTAGGTTTGCAGCTGTATTAAAAGATTGTAAATTGATCTGTTATGTATTGTAATTTATCCTCACTTGGTCATTCAAGAAGTAGAGATTCTCCTTAATGGAGAATATGTTATTCTTCTGACTTTTAAACAATCTCAAACAGGCTTTTGTGGTACTAGTAAATTAAAAATGTATTAGGCAAAACATTTAAAAGTCGATTAAAACAGAAAAACAGGAAACTTGAAACAATGTCTGAAACAGGCAAAGAGGAAGCATAGTGTTCTCTAGCAAAACTTCGATTCTGAAGCCAATCATAACGAAACAACACAACTTCGGAAACAGCAGATATTTCTTAGACCTTGAATCCACGACTCTTTCGCCTTCCTCTAGCTTTCTCAAACTTCCTTCCCTTAGACCTAACATAGGGCTTAGTGTTACTGTGTGGCACACCAGGAGCAAGACCAAAGTGCTTCACTGCCTCACGCGAGTTCTTAGGTCCTCTAAGTAGAACCTGTCATAACACATTAACATTAGCATGCTTAAACTTCAAAATCCTAACAATCAGATAAAGATGCTTCATTTCATGTTACTCACCGTGTTCTGGCCCAATGGAGCTTTAAGGGCAAGCTGGTCAAAGGTTAAGCATTCTCCACCAGCTTTCTCAATCCTAGCCCTAGCCCTCTCTGTAAACCTCAAGGCAGTAACCTTCATGGCAGGAATCTCGTGAATTCTCAAATCATCGGTTATAGTTCCAACCAACACAGCAATCTTACCCTCCTGCAATTAAACAAAAACTTGTACCATTTCAGTAATCGTAACACCAAACGATCTAGAGAATAAAAAATCTAACCCTGCAAGTAAGATGATAGTGCCTAGGACACTTATTCTCTCATTTACAAACATGATAAGGCAATATCAAAACTCTAACTTTGCAAAACGAAAACAGAATTCGTAGAAATGAGATCATCTACGACAGGGGCGTATCAATCAATACATAGAGGACGAGAGAGAGTTTCCAAGAATCAAACCTTGCCCTTCATGAAAGTGACGAGCCGAGAGAGAGAAAGAGGAGCCTTGTTGACTTTGCTCATGAAAAGCCTCTTCAGTATCACAGCATTGAACTTGCTTCCAGATCTCCTTACCAAAAACCGGTAGAGCTGCCAAAATCATCAAAAACATGACCAAATCTCAATAAACCACTGTACCGAAAGATTCAGCTTACAAGTCATATAGAACCTCTAAAAGTTTTTACCTTGACGAGAAGCTTGAGGTAGACATCGTCGGACTTTGGAGCTGTCCTTTTGGTTTTCTTGCTCTTACCTCCTGCGATAAGATCGATACCCTGAAACAACGAGAAAACCCAAGAATCAACCTCGAAAGCAAGTTTCTCTAAATCAAAACTTCAAAATACAGAGAAACGGAAATCGCATAACAAGCTATCTCGCAAATCCATAAACTAATTAGAAATATGGACGCCGCAACTCGTAATCTACAAAACTAGATTCTAATATCGAAATGCATAAAGCAAATGGAACAATCATCCGCTAAAATCACCAGATCAAGTTCATCGTTAAAAACATAGGAAACTCAGAAACGGAGATCGAGCGAAGGAGATGAGGAAGTACCATGGCTTTGTGCTGTCGAGTGACTGCTAGGGAAGCAAGACGAAAATGATATTAGGGTTTATGAATTTATAGGAGCAAGCTCGCTCGCATTTTAGGTCTCAAAACTTCGTCTTTGCTTTAGGCTCTTTGGGCCCAAACTACAAGCCCAATTATTAAACATTCATCGGCCCGAGATATATGACGGAGAACTTTGTTTTCAATAAAGTCAATATAATTTGTCATTTTATGATTATTAAAAACAAATTGGAATGCTAAATGTATCAGCCAACAAGAAAAATAAAATAAAGCAGTCGATTAATTTGTCGACAATATGTATGTATAAACGTTCACGAAATGGCGTAATGAGAAATTAGATATTCATATCCTATATCTCAAAGGAATAGTATGTGTTTGACTAATTTTGAAACTCAAAGTTGTTTATGTATATGAGTTTCTCTATCTCACTTAATTATTCACAAGAGATTGAGGAAATTCAGGTCAATCCATAGCCTTGCCTTGGAAGGTTTCAGCAAACTCTCAATTTTCGCTGGATGTTCATTTGACTCTTTATTTTAAATCAGTTGGATCCCTTTGACATCAATGTAAGCATCATTAGATTAATAAGTTCTAAGAATAAAAATAATATGGATAGAGATTGTGGGTTGGTAAAGGTCTGGATGGTTTGCAAGTCAACTTATTAATTTTTTGTAAAGTTTTAAAAACATTAAACAGATAAATATGATACATTATAATAAAAAGAAACTCAATATTATTCATAAATTAAATAGAGAAATATATATACTCCATTTTTACTTAAAAACTAAAAACAAATCGTCAGGTGTGCAAGCTGCAAGTTGCATGATCAGTTTTTTGGCGGCGATAACGATAATGTCTTTGGCGAGAGGTTCCAATGCGTTCCGTGACAGTTTCTTCCAATCTACCATTAGCCTTAAGATTTTTGATGGACACCGAGCTATTGGTGCCTAATCACGATTGTTACTAGCGTGAATCTCGAGAATTCATTATAGACTGCGACCATGATTACGGTTCCGTCAAACAACATACCATAAGTTGCTGCAATGGATTAGTTCCCGCAAAATCCATTTTCCCCATTAAAATTATAAACTCTATTCACATACTAGAACAATATGTGTCAAGACCGCATATTTTCAGTTCCTAATTACACCCTTTATAGCAAATTCCGAACAATCTAATACGTGTTAAATGAGAGAAGTTTCATGAGTATATGAAGTGTGTATATCCTTGAGAAGATTTTGGGGTGTATATGCATTTCCTATAAATCAAAGATGATTTCTGAAATGCTTTTAAAGTTTTGGATTTCTTTTTCATTTTCCGCGTATTATAATCTTTCTTTCTTGGTTGTTCTTTTCTTATCTCTCTCTCTCTACCATTTGATCTTCTTTCCTCCTCTGAATTTTTTTAAGACAATAGAGATTTTTTCTGGGTTCGTTCTCATTGTTTGACCCTCCTCTTCTTCTCCACGGGAAATTTCAAAGGGACAATTTTTTTTTGATTTTTTTTTCTTTTTCCTTTTGGTGACTTCTCCGATCGGGTCTTTATTCGTTTTCATCGCCTGTTTTGGCGCAAACCCTTGTATCAATTCTGGATTCAGGTGACAAAATTGGGATCTGAAGAGAGAAGACGATGATGACGAGCATGGAAGGAATGGTGGATAAAGGAGTGCTGGATGATATTATAAGGAGATTGTTGGAAGGTAAAGGAGGGAAACAGGTTCAGCTTTCCGAGAGCGAGATTCGTCAACTCTGCTTTAACGCTCGTCAAATCTTCCTCTCTCAACCCAATCTCGTCGAGCTCCATGCCCCAATTCGTATCTGCGGTAATCTCTCTCTCACTCCCCATGATTTGAGATTGGTTGATTGACGATGAAATTGCCTAATTTGGGTGTGAAATTGCCTAATTTGGGTGTGAAATTGCGAATTTAGGGTTTCTCTGTGAATTTGAGCATCTGGGTATTGCAATTTCTAGTGTGTAGCTCTTGTCTTGACGTTTTCTTCGATTTTGGGGGATCTCAGGTGATATCCATGGCCAATATCAAGATCTTTTGAGGTTATTCGAATACGGAGGCTATCCTCCGTCAGCAAACTTTCTCTTCCTCGGCGATTACGTTGATAGAGGCAAGCAAAGTCTCGAGACCATATGTTTGCTTCTTGCTTACAAGATTCGTTACCCATCGAAGATTTACCTCTTGAGAGGTAACCACGAGGACGCTAAGATCAACAGGATTTACGGATTCTACGACGAGTGCAAACGGAGATTCAATGTACGCCTTTGGAAGGTATTTACTGATTGCTTCAACTGTTTGCCCGTAGCTGCACTCATTGACGACAAGATCTTATGCATGCACGGTGGGTTATCACCAGAATTGGACAACTTAAACCAGATTCGAGAGATTCAGAGGCCTACAGAGATTCCAGACAGCGGTCTTCTTTGTGATTTACTTTGGTCGGATCCTGATCAGAAGATTGAAGGGTGGGCTGATAGTGATCGAGGTATCTCTTGCACTTTTGGAGCCGATAAAGTCGCTGAGTTCTTGGATAAGAATGATCTTGACCTCATTTGCCGAGGCCATCAGGTAAAAACGTGAAACAAACGAACCTCCACGAGATCAATCTGTGAAAGTTGTTCTTGATTCAGATATGAACAATTGAAAGTTCCTCACCATATTTGACATGTTTTATGTTGCAGGTAGTGGAAGATGGGTACGAGTTTTTCGCAAAACGGAGATTAGTGACGATATTCTCAGCTCCAAACTATGGTGGGGAGTTTGACAATGCTGGTGCATTATTGAGCGTGGACGAGTCTCTTGTTTGCTCTTTCGAGATTATGAAACCTGCCCCAGCTTCTAGCAGCAGTCAGCCTCTCAAGAAGGTTCGTTTCTACCAAGAAAATATATAGATTCAGGGCTATCTTGTAACACGATTCTTCACCTAGAACAAACTGAATGAAAAACCTTATTTGACTCTTAACAACTATTGTTGTTCATATGTTTCTCTTTGTCAGGTACCGAAAATGGGGAAGTCTTGAAACTCGAGTCTTCTCTCTCAAGAATACGGTTCCACATCTCAAGCTAGTCTCAAGATTTAGACTTTCATTATAACTGTGTCTGTGTCATCAGTTATGGGTTGAAATGCAATGTAAGAACCCAAAGGGTCCTTGGTCATAAAAAAAAACTTCTGTAAAAAAAAAGTTGAGAAATCAAAAACACGTTTCGTTTTATGTGTATAGATGCAGAATGATCTTTCTTCTGAATCTGGAGATTTTGATCTCCTTTTCTTTCTTCTTTTGACCCTTTTAGTTTAAAGTTAGAATTTTTTCGTTGATATGTTTTATTGCTTATTTTTATTTTCTTGTTCTACAAACCTTTTTGCATATGAGCATATCATCAAGGCATCACATTTTCTTTGATTTTTGTTGGCTCCAATGTCCACTATGCATAGACAAACAATAAAACACAGAAAAACCAGAACAATATAGCTCATCGGATTGTGAGTGGGTTTCTGTTAAGTTTTATTGACAAAAGCAACGAATAATAATCACTTTTCCTGTAAATTATTCTTCTACTATAGAAGCATATGATTCATGAATCATCCTTCTTCCTTTGTTTTACTCATGAATAATCCTACTTGCAAGTAATTTAATCCTCCTTACGTTTATGAGTTGCCCTCGTCCCTGCAACAATTACCAAAAAAATTAGAAAAGAAAGAACTCAAGAAGCCATGACGCCACCCAAGATCCGGATTTAGTCATCTCCCGTGACTGCAAACGCAATGGCAAACATAACAACAAACGCAAAGGCAAACGCGATCGCCATCGCATCCCTAATTTCTCAGGACAGGAACATCTCTCTATGTGATAAACGGGCCAGGATTGTGAGTTCCATGGGACTTATAACTTGGCTCGCAAGCGAACACATGTAATATGCTGACCAATTTTTTTTTTTCAAAAGAGAGAAAAGGAAAATTGTGGCCGATCTCGAACGTAATAGAGAAAAGGAAAATTATCACCTCCTCAACAATGACAACAAAGAAAAATGTTAATCCTTAAACCCAATTCTATCTAAAATTTGGAAAATAGAAAAAGGAAAACTCTGCTCTATATAGCCAATTAGGGTTGTGGTCTATTAACAGTTATCACCATTAGTCTCTCACTTTTCCTCTCTCCCTCTCTGACATTCGGTCTCTAGTTCTTCAGTATTTGGTCTCTGTGTTGTTTTTCTCAAAAAACCAATGACTTTTCCAGATGATTTTCCACCACAAAGTACAAAAGATGTGAAGAGAAGAAGCAGGAAAAGAAGAATGGTAAAAAGGAAAGAACTTGAAGAACTGATTAGCCTCGCTACCAGAGCCGCTCATGTTGCAAGAGATAAAGGATTTCACACCGTCTCTCCTGAAGCCATACGATGCGTTGAAATTCTCAGACTTATGCGAAGCTTGCCTCTAACCCCTCGACTTATTACCAAAACTGACGCCTTTCGCTCTGTTCAATTCCTAGCCAAGAATGGTAACCCTATAATCCGCTCTGTGTCAAGATCCGTCGTCCTTCACTGGAAGGACATTCTTGCAAACAAAGTCAAGTAACCTTACGAGATTCTTAAAGGGTTGTGCTTGGAAAACGAGGACGAGGAATATTTCAACATCGATGGGAGAGTATAAAGTTAGTGTTTATTTCCAAAAAGGTCTAACAAAATTGTAACAATTTCTTATGAATCGCAGAGTCATATGTATTCTTCTTTTCTTTTTGTTGCCTAGTTCAAAGTTTATCATGGTTGCACATGAACCAAATTCATCTTACTAAAAGAGAGTAGCATGATTGAAGGCAGAATTGTATAATTGTACATCAAACTGACAATGATGGGATAAAAAGCGATGATTATTTAATATGGGGTCAAAAACATAAATAAGTAAAATTGTCCTTTGTTTCTCTCTGGTGCCTCAGCTTGTTTTTTTTCTTATGTATTTTGTTTTCGCTCTAACGTTTTCTGTATAAATAGACAAACATTATATCACAGTAATTCACGCATTTGTCAAAATCTCACTTGAGACAAGCCCTTTACGTAGTAAAGATTCGACTTTGATAACAGTCAATTCATGGCTTTTGCAACTACTGTTGTAAAATATCCTTCCATAAGCTTACTCAGCCTGTTCACTGGTGAAAAAGAAATCAACTTTGAACTATTCTTCTATTTATAGCTGCACTGTATGAATTCCCGTTCACGTTCCCTCCCAATCGTCTAGCGGCCTTATGAATCGCAGCTAGCCGCTGCTTCTGATTACGGTTATGCCATTGCCTGTACCACCTAAAGCAAGTGTTAGTACGCTGAGGTGTTCCTTAGAGGCTTACTTAGAGAGAAGAAAGGAAAAGCCAAACCTGATCAAGAACATTCCTGCTACAAGAAACGAAACTCCCAAAGAAATCTTCTGAATCGTTGTCATTACGCGAACCCATTGCAAAAGATCTTTAAAACATGATAAAGTCTCAGTCTTTGAAGCGGTCTTCTTTCGAGTCTCTCTCGACCATGATTCCACCACTGATTCTAGACTTGCTTTGCTTCCGTAACACGGTTCTTCTCTGGAATCATCATTTGTTTGAACGGAAAAACCAGCTGCTTCGCAGAATGCTGTGCCATTGGACTCCCAATTTGAAGCCTTTACGCAGATGATGTCGTCGTTGACTCCACAGGGGCCAATCATCTAAACACATAAAAAAACCATTAGATTCCAAATTCCTATGTCCTTGCATTTGTCTATCACAATCATCTAAACACCGATAAATTGTTCTTACCTGTGTAAGTGCATTACTAGCGAAGTATGCGTCTTTGCAAGCTTCAAAGACTTTGTTACAAAACGACGCACAAATTCGAGGAGGCCCTGGTTGAATTCCAACATTTGGATTACATATCGAACACTCCAGTAACTCGAACAAATGCAGGCAATCTTGACTAGCTTCTCCGTAAGTGGCCAAGTTTCTGACAGCTACGAAAGCAGAGTTTGTCTGAGCAGAAGAGCAACAAGTCCTTTTACGGAACACCCGGCACAGAGTTAGATCCTTGGATCCTCTGCCAACAGATTTTGGAGGCTTTCCTTCTGATTCATATGGCTGAAACCGCCCTCCTTTAGAAACGCATACTCCTTTCGAATCCGGTTTAACTGCACCTGAGAACATTGTTCTACAACCATTCTTAAGCAAATACAACCCCCAAAACCAAGCATTTCACTCAAATTGAACAAATTTTGTATTGCAACGAGTTCCATGAGTAGCCCAATCTCAAAATGGAGCTAGCAGAACACTGAGCCCACATGAACAACAACAAGCTGAGAAGGAACAAACGCAAAACTCAATTTTTAATCAACTTGGTTTGCTTGCATCGGACTAGTCAAGATGATCCAAACGAAAAAAGCAAAAAAGATTGAGACTTTGAGATATGAAATTCAATAGCCACTTTCTGAAATCTAACCAGCAGATCAAATGGAAATGTTAACAAGAAGAACCCTAAGATTTGATACTAACCGGACGAGAAGGAGATCAGGAGATGAAGAAACAGGATCGGACTCTGAATTAGGAACAACCTCTTCGTTAAACATCTTCCCATCTTTCTCAACTGAATCTAAGCTCGAAGCAACAGAGAAAGATGAATACGAGAGTAGTCGTGACTAAAAGTTCAACAAGTCTCTCCTGCGAGGAAGAAAAATACGGGCCGACCCGAATACCCGATTCTATACACTCCCGTCTAATTTGGTTTTAGAATAGAATCTCCCTTTTTATTGATTTAGCCTTTCTATCTCTCTGTCGCGGAATTTTGTTGTCGTAACTCTGGGAAATATTCAACCCCTTATATTATAGTATTATAGTAATACTCTAGTGGAAATTTTAAGAAATGAAATTGATGTAATCTACTTTTATTGCAATAGTCAAAGCTTATAACATTCGTTCTCTTTTGAACATTTTTTTTTGAAACATGGATTAAGCAAGGCTTTCATTGTGGCACCAATCCGTCTGATAAGCCAAAAAAAGGGACAATATTCCGAGTTATAACAACATGAAATTGATTTGGCTTCATTGATATTATTGAATGATCCTCAAAGCAGCTTGACGCCAGCTTCTCTGACAGAATCAACCACGGCCTTGACTTTACCATGATACCTCTGCTCTTTCTTCATGTGAATGGTAACAGCTGGAATATCTTTCATCAAGAGTCTTTCCCCGAGGATTTTACCTATCTTTGCAGCAGCAGCCACGTCTCGTGTGACACCCATTGTCTCCCTGAGTGCTTTCTCCTGTGAGCTCGCTGAGCAAGCCACCGTGGCCGTTGGTGAGTGGATGACTTGGGCGTGAACAAACTTGTTCGTGAAGTGCATTTTCAAGACGTAAGGTTTGAGGTAGTCAAAGAGACGTGGAGGTCTCACTGCCGGTGGAATCACCATCCTTCTCTCTCTATCTCTCTCTCTGAAAGTCTGCAAGTTTTAACAAAGTGTAAACCCTTTAAAGAGAGAGAATCTAATAAACATTTACAGGCATGTGAAAGAACTAAGAAGAAAACTCTAATTTAGCTAATGAACAACGGTCCATGAAATTAAACCTGGAAGTCGTAGATGATGCAATCATGCAAGCAAAGAGTATCACGAAATTGCATTATAGTGAAGTGGAATGCAGCAAAATTAACATAAGCAGAGGCATGTTAATATCACACTATATCTAGAAATTAACCATCCCATGTTTAAGCTAAATCTTCACGTATATATCGTATCAGACAAAAGACTATGTGTGATGTGACACCTCCTGGTTATATAAATCCCCATTGCTTCTTATACCAAAACCAAACCTAGACAAAAATTCAAGTTCCTACGTCTTTGCTCTCCAACGATAACCAAACGAACAACATTTTACTTCTTCAAGACATTTCATCAAACAGTTGGTGTGTATCAGTTTGTGACTAAACCATAATCATAAACAATAGTCCAAACACACATGTTTACGGAGTTACCCAAACCTGAAAAGTTGCCATTCCTTTTAACTGGATCAATCAGTACAACATTGCCCATGTAACAACCATAACAGAGAAAATTGAACAATCAAAACCAATCACATATTTAGTGCCTCCCCAAACTGCATTCTTGAATTACTTGACATTTATGATGAGATCGATAGCAAATAAACAACGTTCCAAAACGAAAATATAACAAAGATGAATTCATTTCCTTTACTACTCATCCATCAAAGTTAAATGGAGGAACCAGTTTTCATTTGAAATTCTAATTCAAAGACGGGATCGAAATGTGGCCCAAAAGTAAGTCTACACGGAGCTTCAAATGGAGAATTTTCACCAGATGCCCAGCAAAAAATATTGAATTTTGATCAAAACGAAACTTAAATCCAGTAAGAAATTGGTTCCAGATTCTCAAGGTGAAAGCTCGATAATCCTAGAAAACTAATCAACCGTAAGAACTGCCAAGAAGACTGGCAATGTTCCAGCTATTCAACCAATGTTTCGCGTACCTCGACGGAGTCCGGCGAAGTAGAGATTGAACAAAACGACGACGAGGATGACGGAAACAGGTGAAAAAAACCCTAGACGAGAAATTGGGTTTTGATCAACAAAATGAAAAGTGAGCCCATTTTTGGCCCACTTCATAATTTTTTTTTTTTTTTTATAAAAGTATATAACAATTCGGTTCGTTACATGTGCAGTGTGACATTCCGATTTTTTAAATATATAATATATGTCGTTTTAAACACAGGAAAACAAAATTGTACCCTCCAGTGTTTTTTTCCCGTCTCCACAAGTACATGACAATATTAACTTACGCAATCTACGTACATATGAAGTATTTACGAAAAAAAAAATATATATATATATAAATATATGCGAATTTTCGTTTATTTTCACTTTATTTTTGTAATTATTAAACTGTTACTGAGAAAAGAGACAGAAGTAAGAAAAAAATGAGACAGAAGTGAGAGTTAATGGCAGTGAGTGAAAGAGAGAAAGTCCCCCGCTTTCTTAGGCAACTTTGCCTCAACCACCTTTCTTCTTTTTACCCTACACACATGCATACATTTTTTATAACAATGACGTAAGCAAATCATTTTTAAATCCCTTTTTTTATCAGTACATTCTGTTAACATTTTCTCCACAAATATAAATCAAGGTTACTGAATGTATATTTAAGGGAGAGAATAAAACAGATTTTGTCTGTCAGAGTTAACAACAGTCTTGAAACTTTAATATTCCGATATCCATTATCCATAATATAAAGTAAAATAGTTCCCCTTCTAACAGATAGTTCTATACTTCTATTAAAACCTCATCAGTTATTCGGGTTCGGGAGAGAGATAAACAAAAGAGGCTGTTTTTCACAGTTTCAATCCTCTCCACGGAAATTCATTTGGGGTCAAGAATCTATATATCTCTAACTTTTACCAAGTCTAGTGTTATCTAATAAAAAAAAGTCTTGTTGAATGACTTATATTTTAGAAACAACTTAATATGGTCATATGAGTATATTGTTGCATTCGATAACACATGATTAAAATGCCCATACCACACCAAAAAAAAAAAAAACTACAACTATCAATGTATAATTCAAATAGTTCTTTTATATCCACGATACATATGCATAAAGTAGTCCAATAGATATGAACTCGGAACGTGTATGTGTACATTCTCTTCTCACCGTGGACAGCTGCCTATTGGGGGAGGGGGAGACACACGTGTTGGAGGAGTAGAACACGTGCGAAAATATGATCAACATGTACCGATAGATCTCATTTGTGCTCGCACGTGCCCTGCTTCTCCAGCAAGTGTTACTCACCCATTACATTTCTCTCACATTAACTCCATAGATCCTCCATGGCCACGTATATTTATATATAGAGGGAGAGAGAGAGATCTGTGTGTGTAGAGGAAGAGGCTTAGAATAAAATATACAACTTAGAATGAGGAGGAGGCAAGAACTCCTGCTTGCTCATTTACGTACATATATAGTGGGCTTCAAGTGTTTGATAAAATGAGGCAAAATTCATATTAAAATAAATCCCCAAAACTAAGAAAATAAATGGGAGCAGAATTAAAGTGATTGAGTCTTGAAGTGGGATTTCTTTAAATGTGGATAAGAAGTAAAATGGCAATCATATCACAAAGTCTTTCCATTACTTTAAATGATCTTTTATTTTATCTCAGAGATGTATATACAACACGCATGCGTACATAGATACGTAAAACGAGACCTCACAGATACGTGAGATTTAGTTGGAAAATTCCCAACCCCTCACGACGTAATTTGAGTATAGAATAGTAAAATAGACCAACTTATTTTCGCTGGTAGAGATAATTAAAAAAATTGATTATATATTAACAGAATCGACCTTTGACCATGGGATGGCAGGAGGATATCAGATAATTGATTTTCAATGGACAAAAATTACAATTGGGTAGCTTGTAAGAATAGCGATAATATTTTGAGCATTATTAATAATGAAGTAGTTTAGTACGCAATGTATGTAATAGAGACAGACAGTAAAGATAGGTGACGAGCCTGGGTCAGTTTATGTCTACTTCCTGCCGCCGAATCCAAGTTCAAGCTTCACTGTTTTATCCCAATTTCTTACTTCATTGTGACGTCACACACTCACACATGTATATATACATCTCCTCGAAGAAAAATAACATATATGTATCAACCAAGCTGCTACGTACTAAACCAGGAGTTCAAAATAATAAGGGCGTTTCGTGTTTGGATATTTCATGCAGTTTTGCCAGCATTCATGATTAATGGATATTCAAAATATGTATTTGGTCCAGTACAATATATATCTACGCTCTAATTTCTTTCGGGGGTAATGTGAATGCCCTAAGGCCGCATGCCCGATCTTTCAAATGCGATACCTCATATGAGTACAACTCAAATTGATTAATCGGAGCAATTCTTTATAAAAAAAAAATTAGTGATATGGCATACTCACGTGAAACTACATCAACTAATGACTCTAGTTAACGCATATAAATTTTATCCAGCTAAACTAAAGGTTGTTTGGTCAACAAAAAAAATGTTCTTCATATTTTCATTTAATCCCATTACAGATAAAACATTTAACCAACACCGAAGTGGCATAGTAGTCCATGCTGAGTGATTGCATACGATAAAATTAAATATGAAAAATGCAACGAATTTACACATTCAATTCGTTCCTAAAACCGAAACCACTACACTAACATTTTTTCAAATAGATTAATAACTAATATGGATAATTCTATAAGTAATAGTGATAATTATGAAAATAGTCCCAAATTGATCTATCGCTGACTTTCTCAAATACGAAGCCGCATTACTTGATTTTAAACAAGAAATAAATGAAATAAAAGTGTCTTTAAAAAAAAGGAGAGGAGTAGGATGGTGAAGAGAAATGAAAGATGATGATGAAATGATGGAGACAGTAACTCAGAGAGGAGTGGGTTGCGTGTTCCTCGCGAGTTTCTTCCCCTTCTCTCTCTCTTCCTTTTTTTTTTACCCTCGTAGCAAAAAAGAAAAGAAAAAAAAAAAAAAAGATCCACCACCATAGATAGAGAGACAGAGACTTTGTGTATTGCAGAGTTCCAATGCAATTCTTCTCAGTTTTAATCATTTATTGTTCTTTTAATACGCCCATTATTAACTATCTAGTCCTATATTATAGTAAGATCGATACATATGTAGCTTTTATCTTCAATGGGATGCAATAATCTACGTTGTAAAAAGTAAGACTGTTTGACCCCCCTCCTTTTTTATGACTTTTGAAAATTTTATTTTCCTTTTATTTTAAAAGGAGTAAAAATAACTTTAATTAGTGTCACTTACCGTTCAAGGGGAAGCAGTGCAAGTTATTGGGGTAAGTTAAACAAAAATTCAGTTAAAGAAAAGCATATTTAAATTGGTCAATTTCATCATTGTTGCATGTATTAAAGCATTGGCATCGAATCTTAGATGATAGATTTTCATGATATGTGAAAAAGATATTTGTGAAATTAAAAGATTTTCATTTATGAAAAAGAAAAAGGGAAAAGTGGAGGATTCTGCAGTTCACTGTCACTTACTTCTGACGAAATTGAAGTGAATCGTTCCCCCATGTTTTATGGGTTTGGGTTTTCCCCCTCTGACGTCTTTGCTTTTAACACTCTCCCTCTCTCTCCTTTCAATAACTTTTTTTTTTAATTTAATTTTCTATACTCACACAACACCCAAATTTACAACTAATAACGTGGTTAGGGTACAATCCTTAACAAATTATCCGTAATAACTAATTTGAAAAATGATTCTGTTTACCAAATTCATTATCATTTTCCTAATGTTAATACTATAATTTCTCTTGATCATAGTATTTACATGAATAGTTGAATAGATTCTATTCGTTTTGTCCGTATAATGTTCATTCTTTGTTAAAGATTACACATCTCTATCCAGTATGTAAACCGCCGGTTTGATACATAACGTATTATCTCTGTCTTTTGATAGAAACCGGCGATTAGCTAAAAACCGCTGATCAGATAGTGAACAATAATCTAATTGGCTAGTTAATAGTTGACGTAGTGTGGTTGGGTAGAATATACTATCTATTTGAGTAATATTTTCTTCAAACATAATATAGTAGATAATTTATGTAGAGAAAAATATTGTGTACAGGAACATCTAAATATCCCTTCAACATAATTTAGGTCGTGGAAAGGATCTCAAATATCTGCGGTTGTTGACACAGAGTTAGTCGATGCATAGAGCTAGACTCAGTTTTACGGTAGAATTAAATGGTCAACATCCATTTTGATGATTAAATTAGCAATAATGATATGGTAAGAAATGTAGAGTATAGACACGACAATAAATGGCAGTTCAATTACAATATTGACTGGTAATAAATAGAACACGTCGTACCATTACCCATCAAACTCTTAAGATTATGAGATCAACATTATTTCGTTATAAAATATGAGATCAACATCTTTAACCAAAAAACATGAGATCAACATTATTAAAAAAAAAAAGGGGCTCTCGTGGTTTTGGTTGACTATCCGAATCCTCTTTTTTTGAACATTGATAAAATATGGCAACGTGCTTGAGATAACAATTACAAAAAGCAGCTGTTCCTAGAGTCTACCGTGAGATAATCTCTTCAAGGCCCAAAAAAATTATACGGCCCATATCATCATTATTCTTGGAATCAGGACAAGTCTTGTTCTGTTCTAAATAACTAAATGAGTGTTTGATAATCCATTTAATTAAAACAACTACATTTTAACTTTGTGCGTCCGTATAGGAATGTTTTATTTTTTATATCTAATATAAGTTGCATTTATTTATTTGTTTAGATATAATTTATTTTTGTTATTTATTTTTTTTAAATAAAAAATTATTATATAACTCTAATCAGCTCAATCATATTATTGTATAATATAAATATTTATTAATCTCAAATATTTGATATTTTAGACTGATTGTTTATGATAAAATACGATAAAATATTTATTTACTATGCATTTTTACAATATATTATTTAAATGTAAAATTTAATATTAAATATTTCTTATATTTAAGAAATTCTAAAATATTAAAATTATTATCTAAATTTTCGTAATAAAATTTAATTATAACTTCTTTTGAATTTTTTGAATTTAAATTAAATTGAATGCAAATTTTTGTAACTAAATTTAATTAAATTTTTAATAATTTGAAATTTAAATTAAAGATGATCTAGATTTAGAAAATCTGAAAATATTTAAATTAACAACTAATTTTTGAAAATTAAATATAAAAATAAAATAAAATAAAAATATTATAAAAAAAAACTTTATAAGTGTTTGGATACAAGCACTAAATATGCTTCATGAAACCTAGTCACAGATAATAACTAAGATAATAACTAAGTGTAAGGTTTAAGAATACGAATTTATTTTTCCTCCACCGTCAACGACGTTAGAAACTTTATTAGTCCAAATTGTATATACTTTCTCGTTGTACTATGATTAATCTTCATCAACTCGACAAAATTCTAAACGAATCATTCGCAATCTCCATTCGTTTATATCGAAAACACTGTCTGGGAAAACAGACTTCATAGAAAGCTCAAGAACCCAACAACAAAAGAAAGAGTATTACTTCAATCAAACTAAAAAGTATCTAAACAAAAAACAGAGATAATTGTAGAGAATCAAAACAAAACCAACAGGAAGAGAGGAACATAAAATTAATGGATTTAGTCTTCTTCCTCTGCTTCGTTCTCAGCGATGTTGAAGTACCTCAACTCATAGAGGTTACGGTCCTTGTTTGCTGCAATCACTCTTAGCCAATCCCTCACGTTATGCTTCTTCAGGTACTTCTTTGTCAAGTACTTGAGATATCTATACGTATCAAAACAGAGAAAAATTACACTTCAGAGATTACCTAAACTCATAATCAAACAATATCCTCGAGATTCAAACTTAACTAAGATCTTATCAGCAACACAAAACCAATGAACAAAAACCATTCTTACAAATTACATACAGACCAATTCTAGACACAAGTTAAACAAAATTGGACGATTTGGTTTAGTTTTGATTATACCTCTTGGAGAATTGGCCATCAGAAGTGACGGTAATCTTGTTCTTCTCACGAGTTATGGAGACAGAATCACCAAGAGCACCTGCTTTACCACCAACCTTAATCCTCTCCTGAAGAAACTTCTCTAAAGAAGCAATCTCCATGATCTTGTCATCAACAGGCTTCGAACAATCAATGGTGAAGGAAACTCCCTTCTTCTTCCCCTTTGGAGCTGCTGCACCTCCACGACTCATTTTCACCTCTGCAATCCAAAACAGATTGGCCATTGCTAATGTTAAACAATGAAACTCATACTAAAAAGACCTGTAAAATTCTATCTACATCTCAAGCCAGAATCGATTTTTCTATAGATGATAAAATCGAGCTAAAGTTCGTCAACTACATTTGCAGCAAAAAAACTAAACCAACTAGAGAAAATAAACTAATACCGATCCTTCTTTTCCTTGTGATTTTTTAATCTCAATGGATGAATCAAAGAGTTTCACACAACAACACAAATCAACTCTATGGAAGTTTGTTCAAGATATAAGTTACCTGTAGCTGCCGAGTAAAATTCTAGAGGATGGAACAATATAAGCGACGAACGGCGTGTTTTGATCTTGAAAGAGAGGAAGAAAATGCGTCTAGGGTTTTTAAGGCTTTTAAGGTGCTCTTGTTGTTCAGATTTTTTTTTTATTCTTTTTTCGATAATTTTGTGGAAGTAAATAACAGAAGTAACCCCGGTTCGTTTGTTTAATCGAAAAGACCCCATAACTTTAAGATTTGTTTCAGAAACTACAATATGTAATTCACTAAAAGAAATTTAATGGGCTGTAAGCCTGTCTTGTCCGACTTTTATCTAGCTGCTGAATGTTGAGGTGTTTATTTCGGGTATATCGAGAAGGAAAATAGCGGGTAATGATAATATCTGTATTACTCAAAGATTTTTCAAATAGAATATGGGATAGATTCTAAAATATGGATAACTAAAATCTTTGAGTAAGCGGCAACTTCAAAATGAATATTTAATGTAATCGTGGAACTTTCACTAACTTCAGAAAAGAAAAAAAAATCAAAAATTTTAAATATGTTGGAATAACTTAAAAAATTTGTAATAAACCAATGAGTAGTTAGGAATTATGGATAATCCGAATCTATTCGCTTCTTGTTGAAATGTAAATTTGGATCCAAACGAATAATTGTAGAAAATGTTTATTTCAGAATTTTTTTTTTTTTTTTCAGATGGGTTGAATGTTGAAATTCGGAAATAGAAACGAGATCCACCAAAAAAATTGGTCGTGTCTTTTCATAGGTGAAACATTGTACTTGATGTTCGATTATCATGTGAGAAGGAGGAGATCTTTCAAAAATTGATTTCTATGATTCTAATGAGATAATTAATATCAGTTATTTTAAACCATCATAGGAAATGTGCAAAATTGTAAGATTGATTCGAAATATTGTATGAAATAATATCATTTCTGTCCCGCTGTAAGATTGCAAGTTCTATGTATGTATCCATTTCTGATTTGAGATATCTGACAATGTTTTCTATCATCTTTGTATGTATTATTAACCTTTCGATTTAGCTTTGCAAGCATTTGGATAATTAAAAATAGGTAAAATTATACTCTTCCGTTTCACAAAAAGTGCCGTTCTGACATTTTTCACATAAATTAAGAAATAAAATAAAATGTTTCTTATACTCTTATTAATTTGCAGAAAATGACTTTTGGAATCATATTTATAATTAATTTTCTGAATTTATTGAGGTTAAAAATAATATTTTATGTCAACAATTACATTAAAATTATAAAACAACATTCTTTTTGAAAAAAAAAAAATGTCAGAACGATACTCTTTATGAAACAGAGGTATGTAAAACGATACTCTTTATGAAACGGAGAGAGTATGTTTTTTATTAACGAAATGATGAGGAGGATTTACAGCGGAAGATGCTCGTCCATTGTGTGATTTAATATCACCAAAGAAAGTATTTTTAAAATGTCCGTCTGATCGACAGTACGAAACAATAATTTTATTTTAATAATAGATAAAATTGAACTAAATATTGTAGGGCTTTACCCCGAAGGGAGCCCTTCCAGAAATTCTCTAAGGCCCAAGACAAGCTTAGGCCCAGGAGGGGGTTTGGAAATAGTTTTCAACCAGCAATAGACGCGCCTCGGTTAGTACCTCATTAGCTGCGTCATTGCCCCAAGCGCAAAGATGAGTTTTAGTGAAGGAAAGCCTCTTTATTTTATATCCAAACAAATCCGACCAACTTGCTATATACTTCCGATGTGGGATAATTGAATCAGAATGGTGTTTCAATTTTTTTTCTTAATACAGTCGATTTACTTACGAAATAAATTTTGCCCAGAAAACATTTTATTAGCATTCCGTGACAGAAACATAAAAGTTAAATAATTATTAAGTTTCTTTATTAGCATTCCGTGACAGAAACATAAAAGATTAAAAACTGTAGAATGGTAGGGACCGCGCGAACGCAGGCCCCCTCTGCCACAAATAATGACGTAGGCTCTTCCACTTGGGAAGACCTTAAGCTAAGCACCCTTCCGATATGTGCAATGGAAGTCACTAGCCTAGGCCACTCGTCTTCTTGATCACGAGTTGACCCCGTCCAGGTAAGTGATTTGCTCGTTGTCTTCTCTTCTTCTCTTATACTCTGCTTCCTCACCCATTCTTTTCACGTGTACCCGATGTGGGATATTTTTAATACTTTCATGGGCCAGACGTTACAGGCCCAGTTAAGTGTTTGGTGTATTAGCTAGTTGACGTTGCATAAAAGTTGGTGGAATATGTTAAACGAAGACTTTTTAAGAGTTCGAAAAGAGAATGAACCTAGAACACAGTTCTTTACAAAGAGAAAATAGGGTATTGAATTGAATCTAATTCGTGTTTTTACTTGCATTGACAATATCCGACGAGGGACACACTAATAATCTGAATTTGGGATACGAGATATAATCAGGATTCAAGCTAAAAAACAAAATGACCAGTCTCAGAAACCCAAAACATTAGTAAAAATTTATTTCATATAAATTCTGTACGTATCTCTTACAATTTCGCATCCCGTATTGTGCAACCAATCTGCTGAGTCGTAGGGCTTATATAACCCATAATAAATCCTTTCCAAATAACAATTTCAGAAACATAAAATTTTCACGAGCTATATAATATGCCTACAATAACAGAATAGGCATCAGCCATGATTAAGAGCACTAGTCTTTATTCAAGTTTTCAGGCTTCAGAAACTTCGGGTAGCGATCAGTGGCTCCAGTTTTGTGATCATAGTACTCCACTGCGGCTGCTCCAGCTAGAGCGGCTAATGTCAGCGCCTGAGCGTGTAGCCTGAGAATATAATGGTGAGGAAGTATTGAAGATCAGCATCATCATGCATAGTAAAGGTCAAAAAAAGAAAACAATCCAAGAAGAATTAAAAAGACACCCACTAATATGATCGTGCATTATATGATACATCCAACACCCTATTTTTTTCTAAGATATGGATCCAAGTAAACAACACACGCATACGGAGATGTTGTCAGAACGAGCATTCTACATTTAAGTGGTGAAGAAATGAAGAAACAACGAGAACAAGCCATTTATGGAGAATCTAAAGCCCACACACAAAGATATAGAGTAACCATAACAGAAGCTCATGCTTCCTCAAGCATACATCGAAATAGTTTGCTATTATGCAAAAAGATCTTTAATGCCATCCCTAATTTGATGTCTTACACGAGAATACATTACTAATTTACTTAGCTGCACCATTATAAGGAGATTAAAAATCAGGTTCTTCAAATGAATAATGCAACTTTGACATCTTCTATCATCTAACCAAACCCAAAATTAAAAGAAAAATGTAGGAAAATGTCGATTAGAGAATTTACCTAGCGTGGATGATTCTGACACTGGTCTTCATACCAGGTTTTGACCAGTTATAGGCGATTGAACCAGAGATGCCACTAAGCCATAAACAACCTATGAAGAGTCGAATTAAGACAAAAAAAAGGAGTATGTATATCAGAACAAATACAAACATATTCTTAATCTCGAATGTTAGCAAACCGCCGAGACGAATAATATCATAAGCATATGAGCAACAAAAGTGTGAAGCAAAGAGGAAATTTGATTTTGGGGAAGAAAAACCCTAAAGTGGTCAAAAATTGAGATAACCCAGAATCCAAAATTCGGATATGTTCAGATAAAAAAGACATAACCCAGATCTATAATAACGATGAAGCAACGCGAATAATCTCAGGAAACGTATTCTTTTATTAATCCACCAAAACGAAGAAAATTTGATATCGAGGATGACCAGAACGGAATAAAAAAAGGAGAGTGATTATTACCAACGGTACGAAGCTTGTGGTCTATGATCCATTCCCTGATTTCTGCAAATTTTTTCTGTGATTCCGCCATTTGTTGAAAACAAAACCGGAAGGAGAAGGGGAAAAATAAGAGTTTGGAGAGAATAAAAAGTGCGTTTGGCGGTGCTGGTGGTTTTAAAGCGACCAAGGCGGAAAAATCAAAGGAAGAGAAAGCCAATTTGCTAACTTGCGCCAAAATTCGCGAGTCACATAGGTGTTTTTATATACTGTAATAACCCATTCTCTTTTATTAACCCATACATACTGTATATAGAATAATTTCCCTCTATAAAAAATGTTTAGTTACCGCAAATTCTGCGAAATGGATACAACAGAATCCCAAAAAAAAAAAGATTGTTTAAAGAAAAGAAAAGAAAAAACTGGTATACACTTGGCTGACTGTTGGTCAACACAAGAATCATTTTTCAAAAGTCAAAACCATTGTTCTTCATACCAAGGGCGGAGGTGAAACCGTCAAACGCTGTACAAATCTACGGAAGTTTCTTTTCCTTAGTTAGATATTGCGGAACCATTTGAAACATTTGGCATTGAGTTGCCAGATCCACCAATTCGTTAAATAAATAGTGAATCATTTTAATAAAAGCCAACAAGAAACTGCTTAATTAGAGCCAAATTAATTCATTCATCCAAAGCGGATATACACATTGATTTCGATTTCATGTTTTTTTTTTGGATTTGAGTTTTGAATTCAATTCATGTCCTCAGATTATAATTTTAGACCCTAAATTATTATAAACTTTGATAATCTTTAACGTGAAATCTTAATTAGCTAGTCTCATGTTGCGACGAACAAACCGTTTCCATAGTTATTGAAATTAAAACAGTTAAAACGTTGAGGAACAGATAAAAAAAATAAACATCCAAGTTACTAAACCTTAATTTCAGAATCTCAGATCATCATCGGATTAAAGAAAAGAAAGAAACAGTACAAGTCTGTCCTCTTCTCCTGGTTTTGAAGCCTTCCTTCTCTACCCAAATGTTGAAATGAGGAAGTTTTTGTATATGCTCATAAACTTGGCCACAAATGCTGCAGTGTAACACCAACAACAATAATAGTTAGTACCCATGAAAATGTAAGAAGACGATTTTTGAATGTAACCTATATGAGCCAAATGCAACGACTTAAGGGTTTATATACCTTCTATGTGAAATATGGCTTTCTGACCTAATCTCATCCGATGTTCCTGCATTCACGGCCAATGACATATCATCAAGAAAGCCATCAAATCAAAAGACATAATGAGAGAATACATATTTTGAGATAATGGTAAGGAGAAATAAAATCATCAGGCTGTACACAAAAAAATCTTACGTAATATGCGGCCCAGTGGCAGACTTCAAGCTTTAGCTCCGAGTCCAGTTTCTTCAGCAATTCATGAAGAAGTCTCTGGAAAATGTATAAACTATGAGTAAAAAAGGAAAGCGAAAAGGACGCAAATCAATTAATTGCAAATAGAATTGGATTTTGTTTGAAACCTTCATTATGACTTCTGGTGGAATGCAATTAACTAGCAACTCGTATACCTTCCCACGCACCTGAAACAAACTGAAGAAACACACCAGAGATGATTAAATCACGAATTGTTTAAATTTTATAAATTGTAAAGCTAAATGATTTACTAAAGTCTGACCTTTTAGGGCTCTGTTCCCTCATCATGTCAGTTGCTATTTCAGCAACATACTCTTCCCAATCCATGGGAGATATCACTTGGTTATCTGTGAACGGATAGCTACAAAGAAAATATGTTAAGTATTTTTCAAAACATGAAACAACAAAAAGAATCAATCAAACTCATTAATTGTCTGCATAGATACCGTTAAGGATGCTTACTTTTGGACACGACAAGTCTCAAGTGACAAAATAGCTCTTCTAAGGCTGCGATTAGATTTCTCGGCAATACGAGCAGCGAAACCCTGGGGTAGTTGCAGACTTTCTTTCTTTGCAATGAACTCCAACACTTTCACTATCTGGAAACAGAAAGTTACATTTTCGTAAATAACAATGTTACATACATGTTTTGCAAGAAAATATACACAGGCCAAAATTAAGCTAACACAGAATCTTATGTCATCTTCCTGATAGCAACTACAGATTCTTTATTTTATATTTTCAAAACACAGGATCAAACTTGTGAATATGCAAGAATTGATTTCTATATCGAGTTGATGTAAAGGAATAACGAAATGTATTCGAGATATCCCCTACGATGAACACTTAAAAGAGAGTTTGGCTGGCTGATTATTTGAGCGATTAATTTACAAAACAGAGGAACAGCTTCTGTACCTCTTCCTTCGAAGGTGCATTTATACGCACATTGAGACAACGAGACTTAATGGCTTCTGTAACCTTTGAAGAACTGTTACAGCATAAGATGAGACGGCAAGAAGAGCTATATTTCTCCATTGTTCTCCGCAGAGAATGTTGTGCTTCTCGGGAGAGCTTGTCAACTTCATTTAGTACCAACACTGCCAATACCAAATAAAACACAAAATCATGCGTTTAGGCAAAAGCCATGTACTTTTCGCCTATATCATCCACCATCCAACATCAATATGTGAAAAGAGGTTGGGGCAGTGCATGGAGGCAAAACTTAGCCTAGAAACGATTTAAGAGACGAGAGATAAGTTGATAACCGAGAACATCGAACCATCTAAATATATAATGAACACATTCAGGTGAACATGAAGCCTTAAATCTAGAAATTGAGGCAAGCACTTATTTGACGATGAAAAAGAAATAAAAAATTATGTAATGAAGACCAAGTCAGGTCTCACTCTTCGTAGAACTACTATGAGCCCTAAACATCCAAAATGTCTCCATTAATGATAATGTAGTGAAATAGTCAGGCGGAACACTAATTCTTACCCTTATATCCCTTCTTCCCTTTAGTGTCAATTGGTCTGTTCTTAGCCATTTCTTTAATGATCTCTTGAACTATGTATCTGTCCTGAAAGCCTGCATCACTTGGAGTAAGTTCCACATGATTGGTGCTTGATAATATAGTAAGCTCCAGATCAAGAGTTCTACTCCCAGCCTGCATTTTTACAAGGTAATGATTAAAGGTAAAACATTTTACTAGAGCAACTACGAAGGACCCCAAGACTTCAGTTGGTCTAGCTTAGTACGTTTCATATACTAAAGACTAGAGCCAGCAAAACTGACAGTTATCACAATCTTTAAAAGAAGAATTGACTGAGAATGACCACTAGAAGAAATTGATAGCAAACACAACTCAAATCTCTCCGCTCACAAGTCCAAGAAGATACTGAAACACGATTTACTGAACCAAACAAGAGAATAAAACGAATTTGGATATCAAGCAGAGTGAAATTTAGAAGAAAAACGCAATTGAAACAAAAACCATGTGCAACTCACATCAATTTTCCATGCCCTGTTCTCCACTTTCACCTGCAAAATGAAAATTTAAGAAAAATAGCAATCAGAAGATGAACATCAACTTCAAGAGAAAATTACTTAACCACATCTCAACAAGCAAAAACAGGCAGTTTACTTTGCTCAACAGCATTAGGGTTCAAAGTCGTTATCTTTTGTTAATACCATTAAAAAAGAACTGGAAAGAAGGATACCTTCTCTGCACTGGCACCATAAATCTGCTTGAGAAGCGCCACGATTAGGGTTTTCTTACCCGAACCTGACGGCCCATAGAAGAGCAAATGCGGACAATCTTGCTCGGTAACCTACGGGGAGAATCAAAAATCAGCTCCTCAACTCATCAGAAAAACCCCCATAAACATCTAAAATATAAGAAATTGACCTAGGGCTCGAAGAAAAGGCATACCAATTTCTTGAGATTTTGGGCGATATCCTCATGAACGACGACCTTGTCCAGCGATTTCGGCCTGTACTTGTCGACCCACAACATGTTGCTCACCAACGGAGGGGTTTAAGGAAGACAATGAAAATGGCGGGAAAGAAGTGAATCGTCTTGCTCTTCCTCGGCAGCTTCTTTGTGATACGTCTTTAGCTCTTTCTTCGCTTACAACTCCCCGCGTCGATGGGAACCTAGCAAACCGAACCCTCTTGTTCTATTAGAGTCTTAGAGTAGTTCATATATAGAAATGGACAACTAGGCATATAGTAATACTGTAAATTGTAATTAAGTAATACCCAGCTTGCATACTATATACTTGATTTTTAAGGGATTAACTTTACATCTAGATTTACAATAACAAAGAAAATGTTAAATTTGAATAAGAAATTTAAATTGGATTTTAATCATCAACAATGGAATATTTTATAACTAAGGCTAATAAAAGATATACATATATATATCCTAACTATTACAACTTCGCATAGAGATATATACATATAGAGTTAAGGGTGTGTTATTTCACGATCTGCTTAGAGTTTCCAATAAATCTTGAATTTGTGAAAAACACCAGCGACCAAACCCCAGAAGAGAATCTCGGCGAAAATGACATACATAAGGACACCAACCCTTCTTGAATGCCAAACTCTGATAAAAACATGCTCCCGAATCCAATTTATCTGAACCAGGTATCATATTATTATAACACTGTTTAGTCAGTAACTTCAAATGGGTCATTAAGAAAACAAAAAAAAACCATTGTAAAGTAAGTAACAGTTTTTTTACCAGTGTATTGTGTGGATGGCGATAGTACCAACCGTTGAAGAAAGCAGCCAAAATGCCTTCAGCTCCCATCACGTAGACAAGCATTGCGTTCATGCCTATCCATTTTAGAGGCAGAAACATGTGCTTCCACTCCAATATATCCACCTACAAAAACCAAAGAAGGAAAGACAAATCTGTTTTGTGCAAAGTTTGTCGCCAATGAGAGTGGAACAAGAATTACCAGAGAATACAAGGCAGTGAAGACGAGCGCGGCTGCACCGGAGGTCACGCAGATGTAGCTGAAACTGTAGAGTTGTTTGTTCAAAGGCATCACTGCAAAGATTTTGAGCTTGTAATACATGCCAAAGAAACAAGAATGTTTTGAATTGGATCAAAGACAAGGTGTTACTCACAGTGGGTGAAATGTAGAGTGAGTCCGAGAGCGAGGAGAGCGAGACCCGTGGAGATCCAATGTTTCAGCCGAGCTGAATGCCCCTGAAAAGTTTGGTAATGTTGCGATGATCTTATTGTATAAGACAAAACGGTAATAATGTTGTAAGAGCTTGAGGCTTATGTTTGATCCAATAAGTTGACCTTAAAGTGTAAGATAATATGTCCAAAATGGACTCCTATGATTGTAGAGAGAATAGCGGATATGGAGCTGCATCAGACAAGTTTCTGAGTGTTATTAAACTTCTGAAAAAGAGGATGATGATGCTCGGTTAGTGACAAGATTAGACCTTAGGACTCCTTCGGGCTCAAACGGAGCATGGCACCAGGACGGTGCATCCTCGCGTAAAGATCCTTCATAGGGGGACTTATCGGTGCAAGCCTAAAACTCAAAAGAATACATAAGGATTGAGTCGATTGACACGAAACATAAAATCATTTCATCGACCCTTCCTTTTATGACATAAAACTCAGAAACGCTTAATGATTGACATAAAACATTTCGTAGTCTAAAAAATGCTATAATATGCTCAGTCTGTGGAAGCTAGCACAAAGGGAAACTAGGTACTGAACCTTGGATCGTCTCCACGCAGGATGGTGATACATGTGATTGATCCCCAAAACCTGTCTGTCAACATATCCAACAGCATTGCAAGAAGGGTTTAGCTTTCTTCTCACTCCACATGATACCTAGTAAAGAATTCACAGAATTTCTTATACTATCTGATCACAGACGTTTTCACAACACTTAGTAAATGGCCATAAAGTGCAACGTCGGAAGACTTACAGATTGAATTTTCCCATAGAGAATGCTATCTTTATCATAGACAACGAATTCCCAGTCAGGAACATAAGTTCCATAGATCGTTGCCAGATAAATCACAAGAACTGATGCACCCACAATCCTGTGAATGTGCAAGACTAATAAATAATCTGAAAAACTATTGATCTCGTTTTCATGAATTTATAATTCTGAATAACTCAAATGCAAGGTTTACCAGTGCCAATAATATAACTTGAATATTGAGAACCTCCCAGTTGACAAATCCTCCTCATGTGAGTCCTTTGTGAAGATTTCCACAATTGCTACGACCAAGTAGGATAAAGCTATTCTCTACATGAAAACAGAAATAAATTTCTGAAAACATTCTAGGCCGTGAGTATATATATACACAAAATGAATCTTGAGGCAGAGACAAAAACCTGGAGAATCCCACAAAACCTCATCATAGTCACATCAACACCATAGGCTAATTCGTCAGGAGCATGAGAGAAACCCCCTTCGCAGCCAAAGAAATGAAGAGTCAATTATCCATTACGAATAAGAACAACAACGATCGAGGCTACAAGGTTACAGGGATAAAGAACATTACCTTGTAGTAGAAGACCCCAGAAGAGGAGCTTGCAGGTCCTAAAACCCACCTTCTTACAAGCTTCGAATTTGTTCGAAATCCGCTGCAAATTATACATAATTTGCGTGCATGTTTGAGCCATGAGACAAGGAAATTGAAGGCAAAACAAGTGCGTAATTTGATTTCTATTCGACAGCTTTGGAATAATTTAGAGCATAAACGGAAATGGAGATGAGTGGCGAGAGAACCTTGAAGGCAAGCGCGACGGAGACGCCGACGATGAACAAAAAGAAAGGCATAACGAAATCAGCCAAATTGCAGCCTTCCCAGGGAGCGTGAGCAATCGCTGGCCAGTCTCCTCCGGCGTCATCCACGAGGATCATCAACTGCAAACTCAGAATTTCAGTAGAAATTACAAAAGTTTGAAATTTCGAAATCAATTCGCACAAGTAGAGAGAAAGAGAGAGAAGAAAGATACAGCGACAGTGAGGCCGCGAAAGACGTCGAGAGAAGCAAGGCGTCTCTTGCCGGGAGTGGAAGCAGTTTCTTCCGGTGCGAGGAGGCGTTGATCGTGACTGATATCCGCTAGTTTGATTTCCGCCATTGATTTCAGAGTTTTTTTTTTTAATCACTCTCCAACTTAGCTGTTGAGCTCTTGAACATCCATACATCAGTGGTTTCGTTTTGTAGATGTTTATTGTAGATATCATTTTTTATTGTTTATCATCTGACAGAAACCAAATCGTCTACCAAGAATTCGAAAAAAAATTAGAACAGAGGAGTGAACAGCTTATATATATATATATATATATTAGCACGAATACATTTTTTTAACTGAATACTTTTTTTGTCGACTTTTAACTGAATACTTCATCTTTTACCAACACGAATTATTTTATTGTGAATGGATTTAAATATAAAATATCAACATTCGTTGATTTGATAAATTTACAGATGATAAATTATTAAAGATAGAGAAAATTAATATTATTAAAACGAAAAAAATATACTTGTATACAGTGGGCATATAAAAAACTAATATAATCGAAAGTTCTTTGAATAAAAGTAACAATTTTGTTATTGCTCGTTGAATGAATTTTAGAGAAAATTATTAGCATGTATTAACTGGCAAAATCTACTAACATGGCAAAAAGAAAGAGTTTAAAAAATAGGTGTTCTTTTTTTTTCATACTCTCATCATCTTCAAACTTTATTTGAAATTTATCATATTTGATCAAAACATAAACGTTAAGAAAATTGTTGGCCACATCCGACACTTTCTCTTTTCTTTTTTTCTTATGTGATTTTCGATTCTGCAGGTTCATTTCAAAGTTGGATATTTGGATGAGTCTGTAGATTCATTTTAGAGTTCAAAATTCAAATGAATATAGTGCTATGGTCTAACGCTCATACTTATGTGGGAAAATTATGGTTATAAGGTGTTGTGTGACATCTCGAAAAATGGATGAAGGTGGTTATGGTATGGACAAATAAGTGTTATGATATGGCTTCGAAAATTGCTTGTGAAGAAGTCTGCTGATGTTTAGTGAAGAAATTCAGTTGAACATGAAGTCTTAAGACAAGCATTTAATTGACGATGAAAAAAAAAACTATATTATGAACTATAATGTCGACCAAGTCTCACTCTTAAAAGATGCTTCGAAGAACTTTATGAGCCCTCAACATATAAAATGTCTCCACTAATGATAATGTAGTGAAATAGTCAGGGGGAACGCTAATTCTTAACCTTATATCCCTTCTTCCCTTTGGTGTCAATTGGTCTGTTCTTGGCCATTTCTTTAATGATCTCTTGAACTATGTATCTGTCTTGAAAGCCCGCATCACTTGGAGTAAGTTCCACATGATTGGTGCTTGATAATGTAGTGAGCTCCAGATCAAGAGTTCTACTCCCAGCCTGCAGTTTTCAACGTTAACATAACAAAAAGGGAGAAACTTTAAAAGAAAAAAGAAAGCAGAAAACGATTAAAGGCAAAACATTTTATTAGAGCAACTAGGAAGAACCCCCGAGACTTCACTGGGTCCAGCTTAGTAATATACTAAAGACTAGAGACAACAAAACTGACAGTTATCACAATGCTGTTATCTTCACAAGAAGAATTGACTGAGATGGATCACCAAAAGAAAATGATAACAAACACAAACTCACATCTCTCCGCTCACAAATACAGGAAGATACTGAAACACAATTTACTAAAAACACAAGGGCACAAAACGAATAAGGATATCAAGCAGAGTGAGCTTTAGAAAGAAAAAAGCAGTTGAAACAAAAACCATGTGTAACTCACATCAATTTTCCATGCCCTGTTCTCCACTTTCACCTGCAGAATGAAAATCAAAGAAAAATAGCAATCAGAAGATGAACCTCGATTTAAAAAAATAACTTAACCACATCTCAACATGCTAAAACAGACAGTTTACTTTGCTCAACCGCATTAGGGTTCAAAGTCGACATTTTTTGGTAATACCGTAAACAAAAAAGAAAGTGGAAAGAAGGATACCTTCTCTGCACTGGCACCATAAATCTGCTTGAGAAGCGCCACGATTAGGGTTTTCTTCCCGAACCTGACGGCCCATAGAAGAGCAAATGCGGACAATCTTGCTCGGTAACCTACGGGGAGAATCAAAAATCAGCTCCTAAACCCATCAGAAAACCACCAAAAACATTTTAAGAGAAGAAATTGACATAGGGCTCGAACGAAAGGCATACCAATTTCTTGAGATTTTGGGCGATATCCTCATGAACGATGACTTTTTCCAGCGATTTCGGCCTGTACTTGTCGACCCACAACATGTTGCTCGCCAACGGAGGGGTTTGGGAAAGACAGTGAAAATGGCGGGAAACAAGTGAATCGTCTTCCTCTTCCTCTCCTCTCGAGCTTCTTTGTGAAACGTCTTTAGCTCTTTCTCCCCGCGTCGATGGGAACCTAGCAAACCGAACCCTCTCTTGCTGTTAGAGTGTTAGAGTTAGTTATAAATAGTACAAACTAATAGAAGAAGCTTATAAAATTCGCACGTTCAATTTTAAAACTATCTGACCATCAGCTTTCTCTCTCTTCTCTCACTTCTATCTTTAAACTTTCTTTAGTTTTTTTGTTGTAAATTCCGATTAATCGGTGTTAAGTTGCCGATTTTCGGACTCAGTGTTTCAGTGATATCCGAATTTAGTTTCTTGTTTTGGTTTTCCTTTTCTCCTTTTGCAAGATCTATATCTCTTCTTCGAAGAGACAAATCCCAAAAAATTGTTCAGAGTTCTATGTTCATCGACGTTTGATTACTTGCATACAAGTATAAATCTTCATACCACCTTATGGGCTATTGAACCAGTTCGGATGAAGTTTTTCAGTATGCTGTCAACCGAGATATGCGAATACCTTGGATCGATTTAGTTTCAGACTTAGTAGAGCGTGTTTGCGTCTGTGTCTGGTTCGCTAGATCTAACAAGGTGTTTGGCGCTCCACTAATTCGGTGGAGTTAGAGATCTCTGTTATCAATTGCTCGGCGAGCTCTGCAAAGGAAGATGTAGGTGTGATACGCGAAGCCTTGAATTGGCGAAGAAGATTGTCGTGGAGGCGAAAACCGGCGATTCATCTGTGACGGTGGTGGAGTAAACCGGCAGAATTCCTTAACTTCTTCTTTTAATACCACGTGGGTCTGGGTTTTTCTCTCTTGAACACGTGTTTTTAAATGTTTAATGTTGTAATCTGTTCAATTTTGTTTTGGACCTACTTATATGGGCTTAATTTGTATCACTTTCATGCCATTTGGGCTTTCGTTTAATAAAAAACGAGTCGACAAAAAAAAAACATCTGACCATCATATTTTCGTTGGTAGACTCTAGTAATAAAACCGCCTTGATATATTAATTTTGGTTAATTTTTTTTCTGGCATAATTTTAATATTTATTGGTCATGACCCAAGCCAATTCACTTATATAATTCGATTGAACATTCGGATTTCGTCACTTCATCATTATCATTAGCTTAGTTTACAATATAACTTTAAAGACACTTCCTCAAACACTTCCTCGGAGAGAATATTTTAGTTACATTTACCGCCACATTTCATGGGCTTGGTCGAAGGAGGATTCACTGGAGGTTTGGAATGCTTATCATTTTTGGTGCCCAACTCCAGATCTTTTTCTTCTCCTTCCTCTGCTTCCTCTGACTCTTCCTCTCTGCAGCAGTCACCACCTTCTTATTCCTCTTTTTTTCTCCTCCTCGCCATTTTTTGAGAAATTCTCGATTTCCACCTTTTTCTTCACCATCCTTCTCATGATCTTCGTCACAAGATTGTACACATATTGTATATATAGTTAGCTTGTTAAAAACAGAAACTCATAATTTCAAATATTTGTTAAAAATGATTTTATTTATGTTACTTAATCTTTTATTTCGTATTGTTACATGTGAGTTATTCGTACATTTGTTTTTTGTTTTTTGTTCTTTCTATTTTAATTTGAGAGCTCAATATACTTATATGACAGATTTTTAATCCGATTAAAATTTCATTTATATTTATAATTTTTTTCTTTTTTTTGGTTAAACCAATACAATAATCAAACTTTTTCTTTATAAACTGCACAAAGTTAGTAAGTAGTCAAATTTTTTCAACCGTAAAAATCTCAGTAGATAATAAGGATAACAGTCATTTTTGTAACATGTAAACTGTAAATAATTATTTAATACTTTTAGTTTCAAATTAAAGAGATTGAAGACGAGGGAGTGAGGGATTTCTAACTAATCGGTCGGCAGTTTGCAGGTCAATTTTTTGTACTCGTACTAGTACTGAATATATATTAAATTAAGTTGTCGCTCTCTCAAAAATCCGATGTCGTCCAGCGGTTAGGATATCTGGCTTTCACCCAGGAGACCCGGGTTCGATTCCCGGCATCGGAGTCTTTTTAAAATTTAAATTTTAAACCGTATTTTCAACTCCACCCGGCATCGGAGTCTTTTTTAAATTTAAATTTTAAACCGTATTTTCAATTCCACTCATATCTGTTCGTACTTCGTAGTCGTTAGAAATCGTTAATGGAAGTGTTTAAACGCCTCAGCAATTAATTAATTAATTTGTAACGCCAACACAAAATATGTGGATCAAAACCAAGCGATATGTAAAATCTAATCATAAACCTTTCCACTTAAGCTTAAACCCTCATGCATTTCACTTGATACAGACACCTGAGAGATTGTTAGAGCTATTTTGCGGCCAATGATACTCCGCACCAGTCTAATTAGCATTTTACTCCAAAAGTCATGAACCTCGAGCATCTCCACTAACTAAATCTTGAGCATATATAATCTCAATCATATACAACTGTAGTCTGTAGAATTATGATGAATGTGTGTAAATGGTTTCAGCAAATGAAAAGCTGATAATCAGGTTCTTGAGCTCCGACATTCAAGTAATTGACATCAACCGCAGTAGTTCCCAAATCATCTGGTGGAAAAGGATAAACAAAACAAAAAAAAAAATATCAATAAATCATAAAAAAAAAATTAAAGAGATTTTGAGTGAGATGAGAGAAGGCTTAGAGAGTTGTTCAAACCTTCGTAGATAGTTCTTACAAACTTAACATAGTTAGGGATGAGATCTCGGTATATGATTCCATCTGGATGCGCATCAAGCACCACAAGTACTCCTATGGATCAATCAAAGAAAAGGTAAAATTACAATTGCTTCTCGCGATTCAATTCAAATGAACATAACACAAGACAAAGTTCTGAAATGAACAAGAGTAGTCTTGGATGCGTTTGTATCAAAGACATGTTAGGCGTAAGTCGTTAAGGACAAGATTTTCTTGCGGAACTTGAAAGTTTTCAGATCATTAAGAAAGGTTGATTTTCCTTTTTTACTACTCTCAGAAATGATACCTGGAGCAAGCCAACCTGGAGTAGATTTGCTGGGTAATGGTGCAAGCCAGAGGATATTTCTCAAGTTCATTGAATCGTCATACTTCACATCAGATCCTAACAGGAAGGAGATACAATCATTTAACTGAAGAAGGATAGAGTATTTCTGTGACCATTTCTATGTTTCAAGAAATTGCAAAAAGAGCACAGATTACCTCTCTGGCAATATCCCATGTTGTAAGGAAACACTTTCTTGTCATAGGCTGGATACTCTTTAGCATGAAACCTGCCATTTTTTTTCCTATCAGCCAAAGATACTGATCAAACAACACTCGCTAATATCTACTTAATCCATCTACAAAATTTCTTCCAACAGTCATCATAATCTTCCTAGAAACTAATATTGCAACAAAGGTCTCAAATCTTTACACGAATACTTCTCATACACAAAACCAACTCCTAACAGAACATGACCCTTGTTTCATTGAGTCATAGGACTATTTCAAGAGACCCTAGTGTATAATGAGAAGACAAGGGGGACTTACAATATTCCAAGGCGTCCAGATTCTGAAGCGAGGAATAAGTGGCCATGGAACAAATCATATCGAGTCAAGGAAACATTGAATCCGATACTCGGTCCCCTAGATTCAATTAGACGAAACAAGAACTCGATATATGAGTTCACTTCCTGTTCATATGGCATCACCAATTAGATCACTAAAACCATAAACTCTGAGATAGAAAAACACTCATAACGTTGTGAATAGCTTTACCTCTGCTATGAAGTGACGGCCATACGGAGTTCTTGTGAGCTGACATTTTGATCCTTGGACACCAGGAACCTACACGAGACCCTAAGCAATTCAACACTATCTGATGAACAGTAACCAAATTAAGCGTCAATCTCAGACGAACCGGGATCATTTCGGGATCGAGGGTTCGCTGAATTGCGCCGGGATCGCCGCCGGAGTCAACAGCGAGACGAGCAAGCTCGAGAATCGGCTCCGGTGGCCACCAGACGAGAGAATTATCATCTTCGAACTTGCTCCGCCTCTCAACGGCGTCAATTTTCCCCGAGCAGAGTCCAGTGCGGAGCGAGCATCGTCCCGATTCGGGTCCAGATTTATCCGGTTTGAAAGGGACGAGGAATTTGAGACAAGAACGGATTTCTCGAGAGACGATAGGATTAAGGGTCGATGCGGCGGAGGGTGGTCCTAGAACAGAGAGAAGATCGTCGGCGGTGGCTTTCGGAAGCGACGACGGAGAATGGGAAGCGGAGAGCTTGAAGGAAGAAGCAGCTGCGAGGGAGAAGGAGATGAAAATGGTGAAACGAAGAGGTGTGTACGAATTCACCATCGTCGCGTCCTCCTCTGATAGTGATGGGTTTTGGTTTATCTTCCATTTATCGGAGAGATCGGAGAAGCCGATATTAACTAGAGAGAGAAGTGAATTAATTATGTCATTGTTATATATATATATACAACCGGTTAAATAAAGGGAAGCTTAACCATAGTAAACTAGCTATATATATATATGTTAATACGCTCCCCTCAAGCCGAATCATCACAAGGTGTATAGAGGCTTGAAAGTGAAAGACGATTGAGGAGTGAATGGAATGGTCCTGGATGAAGAGGCTTTGTTAGAATATCTGCAAGCTGATTCGTTGTAGAAATATGTATAAGCTTCAAGAAACCATTCTTCACTTCATCTCTAGTCGTGTGACAATCCACTTCCACATGTTTCGTCATTTCATGGAAAACTGGATTGTTGGCTATATGCATTGCTGACTTACTATCACAAAACAATTTGGTCTGTGTAAAGATAGGCACATAAAGATCGGTTAACAACTGATATAACCATTTTAGTTCCCCTGTAGCAACGGCCAAACCACGATATTCAGCTTCAGTACTACTCCGAGCCACTGTTTCTTGCTTCTTGGACTTCCATGTAATGAGGGACGTGCCAAGGAAAACACAAAGACCAGTGACTGAACGTCTTGTATCCGGGCAAGTAGCCCAATCAGCATCTGCAAAACCGTTTAGACACAGGTCCGTGGAAGCTGAGTAAAACAGACCCTGTCCAGGACTAGTCTTTAAGTAACGCAGTATGTTGTACGCAGCCTGGAGATGCATATCAGTAGGGCAAGAGAGAAATTGGCTGAGACGATGAACCGCAAAAGTGATATCCGGTCTAGTGATGCATAGGTATTGAAGTCTCCCAATCAATTCCCTGAAAGGTTTAGCATCATCTAGACGAGTACCAGTTTCTCTACTAAGGGTTACCTTTGGATCCATGGGTACAGATCGAGGCTTACATCCCAGTAAACCAGTGTCTTCAAGAAGATTTAGACAATACTTTCTCTGAGAGACTGATATACCCGTAGAATTCCTAGCTATTTCCAGACCTAAAAAGAATCTAGCTGGGCCTAAATCCTTAGTTTTAAAATGCTTCGCCAATGTCAACTTAACAGATGCTACAGCAGAATCATCATTGCTAGCTATGAGGATATCATCGACATAGATTAAGAGTGCTATGAAAGATGTACCTCGTAGTTTCACAAGAAGGGATGTATCCGTGTATGACTGTTCAAAACCATCATCTGTTAAAACCTTAGAAAGACATTTATACCATTGGCGCGAGGCTTGTTTTAAGCCATATATGGACTTGTGTAATCGACAGACTGCATTCGGAGGAAGAGTCCCTGAGGCTGGTGTGTACCCTTGAGGTAGACTCATAAAAATTTCTTCCTCAAGGTCACTATGCAGAAATGCATTAGTGATGTCCATCTGAGTGAGACTCCAGTCTTGTCGTGCCGCGAGACCAAGAATGAGTTTGACACTCGCTAAACGAGCTACAGGTGAGAATGTGTCGAAGTAGTCGATACCTTCCTGTTGAGTAAAGCCTTTCGCAACAAGACGGGCCTTATATCTCTCAATCGTACCATCAGCATGGTATTTTATAGTGAAGACCCACTTACACCCGACAACATTCTTTCCAGGAGGCAGGCTTTCAACACTCCAAGTTCTATTTATCTCCATTGCTTGTAACTCCAGATTACAAGCATCTGTCCATTCTTTAGAAGCCATCGCCTGTTTAAAATTTTTAGGCTCTGTATCCAAAGAGAATGAGAGAACAATAGACTGATATAGGGGGTTTAAGTTTGAGTAAGAGAGGACTGAAGAGATAGGATATGGTGTCGTTAAAACCTTTGTAGAAAGGGAAAGGAGTAGAAGTTTGGGTGAGAGAGCAATGGTAATTAGACAAGTAACTTGGTACCTTTGTTTGACGTTTTGGTCGAGCATTAGGTAGTGAAATGATGTCAGTCTCTGTAGTAACACGATTAGAGGTGGTTCCTGAGTTGCTAGAGAGAGATTGTGATGCAGATGATGCATGAGGTGGAATAATGGGTGGTGAACCAATATGATGTGTAACAGATGTATCAGATGATGCATGAGGAGTAGAAACAATGTTATTCAATGCAGCAGGAACTGGTAACGGTAAGATGGTATCATGAAATATATTTTCAGAATTGACCTCTGTAGATGCAAAAGGGAATATATTTTCATGAAAAATCACATTCCGAGACACAGATATCAAATTGTTGTCCAGATGCAAGACTTTATATCCTTTATAACCTGTAGAATAACCTAAGAATACACACTTATCTGCTCGTGCACTAAACTTGTTCCTATCCTTTTGCAATGTGGAAACATAACACAAACACCCAAACGAACGCAAGAAAGAATAGTCAGGAACCTTTTTGAGCAATGTTTCATAAGGTGATTTATTTTGTAGAACAAGTGATGGCAAACGGTTGATTAAGAACACAGCAGTCAAAATGCATGAACTCCAGTAAACAAGAGGTATTTTGGACTGAAACAGAAGTGATCTAGCAACGTTTAACAAGTGTTGATGCTTGCGTTCAACTACCGAGTTCTGTTGAGGGGTATATGCACAAGAAAACTGGTGAACAAAACCATGATGACGAACTAAATCATGAAAAGCAAGTTCAGGAGCATTATCTGTTCGTATGGCTTTCACAACAGCATTGTATTGAGTACGAATATGAGTAAGAAAAGTTGAGAATTTCTGAGAAACTTCACTTTTGTATTTCATTAAAAAAATCCAAGTGACACGAGTACAATCATCAACTATCGTTAAGAAGTATTTAAAACCTTCAACAGACTCTATAGAAAATGGACCCCAAACATCGAGATGAAGTAAATCAAAGGGAGAACTAGACAAATGATTATGTGACTCAAAAGGTAATCTTTTTTGTTTAGCCAAAGGACATACATGACAATGTGACTCAGAAGACTTACTATGTTTATAAGCAGGTAAGAGACTAGACAAATGTGCTAACTTTTCAGATGACGGGTGGCCAAGCCGTTGATGCCAAAGATGTCCATCAAGAACCAAAGAAGCAGTGAATAACGGAGACGATTCAGGACTGTCAAGCTGTAAAATGTATAGATTGTGAATAAGATTTCCTTTACCAATCATCAAGCCCTGAATAGACTCCTGAATGAAACAAGAATCAACATAAAAATGTGCAGAACAATGATCATGTTGGAGTAAACTGCTAACGGATAAGAGATTGAACTTGAATGAGGGAACATGTAAAACGTTATGCAGTACTAATGATGATGACAAATGTATTGTGCCTGTGTGTGTAATCTCTTCTCTAGAACCATTTGGTAATGATACGGTTACTCCAGAAACTATCACAATTTCACTAAATAATGCCAAATCAAAACATACATGACAAGTGGCACCGCTGTCAACTATCCAAGAACCAGGAGGTAAAGTTTTATGAAGTGTGGATAGGCATTTATGTTGAAATGTCAGTCTATCATTCTCAAATCTCAATGAACTAGAGGGAAAAGGAATGATACCAGACGATGACTGCGCTGCCATCACACCATGTTCGGTAATGCTTGCAGTTGTTGTTGTATTTGATGAATGACTCTCTGGCTTCTCTGTAACATTGACATGAGCACTCAGCTATTGTATGAAAGACTGAACCTGATCCGTGTTCATATTGCTGAAGTCCAGATTCATAGCCTATGAAGGCGACTGTGGTACATATGGATATGAGTCATTCATCACGTTGGCCACAACTTGTGGTCGTTGACTATCAAACTTTCCTCGAGGTTGAAAATTGTTGGGAAATTGTCCTCTTGGTTGAAACTGATTCTGAGTTGGAGTTAGAGCTCGTTGGCCTTGGCTTTTGTAACCAGGTATGTAGCCAGGAGGATACCCATGTAACTTGAAACATTTCTGAACAATATGCCATGTCTGTCCACAATGAGTACAAACAGGTCTCGCTTTTGGCCTATAACCATTTTGAATAGCATATGCAGCATAATCCAATTGTTCAGAAGCTTCCTGTGAGAACTGAGGACCAGAACTCTGGAAAACAACATTATCAGGCTTCGATGGTTTCATCATCTTCTGCCTTTCATCTTGTGCCACCATGTTGTAAGCATCTTCAATGGATGGTATTGGTTTGAGAACCAGGATATGACGACGAATGGACTCATAAGATTCATTAAGTCCCATCAAGAACTTTGTAACTCTGCTTCGTTGCTGCAGTTCTTCCCATAGAGTTGCTGCATTACACTCACACCTTCCACAAGTGCAAACCGGAATCTCAACATAATTTCTATATTCTTCCCATAGAGTCACCAATTCAGTGTAATACGAGCTAACATCCATAGAACCTTGTTGGATATTGCTAAGCCTTTGTTCAATCTCAAAGATTCTAGGAGCATCATCTTGCTTGAATCGAGAAGAGAGATTTTTCCAAATACCTGAAGCTGTAGAGATGAACAAAAGGCTTTGACCAATCTTCTTAGAGACAGAATTCATGAGCCATGTGGCTACCATATCATTGCAACGGGACCAAGATCCCGAATCGCGATGTCCATCTGCTGGTTTCGGAATAGTACCATCAATGAATCCCAGTTTGTTTCGAACATTGAGCGCCATTTTTACGGATCGCCTCCAGGAATGAAAATCGGCACCATTAGTAAGTCGATCTGATACAAGAACGAGTCCGGCATGATCTGAGCTATGAAGATAATACGGATTTTCATATTGATCAGTATTATGTAAAGATTCACCGGATTGATTCGGATGTAAAGATCCATTGGATTGATTCGGATGTGAAGCCATCGCACTGTGCGAGGAATCAAGAAAATGAACGATTCGATGTGAAACGAACACAAAGAAGATGTAAGTACTGAGAATGAAGAAGATCAGTAGCAAACTAGGTCAAACAAAGAAGGAAAGAAGAGATACAACGATCAATGTAATCGCTGCTTGAAGATTCATGAATAAGATGAAAATGATATTCGCGAAAAAGATTGAGTACAAATCATTCAGGGAAGCACTCATCGGAGACGAATTTGATCTCAATCGAAGAATTCTAAGCTCAAATGAAGATGAAATCAAGCTTCGAAACGAAAAATCTCGACGAAGAAGACGATAAATTCTGTTAAGCGGAAGAGAGAGAAAATGCACTGCTCTGATACCATATTAACTAGAGAGAGAAGTGAATTAATTCTGTCATTAATTCTGTAAAAGAGTGTGTTACATATATATATACAACCGATTAAGTAAAGGGAAGCTTAACCATAGTAAACTAGCTATATACATATATGTTAATAGCCGAGAAGGTGGTGAATCCATAAAAATCATAAGTTTTTTTTTTCAAAAATACGAGATTTATAGTTTAACCTTCTTCGCGGTTTCAAGACAAGTAAAATGCGAACTTCTTCTTCGTTTTTTTTTTTACCCAAGTAAATTGCAATAAGTCACTGCAAGCTCCATAACTCTTTCTCTTTTTTTTTTTTGGGCGGCCATCAGAATTAAATTATCTCTGAAAATCTATTGAGCAACACCATCCTAAGTCTAAACTTCGAAAATTAGAAATATCACCATGCACGTTTCTCAGGGGTTCTTGTTGGATACTATCTGACTCCAAGAATTTTGGATTCTTGAGCACCCTTCGCTTGCTTCCAAGCTATATACTCTCCACTTCCACATGTCGATGTTTACGTTGTTCGCGTTGCTTTTGATTGCTACCATTCACGTACCGATATTATTGTTTTTCTTTTTAACATTTTATTCATTTCTTAATAATAAGTGACATGATCATACAAAATGTAGGCCAAGTATACTTTTTGACATTTTACACGCTAATTAAAGAATAATTTAAATGGATTCTTATATTTGTCCTCAAAAACGGTTTTGCAACTTGAATTCTAATTGCATCTGTTCATTGCAAGCATAGTGTAGGTAGAACAGTGGATATTTGTAACAAATATAAATATATGTTGTAAAATTGTCTATATAATTGTATTCATAAATTATAATAAATAATAGTCCATATGTAACAAAAAAAAAATCAGTTCTGATCAATTAATTATATATTGAGGTGATTTAATCATTCTCATAGTAAAATTTAGATTGAAAATTTTTAAAACACTTATGGTTTACTTACTTTAAAAGACACTTATTCTGAAGAATAAGTTAGAAGAAGTATTTTTTAATGGAAAACATAATTAACGTGACCCGATCTTGTGTGGTAGGGTGTGATGGCCTCATGTTTACCTGATAAACGGAACCAACGTGCCACCAACGACCAAATAAAGAGATGATTTGATTCTGCCTTTGTTTCCAATCTCTATACATTTTGCTTTTCTTTTCCTAAGTCCAAGGATTGATAACATTATCAAACCTTTATTTCAGAAAACGTCTTTCCCCGAGTAATCAGCTGTCAATTAACTCTTTTAGCATTGACAAATCAATATGATTTTCTTATCACCATATGCACTTAGGTGGCTTGTAAAATCATTGCCTAGGCGTTATGGTCGATTATCGGTTAGGGTTTAGTCATTCAACGACTTGGTAGTCGCCTAATTGGCGAATGTCATATACTTGGATCCAGTATAAAGGACAATTGAAGAAAATTTTATAGAAAGAATTCCTAAAATAGATATTACTGACTATATGGAAATATACATGAATACGATTACAATCTTGGCGAATTATGTAATCATGTTGTCTTTAGTAGAACACCGTTTTTTGAGCTTCTTTAAATGTCATGAAAAGAATGGTTATCGATCTCCGGCTATTTAAATGCTGTGCGATAATGTTGAAGCATTATAATTCATGAAATTCATATCGATTTTATATTCTTACAAATGAAAGTGGAAAGCAAATTCACAAGAAACTAAGTTTTAACTTGGTTTGAGGTAAAAGCAAAAGTAATTGCCCTAGTAGTAGTTCTAGGTACGTAGTAACTAAAGAACAATTCTTGATCACATCCTCATGTACATATAAGCAAACATGGAAATCGCGAATCTAGGATTATAAAAAAAAAACGAAAACATAAACAAGCATCTGTTATTACTGTATGTAAATATGTATAATCTCAAACAAACAAACAAACAAACAAGTAAAAAGAACTGGAAACAAAATCACAGGAAACAAGCACAAACAAGAACGAGAGGGTCAAACAAGAAATTCAAAGTTCCGCACGAAGGCACCTCGTGATTATGCTGCAGCCGTGGCTGTAAGGGTTAGCCTCAGCGCCGCGTTCGCAGTTGTAGTAAGATGCGCCGCGTCGGGAACAAGGAACAACGTTCCTCCTCAGCGCACCGTAGCTAATGTATACCTTCGAGTCTAAAATGCGCCTGCTGATCTCAGACTCGAGCTCGAACTCTTCTTCTTCTTCTGCTATACAATCCGCCATTGATCCTTTGCACTTACCGGACGATCCGGTTTTGACGACGAACCCCAACGAGTCTTCGTAGCCTCCGGCTTCAACAACGGCGATTACGATCACGAAAATCGCGAGGAAGACGTAAATCATACGAGGGTTCACCATTTTCTTCGCAAGAACCTTCTGGCTAAGTCAAAGGCTTTTCAAGTTTCTTATCTGGCTTCTATGAGCATTTAACCAGTTCCTCAGAGTCGTCTCTTGTGTTAGAAGACAACAAATGCTTAGCTTTGGTCTTTATCCTCTTATTTAAATGAAATTATAAGAGAATGGACATCCTCTTGGTTTTATTTAACAAAACACTATCGCTTTTGTTTGAATACATTTTATACGCGTATAATTTGATCTTTTCCTTAATCTATACTATTTAAATCGAAATTTGTCTTGTAGCCTTGTATTTGTATTTATAAATAGTACAAACTAATATATAGAAGAAGCTTATATAACACCCGCACGTTCAATTTTAAAAGCTAATCAAAGGGGTTTTGGATGTTCGGGAAAAAAGAGACGTTTTGATTTATGATCTCGAGTTCGAATACACTAGCCTTTTTAAATTTATGATGAATATAGCCATATAGGAACAAAAGTTACTGGTTTAACATAAGAGTATAGCATCTTTCACAATTTCTACTGTTATTTGCAAAACATTAAGTTTTGTGTTAGGAACTAATGATTGATGAGACATATACACATATGTAGATATCGTCAAATGTATATAGGATATCATTACATGCTCCACAATACAATATGAAGGTGATAAAAATTCGGATTTATTCAATTAAAAGTATACTATAAAATGCTAAAATCATGGAGATCACTAATCCTACAAGGGGAACGAGAGAAGGATGACATTTTTTTTTTCATAAACTTGGCCGCCGTCCGCTATTTTTTATTTAAGCATCATAAAGACATGTAGCGCACTCCTGATCTTAACCACCAATCACCATTCACACGATCGTCCTAGATTTGACAAATTACATACCAAACAAACGAAGCAAATGATGTTATAAGCAAACGGTTTAATAACTATATACGTTTACTTTGTGTTCTGGATTCAATATATCCCTTTGGAAAAAATATTATTTTCAAATCAAAATATATTAAAGCTGATTTCATGTACTCGAGAGATTATACATGATGTCTTATACAGTAATATACACAAAAAAACTATATTATGGATTGACTATACGATGAACAGTTGGCTTGCATTTTTTGAAGTGGATAATCAACTTATAAATCCGATCAATGTGAAGATTTTTTAGCAAAATAATCCATAGAACTAGCTAGCCTACCAACTTATATGATCAATTTGATCAATGTGATACATCACATTGGCTTTATTAGGTGGGATCGTGCCAACGGCGCAATTGTATGTGCCGTTTCGTTGGTTAAAACAAGGGTTTTTTTGTTAAACAAGTTAAAACAAGAGTTTAATTGTTGTAGTTCGTCCACTTGCCATTTGATGATATAATGCAGCTTAAAGTTAGTGTAAAACTAGATTTGTGATAGATTGTCTTTTGACCATAAAGTGGGATAAAACAAATTAATATTTTCCAAATCACAAAGCTCTGTTTCGGTCTTGGTCTTGTAAGACGGAAAAGACACCGGTGGTTATGGAGTATATATATTTTTCTTTTACCATCAAAAGTTAATTAATTACAAAAAAGCCAAAGAATAAAGTTGCCAAATACAAAGAAACTGTGAATTTTTGTTTTTAAAGAAAAAAAACTGGAAATATATCCACATTTTTAGTTGGTAATAGGCATGGCAACATAATCATAGTAATACTATGCAGTCGTAAACTTGAATTGTCTCTATAGGATAAAGATGTTTCATATCCCACGTGTGATAGATCCTTGAATACGTGAACAGAATTTTCGTCATTACAGCTATATTAATAAAAGAAAAATCGTCATTATTTTTTATATCAACATAATTTTTCTCGGCGATTTTTTGTTTTTCTTCTTGAAGTTGTTTTACTAGTACTAATTAATTGGATATCAGCTTCAGATAATACTAAAAAGGTAAAAATACAACTTCAACATGGGCCTTCATGGGCTAAATATATGACGATTTTTATGTCTGGCTCGTTTAAAAAGTTAGGGTTTTTTCGAAGTATAAATTTTTTGGCTTCTCCGTCTTTTCGTTTCTCTTCCCTTGCCGCACTTGCTTTGCTTCTCCTCGGGTAAACTTCACACGCTTTACTTCATCGTTTCACATTTGTTTCAATGCCATTGTAGTGTCGTTGAGATCTGATTAACTGTGAGTAAATATGCAGTTTTCATACCCTTGGTAGATTAATTTTTTGTGGATCTTCTGTGATTCTGTTTATGCTGCAAGCGAATTGGTGAATCTGTAGTTTTGGTGAATCCTTGAGCTCCTGCTTACTAGAAGATGTTCAATTTCGTAGGTTTTGCTATATCTCAGAGTTTTGTCAGGCGCAGGATTGCTTTCGATTCTTCTTCCTCATGCTTTAGAGTTTCTATCTCAAGTGCTAATCTGTTTCTCTAGTTGTTAACTTCACTATAGTCTTGAATCGTTGTGGTATTAATCTCTTAGATGTAATTGTTTTGTCATTTTAGTTTTGTCTTTTCCACTCACTCGGATTTCTTCCATTTCGTCGAATACATTTTCATGTTGCTTTCACTTGCAATCATTGTGATCTCATTTGTTAACCACACTGTTGTGATCCGGCATTTGTACCAGCCTAACATAAGATGTTCTGTGTTTTGTTTTGTATAGTCTTTGGATTTAGATTCGTCTACTCTTCAAGCTAAATCTTCACGATGCAAAACGAAGAGGGTCAGATCACAGAGTTGTACATTCCTAGGAAATGGTAATACATCATTTCTTCTTCGTAATTATTTGTAATCTCTCATTAGACCTCTTAACTAACGAACTGATTCTTGTTTGTTTGACTGATACTGCAGCTCCGCTACTAACCGGTTGATTACATCTAAGGATCATGCCTCTGTGCAGCTTAACATTGGTCATTTAGATGCCGATGGGATCTACACCGGACAATTCACCACTTTTGCTCTCTGCGGGTTTGTTCGTGCCCAGGTATTGTGATACACTTGTCTCTACACTCTAGATTCTTGTGCTCCTGATTTGTGAATCGCTATGTCCTAAATCCAATCCAAGTTACACTCTCCTAGTCCAAAAACTGTTGATTTGTTTGTGTGTTTCCAAATATTTGAAAAACCCCTTGTTGTATTAGCTTTGTCGAGATAGCATTTTGTTAGGATATATAAGACTTATCATCTTGAGCAAACACAGCAACTGCGGTTATGCATCATCGTATATAGAATGTTAATGAACGATGTACCATTGCAGGGAGATGCGGACAGTGGCGTAGACAGGCTGTGGCAGAAGAAGAAGGTCGAAGCTAAACAATAAGAGCTGAAGCTGTCTATTTTGTTTGTTTTTTTTTTGTCGGTATTTTCTGATTGGAACCCAAAAAATATCTTGAAGTGATGATTAATGCTTGAGTCTTGGTTTTACATCCTCATGTTCTAAATTTCGATTCAAATTGAATAATCATACTCCCTTTCTTTCAAATTGAATATTAATTCATCTAAAATTCTTTGGCATATACTCTCATAAGTCTCACATCATAAGCTCCGGCCATTTACGAGTAACCAATTGGGTTATCTGTAATCAAACGTAGTTATTATGAAATTAAATATGTTTTTCCTTGATTATTCGCTCGGTTCATAATCTCTTATAAGGTTGCAAATAATATCAACCAAATTCTGCATTGCCGACAACTAGCTAAATATTAATTATTAAATCATTTAGAACGATAAACATCATTTTAGGAAAACTCAAAATCTATGTAATTTATGAATGATGTCATACTTCTGTGTAGATTTATTTTCCACACCTAAATGCGTTAACGTGAATTATTCTCTAAAATGGAATCAGATTCTCATTCTCGATCGGTTATCTTTTAACCATCGAAGAGTTAAAGGATCACTGAAATGTTTTACGTTTGTGTTAAATATTAGGTAATGTTGATATGTGAATATCGACAAGGGACAAAACAAGGGACAAAACAGTAATTTAGATCGGCAGCTCGGTTTTATTAGATTGAATCGAGTGAAATACAACTGAGTTCGGTTATTTCAATAGGCAATAACGAATTAAGACTTAATGCGACTAAGAAGCTGTTGTAACGAGTTCTCAGTTTAAGTCTTCTTGGGAATAACTTGTGTTCTCTAGTGTCGATTCGTCTTCCTTTATATATATCTCCTAAGTCGGTTTTCAAGCACGCCTTAAACGATATGGGACCGAGAGGAGTTTCCTTTTCTCTCGGTTCCTTTCCTTTTCTCTCCAAAGTTTCCTTTTTCCCTTAGGAAACTTTCCTGTTTCGGCCGAGCTCAAGGAAACCTTCCATTCCTTTGAGAGGTTTCCCGCCGACCTCGGCCTAATGAGCTATCTTCGGCCCATCTTCGCTCGGCCCATCTTCTCTCGGTACATCCTTCGTAAACCGGGCTTACGGTTCGCCGATCTCAGTTTGTACCGGAGAAAACCAAGATGCGGTTTTCACCTAACCATTTTGATTCCACACGTTAAAATGGTTATTTTCTTTTTTTGCATATGGAAAAATACATTAGTTTATTTGTGTTCAAATAAAACCAGTAAGAACAATCCAACAATACGATTCCATGAGGACACTATTATATATTCTTCGTCGTCAAATGTGCTTTCTGAAAGCATCTCAAAACCCGCAAAAGCCATCCTTCTCTTCATATTTATCTTTCTTTCCCAATTATTCGTATTCCCTTTCAACAAAAATCTCTCTTTCTTATTTATCTCCTAAAAAGATTGATTCTCACAAAGTCCAATTATTCTCCTCAGCGTTATTCTTAAATTTGCACCCCAAAAATGATATTCGAAAATAGTACCTCACCTCACCATGCAGTATATCATTAGAGTATTGGTTTTAAACGATAACTAATTGAATGACAAAACAATATCAGATGTTTTCGTAGCAAATAGCAAATTCTACATTTAGTGGAATCCGTAATTCACATTATATATATATATATATATATTTTTTTTTTTTTTGAAACGGTTTCGTAATATCATCAATCATAGATTTGTATAATAAGTTAGATTTTCCATTAAACTACGTTTTCATATCTCATTTACAGGAACATATCTATTAGAATAGCAAGATACCATTCCAATTTCCAAGCCCAATTATGTCATTTGATTCTAAAAACATAAACCCAATCACATGACGCAACAAGCGTTTGGATTGCCTTCGCTGAGTACCTCAAACGAATCCGACGGCTGAGATCTATACGAATAAAATTCGGGCGGTGGAGATTCGTAGCCCGTGTCCACGTACTCATAAGAATAATACGACGTCGGAGGATGAGGAGGAGCCGCGTAATACGAAGCCGTTTCATTCCCACCGTTGCTCGGGCCGTGCGCCGTGTTGTAGCTCACCGTATAAGACGGCGCCGTTTGAGGCTGCGCGTGATAATATGTAGGAGGAGGCGGTCCGTACACTTGGTGCTGATGATGACGTGGAGGACTGTGAGCCATCGGATACGGATGCTGCTGCAGGTTATGAGGATGATATTGATCTGGTGGAGCAGAGTATATCACAGTCTCTGGTGGTCCATCGTTCTGCGGCGGAGCCCCACCACCACCGCTTCCGCCTCCTCCTCCTCCGTCCATAACCACCGTCGTGTTCCCTGAGCTCTTCTTCTTCTTTTTCTTTTTCTTCTTCTTTTTCGGAGCTCCGTCTCCAGAAGGATGAGGTTGAGGTTGACCGTTGACTCCAAACGTCACAACTTGCTTAACTTCATAACCTCCTCCTCCGCCACCGCCTCCACCGCCGCCACCTCCACCGCCAATGCATGTGCCGCCGTCAATAACGCCGGCGTTCATGTTGTTTGTGTTGTTGTTTTCTTCGTCTTCATCGTCTCCACTGCTATCGTCATCGTCGGTTTTAGGTTTCTTTTGTTTCTTCTCTCTCTGGTAATTACAATCGTTGTTGTTGTTGTTGTTCTCCATTGACGTTGGCCATAGCTCGGCGTGTCTACCTGCTTTCATGATCTTTTTTATCAGAATCTCCGGCTCTACGTTTCCGATCACCGTTACTTTTTGTTGCTTCACGTCGATATTCGTTGTATATACACCTATTGTATTGTATATAAATTAATCAATCAAATTAAAAAGAGAAGGAAACATGTAAATGATCTTATATATAATATAGTTACCATCGATTTTGCTCAAGATTTTCTTGATTTTTCTCTTGCATCCTTCGCAATGGATAGAAACTTTCAAAACCCATGTCTGCAACAGAAAAATAAATGAGAATAAGAATAAGATGAGAATGATATGAAAGATTTGAGTATATAAACGTTAATGATATTACGGTGTATCTGAGAGGTTCAGGGTATTCTTCAAAAACATGTCTCTCTTCTTGTCTTGACTCTGTTTTGATCTCTGTTCCGATCTGTGTTCCAAAGTCCATTGTAGAGGAAGAGGAAGAAACCGAGGGAGAGGGAATCGGTGCAGCTTCATGTGGTATTATAGAAATAGCAACGAAGCCATCGCTTCTGTATCTTTATTGGGAGTCCTCTAGCAGATAATATTCTCCATTATCTCTTATAAAAGTCCTTTTTATCTCTCACTCTGTTTTGATTGGCAGATGATTTTTCACTTAGCATTAAAATGAGAAAGAGATCTTTTCGTTTTTGTTATTGTCAAAAGATACTCTAGAATGCTCAAATTGGGATAGCAAATTGGTAAAATATTGTTAAACATGCTTTAATGTTACTTACTTTTTAGTTATATGGAACATTCTTGGTAACAAAATGTAGAAACATCATGTAAATTTTGCCGAATTTTTTTTCTCAAGTAACTGATCTCCCGTCTAAGTCTTAAATACTTTCAATGGTTTGACATTAAATTCATAACGAAATTTTGTCTGCCGAATGTTTTTCTCAAATAATAAAATTAAATAAATAGAAAATGTGTACTGTTAGATGGTTTAGAACATTAGAATTGCAAATGAATGTGAGGAATTCAAACAACCAAATGGATTTTTCTCTTGCAGGTTAATTTTACCAAGCTATAAAAAACAAAAAACTACAAGAGAAATAACGTAGAATGCTAAGTTTTCCACAAATCAAAATTTCCAAATATATGTAGCATTTTGGTGAGTTGCATTTTCAACCAATTTATTCTTTTTTTTTTGGTTTGTAAGTTGTAACCAGCCTAAAAATGGTTACAAAACGACGTCGTCATTCAGGGGAAAGCGAGCGGCAAATTTTGATGCAGATTCGTCATTCTTGAAATTCTCAATGCTTATTATGCTTTTGATTGTTCGAGTGATTAATTTTGGCGCCTAGGGTTATTATTTGCGATTTCCAACTCGTTTGCATCTTTCGCTTGTGGGTTTCCCAGAAAAATTGCCGTTCAAGGTGGGTGATTAAGTTGGAAAAGTTGTGATGAATTTGGCGGAGCATTGTTAGTTAGTTCGATTTTGTTAATTTTACTAGGGTTTGGAGCTCTGAAATTTGGGGTTATCCGGTACACCGGTAGTTATGTTAATGCGTTACTAGAATCAACTCGCTGTATGATATTTTGCCTACTACCTCAAAAGCCTATCTACAAAAAGCTGTCTTCTTTTAGTCGGCCAAACAGTTTGATTTTGGATGGATAAACTAGATTCGTCTTCTGATGAAGTTGTGATGAAGCTTGTTGAAATGGGTTTTGAGAAATTGGTTGCTATGGAGGCTGTAAAAGCTGTAGGTAACTCATGTGATGATGCTGTGGAGTATGTTTTGAAGGGACATCACAAGAGTGGTACTAGTAAAATTAATAAGGCCCTTGGGAGAAGAGCTATGCCATCTTCGTTTTCTTCGGGACCAATGCGACAATCGAGTTTGCTTGACCATTTTAAATCCGTGGACCGGAACAGTAAAAAAGGCCACAGCTTTGATGCTACAGTAGCGGATTCTCAGTTAGAAACACTGTCTGATCCTTCAGAAGAGCTGAGAAAGTCTTCTCCTCCAGTGTTTTTCGAGTCTAGTTGTTTTCCTGATACACAGTTGTCAAATGGTTGCTCAGAGGCCTCATCAACTTGGGAGAAGAGAGTTAATTCTATTCTACGAATCCGATTTGGTATTTCATCCTTGAAAAGCTTCCAAAGGGAGGCTTTGTCAACGTGGTTTGCTCACAAGGACTGCCTTGTTCTAGCTGCAACTGGTTCTGGTAGTTTCTTTTTTTCATTGCTGATGCCTTCTTCGTTCCTTCTAACATGGAGTCAATAACATTCTAACTGCGGTTTTCACCATGCAGGGAAATCTCTTTGCTTCCAGATTCCTGCATTGCTGACGGGAAAAGTTGTTGTCGTAATTTCACCTTTGATAAGCTTGATGCATGATCAGTGCCTCAAGCTATCAATGCACAAAATCTCTGCTTGTTTTCTTGGTTCAGGCCAACTTGACAATCGCATAGAACAGAAGGCAATGCAGGGAATGTATCAGATCATATACGTCTGCCCCGAGACAGTGGTTCGGTACACAGCGAAACTTTCTGAAATTCTGTTAAATGCATTTATATTATTTTGTTCTTGCTTAAAAAAAGATTAAAACTTGATCGCAGATTGATTAAACCACTCCAGAGGCTTGCGCAAACTCATGGAATCGCTCTTTTTGCAATTGATGAAGCGCATTGCGTATCAAAGTGGGGACATGATTTTCGTCCGCAGTACAGGTTTGATTTTGAGAGTCAAAACTTGCAAGTGTTTAATGCTTTCAAGTGCTCTTATGAGTAATCCTAGTTTTCGAAACAAATCTCCCGCTGCCAAATTTTCAGGAGGCTATCTGTGTTGCGGGAAAACTTCTGTGCCAGCAAATTGGAATTCTTAGAATATGATGTACCGATAATGGCACTGACTGCAACAGCCACATCTCACGTACAGGAAGATATTCTTGAGTCACTTCACCTTTCCAAGGAAACAAAAACTGTGCTTACTTCATTTTTCAGGCCAAATTTACAATTTTCAGTTAGTTTCCAGTGCAGATTTAATGTCACTTCACATCTACGGAACTCTTTTTGCATCCGTAAACTTTAGGAATATGATTTGCAGATTACTCTGTCACGTTTTACTTGATGCTGATATGTGGATCATGAGATGTACGGCTTAAAGCTGATATTTTTTCTGTCATTTACAGGTTAAACATAGTCGAACCAAGTCTTCAGCTTCATATGCAAAAGACTTCCAAAACTTGATTGACTTCTACTCTGAAAAGAGAAAGGCTACCGGGAAAAAGCTAGCAGTAATCTCGCGAGAGTCAGAAGAGCAGACTGATTCTGGTTATCACGATGCTGAAAACATCCATGAGACAGATTCCGATGATGATGAAGAGGATCCAGAAAACTCTTTGGCAAAGCCAAACAGTTCAAATGGCAAAGAAATGTCAGAGGACTATCTGGAAGATGAAACCAACATCTCCCAGCGTGTTGATGATTGGGATGGTATGCTCCTTTTCATTTTCTTTGGAAATATCACAACCTTGATTACAAATTTGGTGAATGGTGACTTTGTATCTAAATTGATAATAGTAAAAAAAATAGGCTTGGCATCTGACCAAGCTTTGGTTATGTTATCACTTCATGTGCAAATCAAATTGGCGAAAAGGTCTGCTGACAACATAACTACAGTCATGCATGTATTTTTTTTTAATTTTGTTTTTAAATATATCATTGGTGTCGAAGAATGGTAGTTTAGATCAGATTTAATCAATGCAGTTGCTTGTGGCGAGTTCTGTGAAATGTCTGTCCTCTCTGGAAAGCAAATACCTGATGCATCCGGACACGAGAATAGTCTCCAGGAGAAGGATTTTGAAGGACCGACAATCATTTACGTTCCTACAAGAAAGGAGTCTGTCAACATTGCAAAATATCTCTATGGGGTTGGATTGAAGGCTGCAGCTTATAACGCATCGGTATGGACTGAAAAATCTTTCTTTTTCTTGCCGCATGAATTATGAAGCCTTCTGAACTGTTTCTTAGGAATGAACATTGTCAACCATTGTTAACTTGGTATCAAGCCACTCTATCAACCAAGCAGCTATTGTATGGCAAAATTTTGTATTCTGAATTAAATCCTGTTCTTTTTAAATGTTGTTATGGCCGTCTTAACAGTTTGCTACATTTCACAGTTGCCAAAAAAACATCTCAGGCAGGTTCACCAGGAATTTCATGAAAATAAGCTGCAGGTATATACATGGAACCTTTATGTTCTTATGTGTTATGGCTCAATGTTCTACTTCTGTTATCCACTTTGCTGTTCCCTCCTCTTTTTGTTGGAATAAGATGTGGAAGATCATATACGTTATGGTACCCCTCTTCAGGTTGTTGTTGCCACAATTGCGTTTGGAATGGGAATTGACAAGAAAAATGTCCGGAAAATCATCCATTATGGTTGGCCGCAGGTCTCTCAAAGCTCTTTATACGATTATCATATTAACATTTCCATCTCCGTGAATACGTGCTATCCAAATTTATCGTTCTCTCCTCTACATATCACTGAAATCAATGAAACTGCAGAGCTTGGAAGCATATTACCAAGAAGCTGGTCGAGCTGGAAGAGATGGGGAATTGGCTGAGTGCGGTGAGTTGATTAATAATGATTGTTTTTTTCCTTTTTTTTTGGCTGTGTAAATCTCCTATCGTCTGCCATGCCTGAAATAATTTGGGATTGACAGTGCTCTATGCTAATCTATCGAGAGTACCAACACTTTTGCCAAGTCATAGGAGCAAAGAACAGACAGAGCAAGCTTACAAGATGCTATCTGATTGCTTCAGGTCTGAAACCTAGTCAAATACGTGGGTGTGCATCTTTCTCTTTTCATTCTGTATTCTTTTAAATTCATTATCCTTTTCTTATGCAGATATGGAATGAACACTTCACAATGTCGAGCGAAAATACTGGTGGAGTACTTTGGGGAGGATTTTAGTTCCAAGAAGTGTAACTTGTAAGTCCTATCCTTTAAAAAACTGAAGGTAAATTAGCAAACTGTCGTAATACTTTTCCAATCTATGAAACAGATGCGATGTTTGCACTGAAGGGCCTCCGGAGCAAGTTAATGTACGAGAGGAAGCTAATCTTTTGTTTCAAGTAATCACTGCTTTTCATGTAAGTCTTTGGAGCAATCCCAGAATTTCGTTTGGAAGTTTGCTCTTTCCATATGACTGATATACAATCAAACATATTTCTAGTAAATCATTGAGATATCTTCTGTTATAACTGTTCTTTCGGGCTCTTAAGCTGCTAGTAGATTAGTTGCAGGTAGAGAATAGCTCTGAGCATACATCATATGAAGACTATGGACTCGGCAACAGCGAACAGAAGAAATTGTCTCACAAGCCGAATCTTCTGTTCTTCATCAGTAGAATCAGGGAACAGGTAATCTACTATTTCAACAAATTACATAATGCATTACGTTCTTTATTATATTCTTCATGTGATGCATTTTGTTGGGTGCAGTCCCAAAAATTCATGGAAATAGATCGTCTTTGGTGGAAAGGTCTTGCCCGTATCATGGAAGCCGAGGGATACATCAAAGAGATGGATAACAAGGTAGGTACACTAGTTAAAAATAAAAAACCAACATCTCTTCTTTAGATTCATGATCCTTCATTGAAAAAGCTAGAGTCACATATTTAGTTTAAATTGTTGAAAGAATCTATTGCTGATATGTGTTGCAGGGTCGTCGAGTTGAGATTGCATATATAGAACCAACAGAAAAAGGGAAGAAGCAACTAGATTTCCAAGAGGACAAGCCACTCTATGTATACCCAGAAGCCGACATGCTCGTTTCGTTGAGACAACGCAGAACATACAGCGGTTTCTCTGATTGGGGAAAAGGATGGGCTGATCCAGAAATCCGGCGGCAGCGTTTAGAGGCAATGAAACGCCCAAGAGAAAGAAGACCACGAAGAGAACGATCACAACAACGTCCCTTGAAGTTACAAAAGAAAATTCCATGGAGAAGCAAAGAATAAATATCTCAACCATCTTTAACAAGTAATGAATCTACTCTATATAATAATATCATTCCTTCAATATTCTCTCTCTTTGCCAAAACCCATTTCCATTCATGGATCTTTATGGAAACATAATAATTCTGTCTACAATTGCTCTTTCGGGATCGTTCTTCTTTGCTCTCAGTCCCATCCTGAGGCAGAGACGTGGAGCCATTGAGAAGCTGAGGCTGGTGAATGAAGCTTTGGTTGCTGCGGAAGAGAATGTGGCGAGGCTTCAAGAGCGTCACGATGTGATTCTCAAAGAGATATGTTCTTATTATCTCGTTAACTCCGAGCTCCAACAAGCTTTGGTTGCAGCTCGAGCAGCTATTGATGATGCTTCTGTTTTTGTCATGGAGCTTAGAAGATTACAGCTGAATATTCTAAACTCTCTTTCTTGATCAAGTTTTTTTGATACTGATTTTCGTTTTTGTAATTGAATGTAAGCAACAAGTATTTGTAGTAATTTAAGTATATTAAGCAAGATTAATTATTGTTTACTTGTGTGTAATTAATTGACGAAAAAAGAAGGAAAGATAGAAAGCTTGTTTAACGTGGGGGATGAATCTAACGGCTGAGATTACACGAGTGTTTATATCTTCCTTCCTTTGCGGCTCCCACGTGTAGTAACTGAATATGACGATTTATTGTGAACAACAACATCATCATCAATCATCGTGTAACAGTGACCGTTGGATAAAGAAGCAACAAGAAACAATCTGAACGGGTGACTTCATTAATACATGGATCGCCAGCGTGGCAGTAGGTGATATATATATAGATACACCATACTTGAGTCATCATCTTCAGCATATCGTAAACCGCCACCAAACCGAAAGAGGAAAAAAACAGTAATAGTGTGTGCATTTTTTTTAGATCCGTTTGTTAAGAATCTCTCTGTTTGCAATGGAGTCACCAGCAGCAACAACGAAGCCAGGGAGAGGAGGAAGAAGAGGAGGAGATAGGAAGAAGAGTGTTTCCAAGTCGGTTAAGGCCGGTCTCCAGTTCCCTGTTGGTCGTATCGCTCGTTTCCTGAAGAAGGGTCGGTACGCGATTCGGTATGGCTCCGGTGCTCCGGTCTACCTCGCCGCCGTTCTCGAGTACCTCGCTGCCGAGGTAAATCTCAGATCTCCTTCTTTCTTTGCATTTTTCTTATTAGATGTGCATTCTGATTGTATTTTAGAGAAATGGTTCGTCGGAAATTGATTTAGGGCTTGCGTAGGGAATCAGTCAATTTTCACCTAATTTTCTGGAATTCTGAATTGTTGTATGGATCTGCTTGAGTTTCCATTTCTGCTTCGATCTGATCTAACGAATCTACTCTCTCTCTTTCGATTTTCGTTCGGTGTCAGGTTCTCGAGCTCGCTGGAAACGCAGCGAGGGACAACAAGAAGAACAGGATAAACCCGAGGCATCTTTGCTTGGCGATAAGGAACGACGAAGAATTGGGGAAACTGCTTCACGGAGTCACCATCGCAAGCGGAGGAGTTCTTCCAAACATCAATCCAATTCTTCTTCCCAAGAAAGCTGCTGCTTCTTCTCAAGCTGAGAAACCTTCACCAAAATCTCCTAAGAAGGCTTAAAAAGAGATTTGCGTTACGAAATCGCTGTTTTTAGGCTCTGTTGCTTTGGTTACATCGATCTTGAACAACATCTTGTTTTCTTTAGGGATTTGTGTAGTTTTTTTTCTGTGTTATCTCCGCTGGTTTGTCCATGAAACCAATGGAAGATTATGTTCTACGCTATTTTGTAATGAAAGAACTAATTTCTTGGTATGTTCTCTTTTAAGTTTCAAGTCTAATCAAATAAATTAAGTTCTGGATTTCGTTCCTTTTTCCACTTGAATCGAAGAAAAAAAAAACACAGAAATTGAATCCGTAGGTATTTGTCAGAAGATAACTTAAATAAATGGTATCTAGAAGGTAACTTGTTTAATTCTCAAAAGTGATGACATTAATTAAAGTAGATTATCGTTGTGTTAGTTAAATAAGGAATTTTCTTAATCAAAGTAAATTGAAAATGCGTTTGATCAACTTGGGCATTTACTTTGGGCCTAATTGAGAGGCCCATTAATATTGCTCTGGAAGAAACCTATGGAGGTTTTGACTTGCAGAGAGGTTTAGCAATCAAAGTGAGAGAAATCTTCTGGATTTTTGCGATGATGAATTTTCTGGTTCAGCTCTTCTCTCCGACTACGCATCATGATTGATTAAAATTGATTAAAATTCAATAACCGAGCTGTTATCTTTTTCTGAGGCAGAGAAGGGCAGTCTCATCTTCCAAGCAAAGCTCACTGATTCGCATCGTCGCTGTTGCTACCACTACGTCCGGAATTGTTTATGCTAAAACTAATCCAGATGCAGGTAACCTCTAAGCTCTTACATATTTGTATTTTATTTTTCCATACTTTCTGTTTCAAAATGTGATGTTATATTGCTGAAATGTATACTTGATGTGGATGTGATATGTATTCTAGGAACGACAATCTCTCTGGCTATCCCGGAATCTGTTAAAGAATCTCTGTCATTACCTTGGCAGATTCCACAGGGTCTAATTCATCGTCCAGATCAAAGCTTGTTTGGTTCGTAATTAAGGTTTATGTAAATTTGATCTGTGAAAACTTCTTATTCCTTATATATATACGCAGGGAATATCGCGGCGTTTTCTTCCCGAGTCAGCCCAAAATCAGAAGCACCTGCAAATGCAAACGACGACGAGGAGAGAGTTCCTGTTGAAGCTTCGGATAGTCCGAAACCAAGTAGCGGGTACTTGGGAAGAGACACAATTGCTAATGCAGCTGCAAGAATTGGACCAGCAGTTGTCAATCTATCAGTTCCTCAGGGTCTAATTCTGTTTTCTTTTTTCTCTTTTGATTTCATTTCTTTTGGCTGTAGAATTTATAAGGGTTGTTTTTCTTTCTAGGTTTTTATGGAATTTCTACGGGGAAGAGTATCGGTTCTGGAACAATCATCGATGCTGATGGCACGATATTGACTTGTGCTCATGTTGTAGTCGACTTTCAGAACATTCGTCAATCTTCTAAAGGGAGGGTGAGTTTAGGAGATGATCAAACTCATATGTGGCTGGAATGAAAAGAATTGGGAAATTGAACAAAGATTTCTTTACCCGTTGAGTATGCTATGAGGCATAGTATTAATACTGTTTCTGAATTATATCATATGGTTCTTGTACTATGTTGGTTTGTTTATACGATATTTGACTTGTGCTCATGTTGTATGTTTTAAAATATACATGGTTAATCATCGGAGCTGTAGGAAACTAAGATTAGGGTCTTCTGAATGAATTACCTCGATGGGATATGTTTGATGGAATATATGTAAAGTTTAGAGTTGGTGAATTATAGGTTGATGTGACGTTGCAAGACGGTAGGACGTTCGAAGGTGTGGTGGTGAACGCAGATTTGCAATCCGACATAGCATTAGTGAAGATTAAGTCAAAGACGCCATTGCCAACTGCTAAACTTGGTTTTTCGAGTAAGCTTTGTCCAGGGGACTGGGTAATAGCTGTGGGTTGTCCTCTTTCTCTTCAGAACACAATAACTGCTGGTATTGTCAGGTAAGTAAACACATGTACCCACAAACGCTTGATTTCTTTTTTTTTTTTAAAAGTTTTTGCAGTCACAAGTGCTTGATTTTGCTTTGTGTGCCAGTTGTGTTGATCGCAAAAGCAGTGATTTGGGTTTAGGAGGCATACGTAGAGAATATCTCCAAACAGACTGCGCGATCAATGCTGTAAACTCACATCTTTCTTTCGCTATGCATTTAAAACTTGGCTTGAAGATCGTTTTTGATTTTCTTATACTTGTGCTATTTGTGTGCCAGGGAAACTCTGGTGGACCTCTCGTGAATTTAGATGGAGAAGTGATAGGTGTTAACATCATGAAAGTCCTAGCTGCAGATGGGCTCGGATTTTCTGTACCAATCGACTCAGTCTCCAAAATCATTGAGCACTTCAAAAAGAGCGGGTATGTTAGTAAATATCTATAACTTTTGATTGGATTTGGTTGTGTCACATCTTACATGTGTAGAGGAAGAGTGATATAAAGTTATTGTTGCAGTAGAGTTATTCGTCCATGGCTTGGGTTAAAAATGATCGAACTCAATAAAATGATCCTTGCTCAGCTAAAAGAACGAGACCCGATGTTTCCTGATGTCGAAAGAGGCATTCTTGTCCCCACCGTGAGTATCTATCCATCAAGAAGATCCATAGTTGACTGGTATAATCTTAGCTGTGTCAAATTTTGGATATCCACCAATAATATTTGCATGATCACTGTTTTGCAGGTGATTCCAGGATCACCGGCTGATCGAGCTGGATTCAAACCAGGTGATGTTGTTGTGAGATTTGATGGGAAGCCGGTGGAGACCATCAAAGAGGCACGTATCACTTCTCAATCTCTCTCTCTCTCCCCTCTACTTCTTCTTAGTTCTTAGTCGGTAGAATAGAAAATTCATGTGTGAATGAAAGTTTAATTGCAGATAATAGAGATAATAGACGATAGAGTTGGGAAGCGGATGCAAGTAGTTGTGGAAAGATCAAATAAAGAGAGGGTCACACTAGAAATCATTCCTGAGGAGGCTAATCCAGACATGTGATGTGATGGACACTTCAAAACCAAACTTCAGATGTATTTCTTAAGCTGCGGTTGATTTTTTCCTTTCTTGTTTATATTGGCTTTGCTTTCTCTTTTACAATGGAAGTTGCCAGAAAAATATTTGTTCGAATGAAAGATGACTAAAGTTAGTTTTGCATCTGTTCATAAAACCCAGATAGTGAGGGGAAGCGTCTCTCCTTTGTCATATTTTACACATATAAAATTATAAAATGTTAACAACCGGTACCACATCGAAACTGGTCCAATTGGTAGGGATTGTACCACCATCATTTGGATCACGTGTTCGAAACGTCCTTGGTACCATGTCCTCTCTTCCTCTCTCCTTCCAATTATCGCATTAAACGAGGTAATATGAATTACCTTTTTTCCATTGGTTTATAAAAATTAATAAAAGAAAATTCAAGCGGAATAGCAAAACTCGTATTTTGCTTGAAAAATGGAATACCAGCCTTTAGAGGTAATAAAGGTAAACAATTCCTTTTTTAATTTTATTTACAAAATCGAATATGATATTTTAGTCCGGTTTCGTTTCAATGTTCTAATCTTTGGGATTATGATTACATTTTTTCTTCATAAAACTTTCTTGTTTGGTATGATTTCAATCTAACTTAGCCATAGAAAGGGGCATGCTTAATTTCTACACCAGGTAGGTTGTAGAGAAATGAGAGCATGTAATCTAACACGTGATGCATCAAATATCATGGCATATATAACTTAAAAACTATAACACGAAAATTACACACATGTAGAGAGAAAGGAAAGAGAGGAAGAGAGGTCCATTATGAATTGTAATACATGAGAAAAATAAATAACGAGCCAAACTAATGTCTAACATACAAAAATATATTACCAAAATCAAACACGGATACTTAAAACAACATTATATTATATATTTGTATCTAACGGGCTTTGTTTTGTCACAAGGGATGGTAAGGAACGTAGCCCAACAAGCCCGTGACGTTAGCCACAACGTCGTTGCATTTTGACAAAAGGTTGAGCATCTGGTGAGAGATGTCTCCTGCACCAACCACCGGGCTCGGGCCACGGACGTTCCTGAAAGGTGGCATCGGTGGTTCGACATGGTCCACTGTTTTAATAGGTTTCGAGTATTGTGGAGGGAGAGGAAGAATTGGAGGCAATGTTGAAGGTTGTTGATGATGATGAACAACATTTTGAAACTTCTTACTAAAAAATTCCGTTGCAATAGTTGATGATGATGATGAGGATGATGCAGAAGGTCCTCTATTGGAGAATGATGGCTCGGTGGTTGCTTTAATCGAGTTTTGTTCACCCCCTAACATGAATTTGACTCTTGCCGTTCCTCGGTTACCATTCCCATTGCTACTGCTATTACTCTGTTCATCGACGGGTTTCTTCAAGCAGGATTTGAGGTTGATGTTTGGTGGCGGTAAGATTGGTTGGTGAAGTGGCGGTGCTTGGTCTAGCCACTGGCTCTGTGGCTCATCATCTTCCTTTGCGTTTTCTGGTTCATGAGGCTCAGGTTTAGGAGTATCCACGTCACGAAGAAAGTACCTTACGTTCACGTTTCCAAAGAGAGTGTTGTTTCCTGTTGCATATCGAAAAGCAGTCTGTGCATCGGCTTTATACAGAAAGACAACACGGCAGGTCGAGGATTTCCAGAAAACCCTGATGGCAGATTGATCTAACAGCCCGAACCGACCAAACCTCGCCTTTAGCAATGCAGCTGAAGGGAGAGATGTGCCAGGTGGAAACTTCATGACCAGCATTGTGGGCTCAACCACCTTCGCTGACGGACCCGTTTTCTTCCCGGTTTGTGCTTTTGCTGGTTTTGCATGAACCGCACCGCTTTGCTCTCTAACTGGTTTTATACTATCTTTTGCTTCTCGTTTTATCTTCTTCTCAGAAGCCAATGATTTCAGCTGATTAGTTTTCTTCGATTTCTTAGCTGATGGGATTTCGTCTTGACGATCCGAAGAGAGGCGTTTTCTTCCAGCTTTTGATGGATCTGCGGTTCTGTTCACATTCTTGATAGGTTTTAAGGGTTTTGCGTCTCTGACACTTTCCGCAATAGCATCAGATGAAGACACAGTCAAGCTTTTCTGGTAAGTAAGTGAACGGAAACGGAGAAAGAATTTCCTAGCAGCTCCAAAAGAAGCAACTGAAGAACCAAAGAAAGGGTCAAGAGAGAGATCTTGCAGATGATTCAACAGTTGCGGCACATCAACTTCCATATAGGATTGTAAATGCGCTGAACCAAGCTGGGACAATTTCTTGGCACCAGCTTCCCCAGAAGATAAAAACTTCCTCTTTTCTGGATGATCGGAGTTGGGCTCTTTCTTCTTTTTCTTTTTCTTTACCGGCTCTGAAGGAGGATTTTCAGAGCCCATTTCGCTTGATGGTCGTTTAATAACTTTGACTTTCTTGATTACGGACCCTGTGGAACTTTTCCCACCAGATGCTGAGGTATGAGAACCTCGAGGAGACTCAAGCAGGGGCTGGAGAGAGTTTCCAGCTGATCCGGAATCTGGTCCAGCCTCTTGTTTAAGAGTCGCCATAGCTTCAGATTTTCCATGCTCTGGAAATACAACAGTCTTTTCTTCCAATTTCTCCTTTGATTCTTCAGCTAAATCCTTTTCTTCATCAAGAGAGATCTTTGAAACAGAACTTTCTTTACCAGGAATAGCTGCACTTGAAGAGGTGAAATCCATGCTCACAATCCCAGACTGCTCATCTTTCATTGGATTTTGAACCGTTGGAGCTCTTCTCTGTAGCACAAAATCCCCGTCCAAAGATCCACCAAAGGCCGTGGTTGCACTTGCTTCAACTTGGCCAAATGGAATAGTTTTATCTCCAGCTTCATCCCTTCGTTTGAGAAGATACTTGTCTTGTTTTTTCGAATCCTTAACCTTTGTGGGTTTTTTAGAGCTCTTCAAGTCACCAAGAGTTTCCGCTATGACCAGTGGGCCACTCAAGGGAGCTGCAAAAATGAGAAGTTGGAAGAGCACATCAACCACCAAGACAATAGATATCAAACCAAACACGGTTAACGTATGGGGGGACTCCCAGTAATAGAAAGAGGCGCAGAATCGTCATTAGGCCAACTTGTGCAATGCAGATTTGAACATTAACCTTACTTTGTGCTTCGTTCAGGGGTGGTAATGTAAAGAATACAACTAAAAGATATAAATCCTAAAATCACGAGCCTAGAAAAGGTGAAATCAGAGGACCTAACACTCACCAAACCACTAAGTTATAATATCTCACATCTCTGTAACACATACTAGCTCAGGTCTGCATAGAAAAGTTCCACATACAACGCAAAGATTACACATAAACGGAAATGATCTCCCATGATTTCTGAAAATTGACAATACCTCGAGGGGGTGCTCTATTGTGAGGTTCATGCATACTCGCTGCAGTGCGCACAGATTTGGTCCCAAAGGCTTGTGCATACGTTTCATCAAACTCCTCAAACACTGCCTTGCGGAAAGCAAAAACCACTGCTTTCTTCTTCAAAAAATTTAAACTGTCTGAATCACACTCTTGAGGTGCTAAAGCCAATTGCTTCACAAACGATAGAGTCTCGACAGGTGAAAACTTATCCCTAGATTTCTTAATCTGCTCAGCAGAGTAAACGCCTTGGAGCTCGTAATCCGGGACATCAACAGCAAAGTAATCTTGAACATTAGTAGGCCTAAAGTTATAAGGATTCCGGCATTTACAAGTCAACCCAAGAGCTGACCTTCTACTCGCCTCATCCATGGCTTCCTCAACAGCCCTCACAAAGTGCTTCGAAACAGTCTGCTGCGATTTTTCAGCTAAATTCGGTTCAAAGGGAATAAGCTCAGCAGGATCAAACCAGCCATAGCTACTATCTCCGAAAAACGCTACAAGCACATGGTCCATCCTCCTCATGCGACGAACAGAGGGAGACGCAAAACCTTCATTGAATATATGACCAGGCCACCATGGATGAGACTTAACTTTTCCCCAAACCAAGTCGCCCACTTCAAACCCGTAGCTCAATGCCCTCGAAACTCCAGAACCTATTTTCTCGCTTGCAACATAATCATCAAACTCAGATAAGAGAGATTTGTAATCGGAAACCGCATGTATCTCCAAATCTCCTCGCGTTTCTTCCTCGAAAGCAGCATTCGATAACTTCTCATCAGCTTCGGAGCCAAGCTCACTAGATTGATCATCATCGGAAACATCTTGTTTGAGCTCAGGACTGTCATCAGACCTCTCAATCTGGCTATCAGTTGTATCCTCGCTTTTAACCTCAGAAACCCTAGGTTTCGTTTCACTTATATCATCTTCCTCACTCCGTTTGCAGGCAATGAGATCAGCCTTTTCCGATCTCTCACTCTCGAAAACCCTAGCATCGCCATTTCCATCGCCATCGTCATTACTAACCGTAGAATCGAGCTCCATAGGTGAAGCTGCAGCATCATCAATGAGTTGCGATCTCCCTTGAACATTTACGCTCGAATCAACATCAGCATCACCCAAAACCGTAGGGTTCATCTCGGGATTATCAATCGAATCCGTTTGTTGGGCAACCTCAGCATCATCGTTCATCACGTACAGCACCGAATGAATGCAGTTTTGCAAATTACAATCGACAAAAACCCTAAGACCTCTAGCAATCCTGCGAGATTATCCGTATCGGTTCTGGAAGAGAAAATGAAAGAGACGGATTTTCAAAAAAAAAAATGTAAATCGAGAGAAAGATTCATACAGCAATTAAAAAACCAAAACGACACACAAAAAAACAAATAAAAAACCATAAAAAAAAGAGATTTGAGAGAAAATTTACCGATTACTGAATTGCCACATCATAAGACGGGAATTACGTCATAGTGTCCACTATCATGTCCTCACAGGAACAGTCAATTTATTACGTCTGAATCTGTTTTTTATATCTTCGAAATTGGAATCCATCTAAGTTTAAGAAGAACATTTTTTTTCAAAAGAAAAAAATAAGTTCAAGAAGAACACACAAACAACACATAGATTATGCCTTTGTAGCTGTAATCAATTTTAAAAGTTTTCAGAATCCATAATAGCTAGCTGTTACTACACGTATCAAATGTTTGGTTGTCATCAAGTTTTAAAGTTAAAAAGATATTATTAGTTGATGAAGTATGTAAATCACATGTAGTGGTAAATGGTAAACACACTTATCAATCCAAAAATCCTATAATGAATTTATATCTCTACTCTAACAGTAACATTAGTACCAAACACAAATCAGCATACGTTTGTAGAGAAAAAACCCCATTTACACCTTATTTTCAGTAAAAACCATGCCTGAGAAGGGGACAAAAAGAAATTCTGTATTATATTTCTCTATCCTTTCTTTTTTTTTATAAAAGGTTAATATTTTGATATAGAGGAAGAGATTGGAAATGAAAAAGAGAAGGAAGTACAGGAAACAAAAATTTCATTGAGGAATCATGTTTTTGGCGGAGGAGTTCCAGCAAGCCAGCCCCAGACGCCACCAGAGCTCTGTCGTTTGGCATTCATGCCGGATTGTTCAGACGCAACCGCTCTTTGACGGTGGAGGAGTTCGAGTTCCTTTTGAAGCGTTTCCATTGTCTGAAGCTTTTGTCTTAGCTCTGAAACTTCAACCTGCGAGCACTTAGACCGACTTTTGTTAGGATTTGGCCAACCCCGGAGAGGCTTTTTTTTGGGGATTAGAGAGATTCAGAAATCAACCCGGAACTTACAAAAGCTTTCAAAAGGAAAGAAAAGTGATCTATATACCTCTAGTTTGAAACACCTTGATTGTTCCACTGCAAGTTGGCTTCTCACAGATTGAAGTTCCTACACATCAAAAATACAAATAATGCTGAGAAAATCGAGATAAAAGGCAAGAGAGAGATCCATCAAGGTGATAGTATTTTTACCTTGTACAACTCTGTATTTCGCGTTTCTGTCTCTGCTAACTCTTCCTTTAGTTGGAGAGTTTGTATCTTCTCCTTGCTGAGTGATGCCTCCAGTTCTTCCTTCTCCGATTTGAGGGTTGTGATAATGCGTTCGCTTTTTCCTTCAATCTGTGGATTTAGTATTCGAGGAACAAAGGAAAAATATTGGAGATGAATTGTCAAACCTCTTCATAATTTATGTGATTATCTAGTCTACTTTGTTATAATAGACACAGTTTAAGGAGGGGAAAAATCTGACGGGACTTACATTATCCATGACAAATTCCCGGACTTTGCGTTCTTTGCTCACCTCGATCTCAGACTCAATATCTCTGGCCGTGGCATTAAAAACAGCAGAAACGCTATTTGGCACAGGAGAAGTACCCATAATCTTTGATTTCAAGCTTGATTTGTGGCTTGGTTTAAGAACACTCAACTGATTGGCAAAAAACCAGAATCAATAACCGAGTTCACAACCATATCAGAGGACAAAATGTATTTATGGGTACCTCGTTGTTGTAATGTCCATTGTATCCACCAAAAGCGACGATTACGTCTTCGCCATTGTATGAGCTCACAACTAAACTCAATCCCTGTCATCAAAGTAATATTTGCAGCTCAATTCGGAAAGAGTGAAAAAGAAATCACAAGACTAATTTCTTCAAGGTCTTGGAAAATTCAAGTTTCATGTTTCAGGAATAATGAGTAGGAGACTTATATAGAAAATTCAAAATGGGTATGTTTCTTGAACTACCTCACTAGCTAGAGGTACACGTCCTTGGACTGAAGTGAGTACTGACCACGCAAGAGTTGACATATTTAATACAACTGTCTCAGATGCCCCTGCGGTAAAGTACCAGGAAATATCACAATTAATCACACTGTACAAAAGAAAAAAAGAAGCGAAGCAACTATCTAAGTTTTTTCCCACGAACGGCTCCAGTTATGTTACAAAAAGAGCAACACATGCAGGGGTCGAAAAGCAGGGAAGATAAAGAGAAAAAGCGCAGAAACCTACCGCTTTTGTTATCACCACCACCAACAATAAACCAGTTCTCCCCAATCGTCACACCAGCGTGTCCAGCACGTGGAGTTGGTGTTTCACCTTGTTGTATATGTCTTGACCACTCCATCTAGATTATGGAAACAGATATGTCAAGAAGCCGACAAAGAGAATTGCTGAAACAAAAGCAGCCTAACATACAGTTTGTAGACCAAGGACGTGCAGATCATCAAAACAAGTTGTATGTGATCCTCCGCCAAAGATAAGAAGGTAACGCTCAGCGTGCACTGCAGCAGCATGGTCAGACCTCGGAGATGGAGGAGAACCCCTGCAAGTTGACAGCAGTTTAAACCCTGAACTGCTGATTTTTCATTGACAACTTAGATATAAAAGTAGATATAGTTGGCAGCTTTATAAATTCCTTCATTCTTTTAGTTATATCTTTAAAGGACCTGGCTTTCTCAAAAGAGAAAATAAAATGCAGAAATGTCGTATGATCTTACACGGCATCTATCTCATTCCAGGTCATGGTATCCAGATCAAGTACATGCAGATCGTTCAGAAGCGATTTCTTTGCATCCTGGCCGCCAAAGATCACCAACCTTTTCCCCACAAGGGTCGTTGACTGACCTCCACGCGAAACCTGCAAGCAAGAGAGAGTTATAAAAATAGTCTCATTTTAAGCAGCCAAACTACATACTCAGTTTCCAATATCAAAAAAGATATCAATAAATTATTGGATTCAGAATGCAACTTGACACCTGAAATTAAAACAAAGGACGACGGAGAGCAACTTTTCATTTTTTTTTCTTCCTGATGTTCAAAAGTTTTTACTTGTTTACTAGATTGGAATATTTCCCATATACAGATTAGACAATTTGGGAGAAAAGATTATTCACCGGTGGCTTTCCGTATGTCTTTAAGATTGACCATGTGCAGGTATGCAGATCGAAGACCTTCACTGTGATGAGAAAAACAGAAGAAAAAACTGATATACGAAACTGCATTTAACCATTTTCAAAAGTGTTTTAACTCCTACCTGGCATGGATTCTGAGGGATCCTTTGTATGACCACCGACAGACAGAAGCTTGTTGTCCCATGGTATCTACAGAACAAACAAAGAAGGCCAATCAGAATATTAGATTATTTTCTGCTATAAACTAGTAGCATGTGGATTTCATAAAGAGATGTACTTTTCCCTGAACCTGCCTTAAACATCTCAAGGCTAGAAAATCAATGGAGAAAAAACAAAACAAAATGCAAGTTAAAATACTAACCAAAGAATGACCAGCGCAGTGAGTTAGTATTGCTGGAGATGATGTTTCATGTGATTCAGTCACAACTTTGGTTTCAACTCTTGACCAAGTCCAGTTTTTTAAATCTAGAACCTGTAATTGAAACACCATTCACAGAAGATATGTTTCCAAATTGTTAGCAGGAGTGTCACACAAAACTTGGAGAAGATTTTCGAGGCAAAACTGAACCAAATATTTCAATCATATCAGTTAACGCTATACAAAAAAGCTAAAAGTTGCTTACATGAAGATCACCTAGATAACGCCCGTTGTGATTGCCACCATACATATACATCTTATCTTGAATAACCGCTGCTCCATGCTGAAACGAATATAAAAAAAAAAGGAATTAGAAAAGAGTGAAATACAGGAAGAGATCATGTTCCACAAGAGTTAGATAAAATATTACCTCATACCGAGCTTTTGGTGGCTGCCCTGATGTCAGTGGTGCAGCCCACTGGTTATACACAGAAACAGTATTTGGGCCTTCCAAAACTACATCTTTATCTTGGGTTTCCGTCAAGTGCCCATCCTTGGTAGAAGTCGTATTTGTCTCGCCAAATGAAGCGACATTCTCAACACCAGGCTCGGCCTTTGTGCTCTGCGACAGAGAATGAACTTACTAAGAAGTAACATACTTCTCTTTAGCAACAGGAAAGAAAAGTCTGAACCTAAGCATGGAATGGTGTTATACACAAGGATCAAACACATCAGACGAGGCATTGGTATTTGCTACCAAATGCATACATAAAAATAAAAATTGATCCTATGTAGCGATGAAATTGCTTAATTTGGGATCTAAAACTCACACTGATTTGGATATCTACAGCAGGCTCTGGAACAGAGTTAGATGTCCTTGGATACCAACCAGGATCTTCTTCCTTTTTAAAAGTGAGCAATAGGAAGAAATTAGTCTATTAACCACAAACTAAGAGAAAATGAGCATAAATATCCATGTTGGTTACCTCTAGAATTTTCACAAAGAGACGCATTGCCTCAATGGCGGGCATGGTTCCAAGTCCCTGCCAACTAGTTAAACATGGACTTCTCTTAGGAAAGTTCACAAGGACCTTGCCCTAATTTATGAGACATCTTGATCCTTGCACTATGAAGCTACTTTGACAGAATCTAAAGCCTCTCCTAGTGTAGAATGGCAGATAGATATTGGCCGACACAGAAGTGATTCTAACCTTTTCCACTTGCTTTGCTCTATTGGATTCCACGCACTAGGTTTTGGTATACTGCAAGGTCCTAGAGTAGCCTGTTAAAATAAAAGATCAGTATCACAAGGATGATGAAATAAGTTGACTCGCCAATCAATTGGTAAAGAAGAAAATTCTCTATCAAGGAAAAGATAAAAAAAAAAGTTTCAGCATCATGTATCATAGATTCATAATAGTCTACCACAATTTCGAATCTTGACTTAGAACCAATGGAAGAGCATGAACCTGAAATCTCGTAGCAATGAAAATATTGTGGGATCATCTTTGAAGTATAAGACTGTTCCATTCCCAGGTCAGCATCGTCTGGAAGCTAATCTATCTACCCGAAACATTCATTTCTATCGTAAACGAGAAAAAACAACCATTTCGACCACGTCTACAATGAAACCCATCGAATACATGCAAATCCAATCATAAAATCCTAAACAAAAAGCTAAGGCAAAGACGCAAATTGCGCCATTTAATAACAAAACTGATGAGAAAGTAGAAATCAACATGTTGTTAAATGACCAGAAGATCTCGTGGAATTCAATACCGGAATCCGAAAAGGCGAGTTTAGCATTGGAGAAGATGAGAGATAGAAATTTAGGGACCTGCTGGTGCAGCGCAAAGAGAAGCAAAGCCGAATCGTTGGAGAATTTGGAGCTGAGTTGTTTCACCGACGATACAGATCCGTCGAAGCCGACGTACGATGCGGCGGCGTAGAACCTCTCAGGGTAAGCAAGGCCAGAGCTCGCCATGTTAGCCATTTTTGTTCGTTTCAAGTTTTGGGATCAATTAGTTTAGTTACGGATACGAATACTCGATGGCAGCGTTTTATATAGCGGCGATCAAGAACGACATATTGCTATTTGCTTTCTCCAACATTCAAAAATCCAATAGACGATTTTGAAATTCGATTTTCCGTTAAATTTTCGGAATGTTTTTTTTTTTCCTTGACGAACTCCACAACCACAACAAAGAATCTTTCTTTTTTTTTGTCGAAAAAGTTAACTTTCATTTGTTTCTCATTCACAATCCAAATTACATTAATCTTACTACTAAGTACTAAGAACGCCAAAGAAATAAGGTTTGATGAATTGTCTAAAATGTAGTAGTGACATTGCGAAAAATTTATTATCCGGAAAAGCATCTTCTACTATTTTTAGAGTGAGCTGAATCATGTGAATTGTATAATCTCTTGCATAATACAACTTTTTTTTCTTTCTCTGTAACATAAATTTCCCAATTTTAAGATTATTCAAACTTAATAGTAAGGACTACAACAGGGGGAAAAACTTAGAAAAGAGGATTTGTGCTAACGTGCCATGAAATAATTTGCTAATGGCCAAACGAGAAACTCAACCTATAGATGCACCGTTGGGTGTATCATTGGAGCTCCTATGTGACTTGTGCTTCGATCTCTTCTCCCGTTTCTTACTCCTGGGGAAAATGAATAGAGAAAGAGAGAGTCGATAGAATAAGCACACAAAAATTACTATGAAATATAGATATGAAGAGGTTACAAGGATCAAGAGCAGAAAGGTTTTAATTATACTCGTCATGTGAAGAACTATGTCCTAGACAAGATTTTAGCTTCCGGTTGATATGCTTCATGTCCTTTTCACTTGGGGACTTGTAGTTCTTTACCTGCAAAAAGGGTGAGAGCATATAGTAAAACTAACTTTTAGATTTGAAAGTTTCATGATTATGAGAAAATATTATAAAGGTAGTGTACCAAAGATTCGATGTCATCAAGTAACTTTGTGAGCTCTGAAGTCGTGTGCTCCGAGTTCGGTTGAGAAACAATGTTCTCTAGGTACCTGCACCAGTAAAAAGCTTGCATATAACGAAAATAGAGGCCAAGAGATTAAATAATAGGAACATAATTGTACGATGACTATATGGTGTTTAAAGGGAGATAACCTATCATAGTCAACCACTCCAAGAATCCTATTTGCAATACGCAAAGCAGCCAACGCCAACTGAGACACAAGACAGAAATTTGTGATACTTCTTGTGTTAGATATACCAGTAAAAGAAAAAATATCCTGCAAGAAGGAACTGTTACGTGTAGAAGATAATGATCGGATTACAAAGTAACTTGAGGAATTTGATAACAATGGAGCTCCTCCCACGATCACCAAATACTCGTTACCTAACTCACTCACTCACTTCCCTTACCCTAGACACTTTACGGTAAAAGTAAATAGAGACATGACCCTTAATCCATTATAGATACAATAAGGTAGAAGCCTAATCATCTGACCCAACGTATCATGAACATGGTGAGTTTATTTCGATAAGCTAAACTACTATACTATAAAGATTCATCAATGCAGTTTTCACCCATATCTCTGTAAAAGAGAAAACAAAGCACCATCTTTCGTCCTAAATTTTTATTTATTGAGCAGCATATATGAGCTTCACTAAAATATCCCAAACCATGGGTTTAAGTTATTATGTACATTTAATCTGATAAAAACAAAGGCTAGAGAGACAAAAAGAAACTATCACCTGGCCAGGAGGAAAGAGGAGTGGAGCATCTGTGAGCATAACTTTATCGGCTTCTGCTGTCGCCGCTTTGAGCAAATTCTGCAAAATAATTGAAATGTTATGCCAGTATGAGAAAATGACACTTCAACAAGGCCCGTTATGTAAAAAGACTTGCAGTTATGAAGAGAGAGATCTACCTCCAGCTTTTGGATTTCATCATCTTGAGCTTGAAGAAAATCCTAGAGGATGAAAAGATGATGTCACTTTTGGAGACAGCGTGAAGTTAAACAAGGATGAAAAACTACACATCGAATAAAAAGCATTAAAAAGCTTAAAATTTCCTATTATGGTTCACCAATTTCTTTCCTTGAAGATAACATTCAGAAATTTGCTTGCAACAAAATAATTGCCTATTAACTCAAAACCAAGCTGTCATAAGAAAACCTACGAAAAAATTTTAGACAGTCAAGATTTACCTCCATATTACTGACAAAGCCTTCGATAGCACGATACGGTGCATAAACAATCAGATCAAATTCCAAACTCTGCACATAAAGTTAATATAATATGAACAGAAGAACAGAGAGAGAAAGTAACATCCGGGATAAATAAACATAGGCAAGCTGCTAATGATTGATTGACTCATATCATGCCTGAAGAACAGCCATCTCATACTTGAGAATAATGTGGTGATCTTGTTTAATCCCTTTCCCTATTTCCTCAGCAGATACATGATTCTCCTCTATTTTACAAGCTGCATACACGCAGGTTAACCTGTTCAATGAAAGGTATCAATTAGTCCAAATTACAACATCCTACCAAGACAAATAAGCCTGTGAGAAAGAAAAAAAAATAAAAATACTTGGCTCAATTTGATAAACACTTTCAAAACATAGTTCTTATAGAAAGCAAATTGGTAACTTGTGCGCATTTTTGAGGATTCAGAAGAAATGTACATTATTTCTTTTGGATGATGTTGCATAACAGACCACTGCAGATAAAATCTTTTAAAGTATTGGAGGGCTGTTGCCTGCAAAAAAGATTATAAAAAAACATCAATTCAGAGAGCTAACAAGATTAGGCAATATTCTTTTGAAATCATCACAAACTTCCATCTGAAGAGGAGCAATGCACCTGAATCTTGTGAGGAAATTCGAAGGCACTGCACACTTCTTGGACCTTAGCCTCATAAAATGCTCTCATGGACCGTTCTTCATCAACACTCAAAGGCTTAAGCTTCTTATCAGCTGAGAGTAAAGTAGCAAAGCGTAACATTATTTGAGCTTCGACCAGCAAAACTAAGATTATACGTAATGAAGATATTGGACGAATGACGTAATTTAAACTTTGACCAACAAAACTATAATGATATGTATGAAGATATTGGACAAACCATAGTTGATTAAAAAAAATATTACCTTGATCTCCTGCGTCAACTTTATCTGTCGGATATGTTAGTGATCCACTGGCATCTACTTCAACTTGCGTTGTACCACACTATGAAAAAGAATAAGTTAATATCCATCATGCATACAGACTAAAGTTTCATATCACACACTTAATACGCACCTTCTCCAGCATTTGCACTGCCCTCTGGTTAGCAGCTTTATATCTCTCTGCCTACAATTAAAACACTAGAGCTTAGTTGCAATACCAATATCTACACAAGAAGAAGAAGAAAAACAATACCACACTTAATTAAGAAGCAAAAAGCTGGAAAAGCTAGCACTAAGACAAAGCCCAAAAAACTGTATTTCATTGGTAAACACATAAAACGAAATAGACAAGCAATTGAACAATGAACAATTTCACTTCCGTTTGGTTAAGAATAACTAAATGCTCATTAACCCAAACAGAAACAAGAGAGGAAAAAAAAAAAAAACACAGATGAAAACAGTCTTTATGATGGAATCGAAAACCCCAAAGATTTTCGATATAGACAAAATGATATCGCAATTTCAGATAATATTCTCGGGAATCCAAAAGAATATGGAAAGGGAAGCAGGATACCAGTTTCTGGGGAGTGAAAATCCACTTGGCCCGTTGAGTTGATGTCTGGAAATCCGCCATTACTGAGTGGCTTAACAGTTGCAATTAATCGAAATCAAAAATTTGACTTCCCAAGTAAAAAGTATATCTCTCTTTGTCGAACAGTGTGACGGCTAATCGCCGATCAAATTCACACAACCTATTGTCTATGGCGATTACCAGTCTGAATCAGATGGAACCACCCTCTCAAATTCAATTTCAATTTTACGGCTTTAGTTTTTTTGTTTTAATGAATTTTTGACAGTGTTGGGCTTTCGGGATAGTGGGAAAAAAAAGAGTGTTGGGCTTTCATAGTTTGATTATGATTTAGGGCTTACGTATTTACGGATAATCAGTAAATAAACCATTTTGACATCGGCTAATCAGTAATTTTAGAGGGTAAGATGAGAGAGAGATGTTAATATTGCTTTAAAGTTAAGCCCGATCTGGCCCAAGGGGAAGAACAAACGTCAAGAACAATTTTTCGAAGAATTTGAAATTGAGAAGAGGACAAAACTGAAAGAAAAAAGAATGCAGCTTCAAAGTTACAGAATCAATGGTAACTACCAAGAAGCTGTTCAGTTGTTAACTAGCTAAAAACTATACTAACCTCTACAATCGAAACAGTTAATCTGATATCTTCTTCTTTTTTTTTTTCTTTCCAGATTGAAGATCTCAGGTTAATTAATAAAGGACTCAAAAATTGTTATCATGTTCTTACAAGAGCCATGATTTGATTCTTGATCCATCCCATACAAGTCTGAATTTCTCTGTAGATCGGCATGTTCTGGGGACACCGTGGCTGCAAGCTACTCACTGCTGTCTCCATCACCTGAGCCACGTCAGCTGGTGGGTACTGCTTCTCTGTGCACATCTGCTATGTATTTCCATTTCAGTAAAGTCAGAAAAGTTTTTTATTCTTTGTTTTACATAATAGACTTTTGTTAGTCCTAGAAACTTTCCAATCCCATTTACCTGGATCATGAGCCAAGTTGAAACACAAGAGCTGATAAGCTCTGAAGCCATTTGCGTTTCGTTTTTTCCTGATCCGATCAATCCTTTAGTCATCGGCTCTGCTGTGATTGAGGGAGACCGGCTTTGGTGATGATGATCCAAGCTGCCATTGGTAGTCTCTACAAAGTTATCTAATGGCTGGTGTTCGCCAATGGAGCCTACAGCTTGTTTCACCATGTTCCCTGCGTCTTCTTCACCCTTCACCGAAGATGCAGCCTACAGCCGCACAGTGAAATACGTTTAAACAAAAGATGAGAGTTTTATGACTTTGAATTCTCTACATATAGTTGAATGCCCAACAACAAACATGTATTATATAACTACCTTCATAGCTGCATCCACCATTGCTTGTGCTATTGACCTTGAACCACTGACTATTCCAAGCATTTCTGGCTCCATTTCCTGAATATCAGAAAAATGACAGGAGAATTAAAATTTTTTTCTCAAGTATTGATTTACTCTATTCGGCGGAAAACAAAAACAAAATAAGTTTATACACTAAGAATGATCAATCTGAAGTCAGAAATACCAAGGGCATCCAAGGTTCATTAACTTGAGCCTATTTACCCACAAATATGGCATGCATATAATCATTACCTCTGCATCTGAACTATGCTTCAGCATCAGAGCTCGTTGAATTTCAGCTCTTCTTGCTTTGCTATTACTTGTGTTATATGATTGATCAGTAGAGACTGGCCTGTCCCTATCATCCTGTAGAGACTTATTCAATTATGCATAGAGTTTACCAAAAATGTACGGGAAGAAAATAGAAGATCAGAGCTTGACAGACCAGTCAAGCGTCATTGTTTACCTGTTTCACGGGAGGAGTCATGGAAAAGTCGATATTTTCAAGCACAGAAGGTGGGAACAGAACAGATGCATCAGAATTTGGGTTTCTATTAAGCTGTGATTCTTTGCTTATTGACAAGCAGTTATCAATTTGCCTCCTCAGACCCTCTGGCATGTATTCCAATGGATTTAAAGGCATGCAATCAATGTCCTGTCAAAATAAGGATTTGGTTAACCATCTGAGCTACGATTAAACTGTAAAACATTATTATCTACAAGTCGCAAGAAGTGAATTGTGTCAGCAGAATTGGTATTTGAGATTTACCATAACTAATTCAAAGCCCGTTTCATCAAATAGAACGTTGCATTTGTCATGATCCACAGTAAGAATCTTGCCATCACGAATTTCCCGTGTTTTAGGATGGATGGCAATGACTCTATTCCCGACTGATAAAGGCTGGGCCAAATCTGTAGGAAGCCCTTCCCTAGCACCTGCACGGAGCTCTGTATAATGCTTTCTCACAGATTCACGATATTGTTTGAGTTTATCCCGCTCTTCCTGTATGAATCTCTCAGAGAATCTCCGAGGTCTACCAAGAGAACTGAAAATATACAGAATGAGTAACATTTTCGAATTTTAATATACATTTCTGAACCCCATTTCCAGAGACAAAAAAGTCATGAACTCTAACAAACCTTTTGATGACGCTCCACTCAAGACGAGTAAGTCTTGGAACGTGACCAAGTCCCACATGATTTAGATAATCAGTGAACTCCATTTTTGCAAACCAGGGATAGTCAATAGCACTGTAGAACCATTCAAATATGCACCTTCGGCGTACCAATGGATATGACAGACAAGTCGATACCTTCTGTAAATGGAATAAGGAAATAAATTACCAGATTTTGGATGCCCATAAGAGAAATGAAGTTAGAGACTCCACCTTTAATAATTCATGTTCTGAAAATGTTTCGTAACTATGTGGCTTTTCAGGAGTGGTTTCGTAAGTTTTAGCTCTTTCTTGCAAACTTTTCTTCAAACTCATCTTACGCCTGTTTGGTGGTTTCTGCGGCAAACTCGCTGGACCCGAACCTGAGACTTGTGTAGCTGACACTACTGCATCCGGTCCAGTTATTTTCTTATCGCTAGTTGAAGAAAATTCTTCCGAGTTCTTTGCGGTTTTCAGCTGTTTTGCTGGTCCTTGACCAGCACGTCTCTCTTTGACCAGAGTCTTCAGATAAACATCAGCCAATTCCTGCAAACAATAAAGAAAAATCATCAGACGAAGCACAAAAAAAAAATTACTCACGCATACAAGCATAAGCTTCCTAAGCTTTTTGATGGAAGACTTTGCCAAGGATCCTGCAATAAACAAATAGGATAAAATCGGGTTTCGCATATTTATAGATTTGCAAATACCTTATTATGTAGAGGTTTACGTTTTCTTCTTGAGGTGCCAAGTTCCCCTATGGAGACGTCATTACCATCGACGAGTTCCTGCGCAGACGTAAGTTTTCTATTATCAGTAGCGGAAACCGCATGTAGAAGCCTATCTTCTGGTCCTGCTTGTTTTGCTTTTTCTCTGGTATGGCTTGTAGATACGGTTTCCGGAGTGTTAGATTTCTCATCCACGTTGTTAGCTACTCTTTCTTTTTGCAACTGTGCAGATGATTCTGGATCCAACACAAAACATTAGAGATAAGTAAAAAAGATGTACCCTGATGTGAAAGGTAAAAGGTGAAAGCTGCAGATATTTATTAATGGGTCTTTACTTCTAAACCAAGACAATATACATCGTCAATGGGAAAACCCAAATTACCCAACACAAGAATAAATAAAAAACCATTCGATGCTCACCTAATTTCATCAAACCAGCCGGAGTAAGTGAAGCTGACAATTCAGCCAATGCATACAGAGCTTCTAGTTCATCTACACAGGAAAAGACAAGTAATAAGTTTCAAATTCTGATAAATTAAATTCATCTACACAATAAGTAAAACCTCCATAAAAGAGTTTCTTATTTTGTTTTTTTGGGGCTATCTAGTAAATATTTACCTCTTGAGCCTTCAGTCTCTACCACTCTTTTCTGCGGTTTAGGTTTACGTCTCTCATTGGCATTGCATGCTTCTCCGCTGTCATCAGAAGCATCTCTTTCTGCTTCTTCAAATCTCACATTTTTCTCCTTCTGAGGAATCTCCACGGTACCAAGCCCTCCCATATCCATCAACAAGGCACCATCTCTATCACGAGATCCCTTTATATGCCTCCTATCTCGGCTTATTGTCACCCCATTGTCAAACATGGAGCTAGCACGGAGCTTGGCTTGAGCTTCCTTTGATTGTGACTGCAAAAGAAAAAAAAAGTAGAACCAAGAATCATGACAACAATGAAAAGAAATGATGATAACTTAAATTCCTGGAGCTATAAAGATACCATTTTTCCACTTGGTGTGCTGTCATGGAGTTTTGTTCTTCTATATGGAGACCCTCCTCCCCTTCTCGATGCATTTGCCAATGTTAAAGCTAGCGTCTCATCATCATCATCATCATCACCATCATCAAGTTGTTTCTTGGCTCTTTTATTTCGCGGAGTAGAATCTTCTCTATCATCCCTCTTGTCTGCAATTGGTACAGGAAACCGAGGTGTACGTTTCGCAGTGGCACGCCTCTCAATTCCTACATAAAGTAAAGTAACAGATTACACATTCTTGAACATACTCATTTACATGTATTTGTTACGCTGCACAGAATTCCACAAGACAGATGACTATCCTCTATAAATGCTGTGAACTACAAAATTAAGATAAAAGGCAGCTTGTTGTTCATTTTCTCAAAAATTTGAACCGCATAGTAATCTTTTAAACCACAAATTTTGGATAAATAATTTGGGGAAAATAATGATTGTACCATAAGCTTGTGTCAGCTTTAAAAATGGGAGGCATCCTTCTGCTGATGCAATTGAATGTGGTGTACTAGCTTCTTCTCGAAAATTACTAGGCGAGACTTTAGCACGTTTGCGCTTCAGATATTTCCTCGGTACTCCCGAAGCAACATGGCCTTCTCCTTCACTTTCACTCCCCTCCTACAAAAATTACCGTAAGCATGTATACAATTTTACTAAACAGACAATCTGACCCAACAAAGCAGCCAGATCTAAATGACTCACTATGACGCTGTAATGATCAGTCATCATTGCAATGAGGCCAGCTACAGACGCAGTTCCCTCTGGAAGGGATAAATATGCCTGAAAAGAAAAGGCAAAATCAAATGGATGAAAAAGGTTATCAATTCATGTTTAACATAATGTCGTTTCAAGGTTAGAATGAAGCCTAGGGAAAAACTTTCCATCTCGATACTAAAAGGAACTGAAAAGTGTATACTCATACCCGATTCATATAAAAAAGGGCTTCCACCATCTCAACAGACCGGTTATTCCTCACTGCAGCAGCTACCTAAGCAGTTTCCAGGGAAGAACTAGTCTTAGGACTTTGAAGTCATACAAAAGTTGAGAAAGTAGTCACATAAAACCATATTGTGCAACGCTGTTTACCTTTTTCCATTTTCCCCCATGCTTCCGATAGGCGTCATAGAAACGCTCCAGCTCTCCTCTCGTCCACTGAGGTCCCAGCTTGTCAGCTAATTTCTTCTTCTAGGATGAGAAAAAACCGCAGTCAACAAATAATAAGAAATATATCTAATTCAGATTTCAAGAAACGAAGATAGCGAGAAAAAAAGCACTAGAAGAGGGTCCAATCAAAGGAAAACCAAAAATCTCTCAGATTCCCTATAACAAATATGATTTCCATCTCGTGCAACAAGTTTAGCTTTGATTTAAAGTGACTCTTAATAAGATAACAAAGAGCATCCAAGTGATTATCCCAGATAAGATAGGTCAATGACGAAAAAACTCACTCGTTGCTTGGTTTTGCTCGAGTTCCTATAATCTATTTCTGGAGAAGCTTCATTGGTGAAGCGCTTGTTCACACTCTTCGACTTCCTACTGGGCGCCATATGCTGATTTCTCTGCTTAGTGATTCCAACGAAAGTTTAAACAGTTAGAAATTTGAGAAACCGTGAAACTGATCTGGCCAAGATTCGATAATAACTTTGATCTCATCACAAAATCCAGAATTCAATTTCATCAAAGGAAGATCAGTAAGTCGATTATGCGTTAGCAAAGACACCAAATTTGCTTACAAATCTCTAACAATTTGCAGTATCAATAAAGAAAACAAAATCCGAATCGGAATCAGCTTCGGGAATTCAAAAGTACCGACAGAAAAGAATACCCAGATTCAGATACCAATAATCATTTCGATAAGACCGAAAATCTCACACGAAGAAACATAAATCACAAGTTCGAATCCAAGTTTTCCGAGAATTTGTATTTTGAAAGTAAAAGATAAGAAAAACACTCTTCGAAAACAAAAATCACATCGCCGAACCAGAAAACATCAATGATAAAGCAGACTTCTCCACAAAATCCGAAACCAATTTCTCACACGGCTTCCCCAAAAAATCCGATAAAGTGAAGTTCAAAAAGATCCCAATTAGTAAAAAACCTTTTAAACCCTAAATCAGAACAGATCCACTCACCGATTAGGCGGCTCAAAGAGAATCGGCGTTGAATCACATAGAGAAGAACTCAGATGAGAGAAAGCTCGAAAACCTTCTTAGAGAGATCGGTGAGAAATTCGAAAGAGGTTTTAAAGAGAGAGAGAAAGAGAGAGAGAAGAGAGAAAAAGGATTTTATTTAGATGAAATATAGGAGAGAGAGAGAGGAGGGAGGCGTTGCCGCGAAACTTGAATAAAAAGACGACTTGAGACTTTAGAGTTTAGAGCCAATAGGCATTCCGTTCTTTTGTCATGTTTTTTTAATTTCTTTTTATTTCACTATGAATATCAAAAGCTTGTGATCCGAAACGCACACGTGGATTCTCGATATCTACACCGTTAGATATTTTTGAGTTTCATTTAGGGTTTGTAGTAACGGCAACATGGGATTATATTTGAAAATACCCAAATTTCTACTGACGGTGAAAACGGAAAATGGAAAATTTCTTTGCGCATGGAAAAATATCTGACTTTAAAAAAAAAAAAATATACGTTTTGATGATGAAAAAAACAAATTAATACAAAATAAATCGATCTTTATTTTAGTTCCATTTTCGTTTGGCATATGTAGGACCAGTAAACTTTTTTAATTCTTTTTGGTAAATACGTTAGGAGACAAATGGTTAAATATTTATTTTAACAGAATATAGCAAAATAGTTCAAAGCAGTAAAAGATACGATGGTGAAATGTTTCAGTAAAATTATCTGTGAATCAAATAAGCATTTTTGTAAAACTAATGAAAAAAAAACATTTTTCCTTGATGAAAAATATACAAAATGAAAGTTTTGATTTAATATTTTCTTTTCATGATTCAGATTTGGTTTAAATCCGGTTTGGTTGTGCCAACAATTTTCTTGCTTATTCCAAAACTGTACGGACATTTACCGATTTCTTAGACCATCTTTAACAGTAGTATTTTAATATGAGTTTCTCAAGAATGTAAACACAATTTTTAATATGAACACAAATTTAATTGAAAAATATTTTAAACGGACAAATCATAAAAGGACAAGTGTCAAATGAGTCTCTCATAAAAGTTCTATAGTTTCTAAAACGAGAATCAGTTCTCACCTTCTTTTTTACTTTTACTAATATTTTCATTATGTTATTAGTGAGAAACTCTCCTAAATACCACCATCGCAAATGTTCTTAGAACATATGGCCACACTCATCGGAACCATACTCTGTTTTTTTCCATTTTTTTATTATAAACGAAAACTAAAGCATAATTCTGATTCATGTCTTATAAACCTACCTACAATCACATCTTTCAAAGGTCAATAATCACCCTAGCAATACAACAAACACTTTTGAGTAATGTATATATATATATATATATATATATCATCACAGTTTAGAGGGCATAGGGTCCCAGGCTGCGATCTCCGCATACATATTGGATATTGCCTCTGCAAAGTAAGCTTTTGCTTGAGGTCTCTTTATCTGTTTGTAAGTTAAAACACATGAATTAGAGAATCAGAGGTAAGTAAGAAAAAAAAATTACAATAGCAGTTCCAAGTACTTGACAATGTTGGTTTACCTTGAATGTTTGTGTTAGAAGTCCATTCTCTAAGGTGAATGGTTCTGGCACTAAAGTCACAGCCTTTGCAAACTCAAATCCTCTCAACTGTATTAGAACAAATTTGTTTATTGTTGAGTTAATAATTTCTTTTGGACAGGTGAGATATAAGCAAAGGCAGGTTTTGCTGCTTTTTTTTTTGTTTTACCTGAGCTTCTCTTCCAGCGTTGTCCATCTCCGCAAGAACTGCCTTTCGCAGTCTTGGGTCTTTACAGAGCTGTCCTAGATGATCATACTGAAACCATCAAGAAGAGATGGCAACAAATTGAGAAATTTCTTTAGCAGTAAAACCAGTTGGATAAAAAAGTCTCTGTATCATATCATTGACTGAGATAGAAAAATAATTACCTTGATGCCTTCTGATGCAGCCCAATCTTTCATAACATCCGGGTCGACTGAAACTATAGCTACTAGAGAGGTATTGAAGCTATCACCTACAATAGACACTCTAACTCGGTTGAGTAACAGCACAAGTGAAGAAGCATAAGTATTGTTGGTAGAGAGCAGAGTCTTTGTTTTTGCTGACCGTATATGAAACACTGGGAACACAAATCTACATTTAGTATATACATTTTCGATTTTCTCTGGTGCTATATACTCCCCTTGCGCCAACTTGAATATGTTTTTTTTTCCTGTCATGAACAAATGTGAACATTGAAGTTTTATCAATTCTTCTTTCCAACAAAGAAAACTCAAAACATTAAGGACGAGGAGAAAAAGATCAGAGTCCCAGACTTCATGTGAAATAGAAGGCCTCACGTTCTTCCACGTGGTGAAATTAATGGGCTCCAGCGATAAAAGAAAGAAACTGCTACAACAACCTCTGAACTATTGCGCTGGGCTCAAAGTTTTTTTAAATTCAAATTTTCAGTGCTTATTTTGTAAAATGCAAAATATAGGCCTGAATATTCGTATCAAGAATTTAGCTCCCTCGCATTTTTTTTTTTTTAAGTTGAAAAAACATACGAAACATTTTGGTTTGTGTTGTTTCTACACGTTTTTTTGAATATGGTTTTCATAATTAGTTAATTACCAACTAACTATAAAGTTGGGTACACAATCCTGTCATTATGAGTTGTTATCAAGTTCCTGTGACCATACATTGCCACTGCAGCCACTAAAGTGCACAGACTAGTAAGATAAGCAGCAAACACCTTCACTGCCTGCAAAGTGTCATTTCTTCCCACAAAGCGGTTCTGAATATAGAACATCTTTCTACCCATCCAAACAATGGGTTTACTAGGTGCTATCCACTTAAGAGAGCCAACGTAAATTCCTTACGGTTGAGAGGCACCACTGCTGGATCTGACTTTGGTAAGGTAAGGCGATTGAGCTTTTCAAGCTCTTCCAAAATCACATTTGGGTTGTCAAAATGCATTATGTTTCTGAAACTGGCTTAAAGATAGATGTCTGCTGATTTTTTTGGTTGAGAAGGGCCAAACTTTGATCGGCATGAAGATTTGTATGTATGGAGCCTTGCTACAGTTAGCCGTTTCTTTTCCTTGGAAGAAACTGTGGAGGTCTAGAGTGTTTGGAGCAGCTTCTTCTCCTCGGAAGAAGAAGAGGAACATATGTTGAAACCAAAGTATGCTTCATATTTTTAAGTCTACATTCTGAGACATTCATTTTGCTGATATTGGAGTAGATTTGATCATTTTTGCTGGTTTTTGATTTTCATTTTGATTCTGGATTGAGTTGTTCTTTGTCACATTTGAGTAAGCTTAAATTGTGGACTACCCGTTTTTAGTATTTTGAGGTTGAATTTTGCTTCAAATGTTGATCTGATCGCTGGAGGTTGAATTTGATTTGATTTGAAAATTGGTTTCAAAGTTTATGGTAAGGAGAACATAGAGCAAGTTTAATGAAGTGATATTGAAGAGGCTTTTCATGAGCAAAGTCAACAAAGCTCCACTTTCTCTATCTAGGCTCGTGGAATTCGTGACGGGCAAGGTTTCATTTGTTGAAACCCGCTCAATCTCTTTGTCTTATATATTGAAAGTAGTCCTTCAATATGTTCCATTATTTTGGAATCAGTTTTCCAATCTCTAAAACTAAAGTAGTAACTGCTTATCTGAACTTAGTCTGCAACATTGAGGTTAATTTCTGATATCATATTTTGTCAATTTTGTGAGTTTTGAACGTGCTTTTTCATGTTTTCATATTATCTTCGTTGGAAATGTAACAGATGATTTGAGGGAACACAAGATTCCAGCTATTAAAGTTACTATCTTGAGGTTCACAAAGAGAGCCTGGTTGACTCAGTGGATCGATCGTTAACCTGGTGGGCTTTGTAAGGAGCATGTATGCATGTGTAGATGGAAAAAGTTGGATATAAAGGAAAGAATCCGAAACTTTAGGGTCATGGAAGGCATAAGGCATGTGCAGATTCCCTAGTTTTTATTAATATTAAGCATGAACCATGCTCATAGACATTATTAAAGGAGGATCAAGGTTTGGTCTGGGAGACACTCCAAAGATAACAAAACAAGTCTTACTCAAGCAAAGCTTAATGTCATAAACATACATGAGAGAATACACGGAAAAAGCAGAGGTTCTCTCGATCGGTTCATCTTCACTTCTCCAAGGCTTCTCTGGCCAGCTTCATCAGCTGAAACACGACACAGACAAGGAAAAAGGTCATGGCGCTTGAAAACCAACACATCAATTCTACATATTTTCTATGGCTCTTGCAAAACAAACTCTCAAGCATAACATCAAGCAAACCATACTCGGGAAACATGATCACATAAATTTAGATGCTTTACAAAAAAAAAAAAAAAATCCAGCAATACGGAGTTTAAATAGCATCCACATTACATACACAAAATCATTTACCTCAGCATTCACATTTTCCAGTTTGCGCAGATAACGCTCTTTTTGTTTCTCACACTCGCTTTTTTTCTTGATCAATGCGCGCGCGTAACACTGTCCTAGCGTCGTATGCTGCAACAGTGAGTTTTCACTCCATCAGTGAGCTTTCTTCTTGTTGTGAAAGAAAACGAACGAGAATCAGAAATCAAAAAAAAAAAAAAAAAAAATCAAAAAGATTCAAACCGACACATACTAGACTTAATTAAACCGAACGCCACTCCATTAAAAACTATTATGACAGACATAAAAGGCTTCCACTATACCTCTTCTACCAAGATACGTTTCATGCTCTGCAATTTACGCAAAAAAAATTTGAATAAATTGTTTCGAATTACTTTAGCAATAGGGGAGGATCCTAGACTCCGCATCGCCATCTTCTTCCTGAGGGTTCTTCCGCTTCTGCTCGTTCAACCAATCGGGTCTCTCTGTGTTCGTGTTTTTTTTTTTTTTTTTTTTTTTTAATGTGTGCGTATGGTCGAATCGGGCATACAACTCTTGAGCGCCAAGCAACAAATTAATGTCCTTGGAGTTGATCCTAAGACAGAGCAATACGCTTGTATGGTCGAAATATTGGGACGGGCTGGTCTAGTAGTGATCTTTGGGCCTGCTTGGTAATAGCTGGTATTTTAGAGTTTAGACTTTTATTTTAAAATTAAACTTTAAAACTTTGACTTAAGAAAATTAAGTTTAAGAGTAAAAAAGGAGGCTTTGGAGAAAACAAATCGCTCCACCAACTAAGAACGGCCATGCATTACTTTCAAAACTTTAAAACAAAATAAGTCCTAAAAGCTAATGCCAAGCACCCCTTTTGTATATATGTTTGGCATCTACTAGTTGGTGGTTTTAATGAATCACTGGGCCAAAGAAGAAACACAACTCTTTACGAGTATGTATGTAATTATATTCATCATTGATGTAATAGCATAAAAAGATGTACAGACAGTATACTCTTTGCTTACATAATATATACTAGCAGAAATGTAAGCAATAAATAACTACACTGCGGAGAAAATCATCTTCACATTGCTTTCATGAACCTGTTAATGGATGAGAATATTCCAGCAGCTTGACTCAATAAAGATGGCTCTTCATCTGATTTCTCTTCTACGTTCCCATATATTATCTGCCAAAATAAAGAAAACCTTTTTATACATATGAAATTGCTGCGTAATCAGCTATTTGACAACTCAATAGGAATCGAACTAACCTCAAGATCCTCCGCATCAGGTCGACCAATGAGTTCTTTGGCGAGTAGATACCGGCCAGGTCTGTCTTTATTGTCGTAGAAGACTTTCCATTTACTAGACGTTAAATCAGGATAACATCGTTATATAGTTTCTACATAGACTTAATCAGATAAGAAAAAATCAATTCTTCAGTCTTACCCAGGATAACACCTGAAAACAGCACCAGCAGCGAGAGGTCTCATGGAGTAAACCGTAGTAAAAGAACTACAAAGAAGACTCAAAAAAATAATCAGTTATTGATGCAATGATGTTAAGTCAGTAACCTTCTCAAGTCTCATTATGGATCTTGCCTTTTACCTTAGGAAGTAACGCCTTAGTTTTCTCACGTTAAATCCAACACCAACTTCCTCGCTTATAAGACGAGGGTTCCACATAACGAGAGGCCTTGGCTTTTAAAAGAGCGCAAAGAAATGTCTTCTTGATGTTAGAACAAAACGGTTCTTGTTAAAGTCAAAACTAAAAACTTGAAAGATTTATAGTTTACCGGGTCATCAGCAAGCCCTTTTGCGATTTTCTCCACGTATTCCAGCATTTGGTAATCAGGAACAATCATGACAATGATCTCATCTTCTTTCTCCACTGGCTTCCGGTCACTTAAGCTGCATCATAGTAAGGAACATGACTGGAGATTCCCTTTCACAGACTCTGTTAAACTTTAAAAACGATAGTAAGCTCTCAATATACCTAGCAAACCCAAAAGCTGCATCCTTCCACTTATATTTTAGCAAAGCAGCAGCTCCAGCATCTGGAAATACGGCTTTAACTCTCTGACAACAACATTTCAAAAAGCACCAGGAGTTATTGAACATCCATTAGGCAGTCTGACTCGGTTAACTGAGTCATGTAAACAAGTTTCACAAAACTGTTAAACTCACCTCACAACCTGTTTCTTTAATGAGTGTCTCCAAGAAAACCCGCGAAAGCTCCCAAAGTTCAGCTTGCGCACCTTCATCGTCTAAGAACTGCAGCTGAGGAATTAAGAGCTCCACCTGAGAGATTTAAATGTCAGAATCTCGGAGAAAACTGAGCTACTGATTGAATGAAGCTGGTACCAAATTACGGATTGTGTTAGCTAGAACGTACGATAGCTCTTGTTCCTCCCGAATTCACAAACGAGGCACTTGCTTCACCTGACTGCCTCACAGCTCCCACCAAATCATTAGGCAAACAGCTGAAATAAATCGTAACAATATCTGTGAATAATATTCTCTCAGAAGCTAAAGAGTTAAAAGATCTACACTTGCAAAAAAAAAAAACATCATTTTTCAGCCTTATGTTCCCTTATTATTCCAATAGACACACCGAGAAAATTGAGGAAATTGATCAACTTTGAATCGAATTCAACGGTTTTCCTTCACAATGATCACAAAAGCAGAAGGCGACCCAATTCTCATAACAAAAAGTGTAATCGAACAAAGAAAACAACTGTAGAGATTACTGAACCTGTCTTCTTCTTCTTCTTCTGGTTGGTCTTGAGCTTCTACTGGGAGTTCCTGTGAAGCAGAGGAAGTAGAAGCGGATGTGGTCTGTTCAAGAGGAGACTCACCCTGAAACTTCTCGAATTTGACACACGTTCTTAGTCTCGAAGTGGGAGAAGCAGAAAAGCCGCACGCGAGAGAACGCGGGAAAGATTGGGTGGAGGAAAATGAACAACTGTGGAGATAGCCATGGAAACAGCTTGGTACAGCAGAATAAGCCATGGCCAGGTTCTTGCAATCCTGATATCGAAATTCAATGAAATTGAAGTAGATTTGTTCAAACAGTTAGAGCACAGGGGCGTTTATTGTAGATTAGCATAATTGGGATCTTTGTGTAAAATAACTGGAAGTTTAGGAATTATTCCTAAATTGAAGAAAACATTTATCCTTTTTTTTTGGTTGGAACCCTCCAAGCTGAACGAGAGGTTTAGGATCCGTTTCGGTAACCCGCAAATTAGTATCCGGATCCGTTATCTGACGCTCCTCTTGGTCAAATATGAAAGGTGATAATACTGTATATATAGACGTTGTAAAGCTACTTCCATCGAACGGCTGTTATTCATCTAAATTCAAATTCTCTCATTTTACCTACACTCGTCTCTCTCCCTCTCTCTCTCTCTCTCTTTCTCGATCTCTTTCAATCCAATCTCTCTCTTGCTCTCTCTCTCGCTCACTTCAGAATTTTGGATTCTAGTTCTTTGGGTTCTTGAGAAAATCCCCCATGGAAGGTACTATACTCGCTTCGGTCATCGCAACTTTTTATTATGCTTACAGATTCATGATTTCTTGATCTGATCTGTTTTTTTCGATTCGTTTTTGTATCATGGGAAATAAACGTTTCGCTAATCAACTGTTGGTTTCTGCCAGATCAACATCCAGAAATTTGCAATGATGGTGTTTTGCCATGTGAATCGAAGGAATATTCTGCCGACAATCACGATTCCGACGCTGGTAAGGTTTGCTTGGTTTTTCTCGTCGTGAAATGTGAATTTAGTAGAGAATTCAGAAGCGGAACTGAGTTTTCTTTCGATTGCTTAATCCTTCATTCGTAGTCTTTGATATCTTCCGAGATTCTCGATTGTTTTATATTTTTCTGTGCGGTGGAAATCCGATAGAACCATAGGTCCTAGCAATTTGCTTCGAATTCAGAAGATTAGCTCTCCATTAATTTTCGACTAATTAGGTTTTGGGTCCCTAACTCATACCATGAATCTGAAACTCATTCAGAAAGTAGAATGGAAATGATTCTTTGTGTCTCCTTAGTTTGTCTAACTGATACTTTGTTTATCAGTCTGCTTGCTAATTTGACTGATATGATGCATTACTGATTTGGCTAAAACAGTGGAAGAAAGTGAGGATACTGTGACAAGTGGAAGCCAAGAAGTTTCTCCCACCAGTGGACCAACACTTCCAATTCTACAGAAAATTACTGATTTGGGTAACAAAATCAAGGTATTCCTTTCTTTGTCGTCCTCTGGAATAACACGATTAAAACAGTTGCTTAGATTTTATTTCAGTTCTTTCCTTCTGCTGGTGTTTTATGTACACCGTTCCACTTCATTTCATAGGTCTTGAAGGATGAACATGCGTTGGTATCCAACCAAGTAAAAGAGATCAAGAATTGTTCCTTCGTAGAACCGGAAATGTCAAACGCTCTCCAGCTTCTGAGTCAGTACCTTTATTGTCTTTTATACAAATTTTTTTGCTGTGGTTTTCTAATTGTAACTGATCTTCGTCGACGTGACCAATGGCAGCTACTGAGCTTGGAACTCTAAAAAAGCAGTACTTGGAAGAGTCATCAGAGAGGAAGCGATTATACAATGAAGTTATCGAACTCAAGGGAAATATCAGGGTTTTTTGCAGATGCAGGCCTCTGCACCAAGCAGAAATAGCAAATGGCTGTGCTTCTGTAGTTGAGTTTGATCCATCCCATGAAAACGAGCTCCAAATACTCTCAACTGATTCCTCGAAGAAGCATTTTAAGTTTGACCATGTATTTAAGCCTGAGGATGGCCAAGGTAAAATGTGGCGTCACCTGTTTTAACTAATTTTGGATAAACCATAAGTCTTCTTATCTGATTTTCCCTTTTATGTGCAGAGACTGTTTTTGCTCAGACAAAACCGATAGTTACTTCTGTGCTAGATGGTTACAATGTCTGCATATTTGCCTATGGCCAAACTGGAACTGGAAAGACATTTACCATGGAGGGAACACCAGAGAATAGAGGAGTGAACTACAGGACATTAGAAGAATTGTTTCGCTCTTCAGAAAGCAGAAGCCGTCTCATGAAGTTTGAGCTATCTGTTAGCATGTTGGAGGTTTACAATGAGAAGATAAGGGATCTCTTGGTTGATAACTCAAACCATCCTCCTAAGAAGTAGGTCTTTCATTCTGTTGCTTGGTAATAGAATGACATCGCCTCACGGTTTCTTTATTTTTGTTTAGAAATAACAGTGTGCTAAATTTAATGAAGGTTGGAAGTTAAGCAATCAGCAGAAGGAACACAAGAAGTCCCTGGATTAGTCGAAGCACAAGTTTTCAATACAGAGGAAGTGTGGGATCTTCTCAAGAGAGGATATTGTGTTAGATCTGTGGGATCAACAGCTGCAAACGAACAAAGCAGCCGCTCTCATTGGTAATCAAAAGGGTTTGGAAACTAAAGTAAAGTGAAACAAATCCTTATTCGTACAACCTAAATTTTCTATTCTGTGCAGCTTGTTGCGAGTTACAGTGAAGGGAGAGAATTTGATCAATGGCCAGAGAACCAGAAGCCATCTTTGGCTCGTGGACTTGGCTGGTAGTGAGCGAGTAGGAAAGGTGGAAGTTGAAGGAGAAAGGCTGAAAGAATCTCAATTTATCAATAAGTCGCTTTCGGCTCTCGGTGATGTTATCTCTGCCCTTGCTTCCAAAACAAGCCATATTCCTTACAGGTTTTCCCCTTCTTCCCTTCTGTCAAGAACATTTCATTTGAGCTTTGCTAATCTATGTTCTTGACAAACATTTTCCTCCCTTTTGTACAATTCTAGAAACTCAAAGCTCACTCATATGCTACAAAACTCTTTGGGTAAGTAAAATCTGTCCTATGCTTCCTTTGTTTACATGAACCTCTAGACATATTGTATCTCATCTTCATGGTGTGTCCACTTCACTGTGACTTATACAGGTGGAGATTGTAAGACATTGATGTTTGTTCAGATTAGCCCGAGTTCCACTGATCAAGGAGAGACGCTTTGCTCCTTAAACTTTGCAAGCAGAGTCCGCGGAATCGAAAGTGGACCTGCCAGGAAGCAGGCGGATGTGTCTGAACTGCTCAAGTTAAAACAAATGGTAACCATATTCCTCTGAATTCCTATTCATCTAAGCTTTGACATATCTTAAGCTGATTTATTGTTTTCTCTGTTGTCTCCTTCATAACAATTAATAGGCTGAGAAGCTGAAACATGAGGAAAAGGAAATGAAGAAGCTGCAGGACAATGTGCAGTCACTACAGCTACGCCTCACTGCTAGAGAACACATATCCAAAGGACTTCAAGAGAAGGTAGTCCGCATTGACTAACGGATTCGATGTGTTGAGTGTTCTCTTCTTGTACGTTCATAACATTTATAACCAAATCATATTTCAGGTTCGTGATCTGGAATTTCAACTAGCAGAAGAAAGGAAAACCAGAATCAAGCAGGAGACACGAGCTCTAGCGACTGCATCATCATCGTCATCATCAACAGCATCTAGGCAGCTGAGAGAGACACTACCGACAATCACAGAGAAAAAGCCACCTCTGGCTCCCACAAGATCAATGCGAATGCCATTGAGAAGAATCACAAACTTCATGCCCCAACAACCATCTCAGGGTCCTTCCAAGAGATTCTCAGACGCAACAAGCAAAGAGAATAATAATAAGAGCCTCAGAAGATCATCGTCCGTGGATATGAATACAATGATGAAACCAAGAAGAAGCTCCATCGCATTCAGGCCAGCTCCTCCTCCATTAGCCGTTGCATCGGGTAATAATAAAACCCTCCAGCCGAGAAGGAGAGTCTCTCTTGCAACGTTGAGACCAGAACCATCATCATCATCTTCTTACATGAACATGACTACTCCATCACGCCCTTCGTTCCGTGGTGGTGGTGACCCGAGAAAGGCGAGATACTCTAAGCTCTTCACTCCAGACCGCAACCTGGTGACTCCAAATGCAATGAAAAGCAGCAGATTCATGAAGAGCCCTCTTGGAGGCAGCTCGTGGAAGGCGAGTCATCCCACGGTGGTTGCATTGCAGAAGAAGACTGTGGTTTGGAGTCCGCTTAAGTACAAGAACAGAAGGTCCTTCTTAGCGATGCGAGCTTCTTCTTCTTCTTCTACTTCTTCTGCCACCGATTTGCTCCGGACGGAACAATAATGGCCTTCTTCGTCTGCATCTTTTATTCACCGTCTTTGTGAAAGTGTTTGTTTACATTCAGGTCGTCCGTTGAAACTTTAAAATAGGATTCGACCAAAAAAAAAAAAAAACTTTAAAATAGGATTTCTGTTGCTCCCTTTTTTTTTGTTTATCTTAATCCGATTGTTAACTATATAACTCCATTGGGATCTTGTGCTATGGTTTTGATATGTGCGATGAAATTTGGATCTTGGCTCAAATGCATAGAAAAAAGTTTATTTTTCCTAACGCTCAGCCAAGTTCAGAAGGACAGGGTCTCCAGTAAAAGCTAGAACTGACATAAGCAGCAAAGTCTCCTCCTCAGACTTCAGCAGCTGTCTATAGTCGCTTTGATTTCTCCACCAAGAAGAATAACTTAGTCAATGATAGTTTTCGCCATCAAGATTGGTGTCAAGGATAGTTTCGCCATTGAAAAGCCGGAAGAGTACTGGGAAGATCGATAAAATGATGATAAGCGGGCTAGAACAGCGTCCAGTTTTGGTTCCGGAAAGTTTCTCAATGGGGAAAATTTTGATTAAGCGAATTCTTTGAAATTTGGTTAATGTGATATTAAATATATCTTGAGTTTTAATCGTTCAACAGAACAAGAACTTGAATGTTGCTCAAGAAAGCAAAGAAGATCACACCTCGATTGTTGATTTCTTTTTTCTTCTGTGTCTTTGAAGTTTAAATGTTGCTGGTTAATTTGGAGAACAGAGCAAACAAAAACAAGATTCAACATCAAGGAGACAAAGTTCTTTTGTTATTGAAAAAACTCAACACAATGTCTATTGACTGACTATGTTGTCTCTTTTTCTTTTTGTCCCTAAATGTTTGTGCCCCTACAGATCTTCTTCCACCATTTCTTCAAAAGCCCATTTCCTTTAAACTTCTAAAAATACAGTACTCTCTGGTTAAAACTTGGGAATGATAAACAAACTCAGGACGAGAAGAGATTTGCAATCTTCTTTTTTGTGTTCGCACCTTAAGAGACTGGATTGTTCGTTCTAAATCTTCTCAGGCAGAAGCGCTCTTCCTTGCGGCATACACACGGTATGCAGCCAACCCAACAACCACAGCAGCAGCTCCAACTGTTAACAAAATTGAAATTAAATTGAATCCAACATGAGTCTGAAGCTTTTTTGTTACGGGGTTGTTTGTTTGTTTGTGTCAAAGATTATGGGGAAGAAAACGTACTTGAAACAGCCATAAGAGAGCGGTTGATTAGTCTGTTGTAATGTTTGCGGCTTTTTCCTGCTTCGGTCTCTGGAATACTCAAATGAGGATGTTGCGCTGCAGTTAAGATCTTTCGGAATAAGTTGTTGAAATCACCCAGTTTGGAGCTGATGGATACCGGAGGCTCTAGTCCCATATCTTGTGTCACCTGCAAAAAGGATCAGCGTGTATAAAATATATATATAGAAGTAAGGTGCTTTACAATTCATTCGAGCCATTGAATCGGAGATCAATAAAGAGCCCTACCCTGGTGGATTCTTGAATGGAAATCGGGAATGAATCAAGATCGTCTTTCGCTGAAACCATGAGGCAAGGGACCTCATATCCAGTGGCCTCACCGTGAGTTGCAACTTCTACAAGCAACTCAGTCGCTCTCTTCCATGACGACTCATCAGAACTAGAGAAAATAAAAAAAATCAGCGACAACTTAAAGCCTCGTCAAGGCACATCATACATTTCTCCCAATGAACTCAATTTTTACGTGCAATAAAAAAAGAAATATACCTGTCATACACAAATACAGCTATGTCACATGCAGCCAAGGATTCCTTGGATGAAAATAGCCCTTTAACCCCATCTTCTGGAATTTCCCTCATGACAAGAGTTTTCTTTGCACTCTGCATTCAAAGATTTGCAATTAGCAGATGAGTGAACAGATTACATACAGCCAAACAACGTCTTCAATATCTTGAAAGATAGTACGTCTGAACAGCTTTGTTAGAAACTCCCTAGTTAAAAAAGTATGCATGTACACATAGAAACTACTCATCAAAGATATCTAGCTCCCGTCTCAAAGTCCCCAAAATAGCACTCAAATTTGTCATTCTTGTTGAGCATTTTTCACATTTGAGATTTATTTGCTAGGACAAATATATCCAATACATATATCTTTACGTGCACGTGCACACACACACAGACATAATGATAAGAATTGCATAAGTATTCCCACTCACCCCAGATTCCTCCACCATATTTACTGCATAGCGCTCATCAGTAGCTGCTGATCCGTGGTTACCAGCATATGACCTAAAACAGGGAGAAACAACTGTAAAGCAGATGGAGAGGTCATTTGTAAAGAGAGGAAAATTTTCTGCTCTGACAATATGCAAACGTCTCCACGCATAAAAACATAGAAAGGATTGTACTCTCTTCTGTGTGTATTTTGGAAATGCAACAAGTTTTGGTACGAGTTAACATGACAAACCTTCCAAGAAAGCAGTTCAGCAATGCAGATTTTCCAGCGTTACTGGGTCCAAAAAGAAAGCATTGGAAAACTTTTCTCTCACATTGTTGCTTTTTGCGATCTAAACGTCTTCTCCTAGTAAGACGAATGGCAGAAGATGGATCACCAGGGAATCCAATGTAAATCAAATGTTCCACACTCCGAGCCGGTTCTAATAGTGTCATCAGTGACCACTGCAATGATAGAATTGAAATATTAGAGAAAAATATAAACTTTGAACTGGTTTATTGAACAATTTAATAAAACTTAGTCCTGATAAGAAATCCACTAAGTATTGCGAAACCACATAAAATCAAAATGTACATGTCGCAAGAGAACGAGTACGTCTAACAGAAATAATTGCATGACATTTTTGTCTGTCAATGAAAAAAAATCAAAGAAAATTGAAAGAAAGAAGGATGAGTATATATATTTGCGTGCACAAGAAAGGTTTCCTTATGTTGTGTAAGAGAAGAGTGTATAGATTACCAGTGACAGGAAAGCGTCAAAAGATAATCCTCCAAGAGCAGTTTTCTCCGCAGCATCCTCATAAGGAGCTTCCTTCCAAGGACTGCAATTCAAAATAATTATGGGATTGCAATGTAATGAAGATACCAAAAACAAATTATACGTTCTTTGCCTTCTGGATGTGCAAACGTACCTTTCAGGTGCAGTTGAAAAAAGATCCTCGATCTCTTGAGGTCTCAGATTATTATCCTGCAAAGAGCAAATTCATTGTCAGAACTATAAACCCGCAACCTTAGCCATTACTATTAAAAGGAGATTACCTCATCGTCATCAAACAACATATACATTCCTTTCAGGAATTCGATTGCTACACTTGTCAACTCAACACTCTGCAAAAACAATGAACACACCCATTTAGCAAGTTGATGTGAGCTGTAAGATAACCGTATTCCGGAAATGTAAGCAGCTCCTCCAGTGATATACAAATATAATAATGTCGTCAAAATGGATTCTATTACTGCAATTTACCTGATCGGGCGCTCGCTTGAATAATGAAGACGGAAGCAATTCATCAGCGAGTCTTATATCATTATTGTACCCAAACTTCCTAAGTACAGTCCACGTTGTCTCGAGCCTCCCTTTCTCAATAAAAAGTGCATGTAGAAATAGGAACCCAGTCACTGTCAGCCCTCTTTCATTCACACCTTCTGGCAACTTTTCTTGCACAACCCTCTTAACACCTTCGATTTCAGAAGGCTGTAACGGTGCATGGAAGCATTTGACCTATTTTGAAACAACTATTAGGTGTGTCAAGGGGATAAGGGAATCATTATTATACTCGAAGCTTTTTTTCAGAATCTGATTACTAGTCCTGATCCAGTTCGATAACAAAATAGCCAATGTACATGAAACACAAAAAGGAAGAAATAGAAGAACCTGAAAATCATTTAGCTCAGCCTCGCTAAGAGCACCATCTCTGTCATGATCACAGAGTATAAAGATGCGCTTCAAGGCCCTTACACACCGGGGCTTCAATGCCTGGGATTCTTGATCGAACAGAGGTCCTGTTGGGTGAAGGACAGTTTTTTGTGCATAATAGAAAACTTCTTGTGCCTACAGGAAAGCTTTTTCATAAGGATAATAGTTCAAGCATGAAATATAATTTTGAATTCTCATCTAAGGCTGTTTTCTGACTAAGCATTCCCAATTCATCCCCGATACAAGTCTAAACCAACCACCATAATTTCCACTTTCAGGTAAAAAAAATAGCACGACTAATGTCCGAAATATTTCTTAGTAAGACAATCACATGACTAAGCTATCTCGAACCAGCATTCGTGTCGTGTTTAAGCTAAGACAAATTTTAAATCTCAAGAACAGAAGTCATGAAACCTGGAGTTGCTTCAAGGCAGAACACTCGATACATGTCTCAATCTCCCGAAACTGCTGCATTATAGGTGACATCACTTGTTCGAGGCTGACCTGGTTATTATCGTCTCTGAAGTCAAGCTTACACCCTGCTACTATAATCGGAACTTTTACCTGCTCAAAAATATCAGAAGCCAATCTTAATAAGAAACAGAAAAGGTTTAGGCCACAACAAACTTTTACACATTTAACAGTAGTACAGTGATATAACCACCGGGAGAGAAATTGTAAACCTTCTACAACAACAAGATTGCCATGACTAAACTGATAAGAGAGAGGAAAATCAAACCTCTAATCGCCGAAGCTCTGGAAGCCAGTATGTACTCAAACCTTCGAGAGTCTCAGGTCGATCACAGGCATACGTCAAAACCACTGCATCTGCGTGCTTCAATTCCTCAGCAACCTTGTCCCTATCTTCCACCCTGAACTCACAAGCAGAAACATCAAAAGATACTTCAAGCACGTCAACAAAGCGTCCAAAACATGAATACCCTAAACCCTTCACTCGAAACCCCGTGAACACTAACTAAACAGTTGGGACAGAGCTATCCCAAGATTCCCAACAACAATATCACATGATCCAATAGTCTCGTTTCCAGTTCATTTATAGTTTAAAAGCCTAAACATATGATACGCATATGCACGTCACCATTACACTAGCATCTTTTTCGTTCAAATAGGCTTATTCAAAAGCGAAAATTATCTAGCAGTGCTGTGCACAGTCTTCAAAACATATCTAAGGAAATATACCTCGAGGAAGTGTCGACAATGGTGACGGGTATACCATCAGGGAAGAATTCAAAAGGCAACTTGGTATCAGGGAGAACAGGAGGGACATTGGGAGGGAAGGAATCGGTGGCTGCAGCAACAATCAAGCTGGATTTTCCAGTGCCCTTATCACCAACCACAACGATTCGTACAGATTTGGGAGAGCCTGGACAATCAACCGTACCAGCCGAGTATCTCGCCATCAGAAACTGCAACAACATCAAATAAACTGAAATTAATCCCCAGAAACCGAATGAATAAGATGAACCTAACTCTTACTGACTCTCCAAGCAGCACGCAATAGATATGCACAGAATATTAGCAATCGCAGTAAAAGAAGTAAAGTATAAACTCAACAATGAGAGGCTTGAAATCAAGATTCAAGTACATAGAGCTCGAAAGAAAAAAGAAGCTTCAAACAGCCACAAGTTTGAGACGAAATATCTGAAACTTGGCAACCAGATTTAGATATCTTAGGAAGACGAGCGACAAGAGAGAACAGGATCGTGAAGAAGATGACGAACAAGCCGAGTCTTCAGAACTCATACATAACAATAGAAAGAGTGCATCAACGAGAAGGAAGAAAACTAACCTAAGATCAAAGATTAGACACGGAATCGAGAAATAAGCCCAAACCTAAAGTGGAGATTGAGAGTGAGAGGGACGAAGATTGAAAACCCCTTGGAAAACCCTAGAGCTGGGAGGAATGTGGCGGTGACGATTGCAACGAAGGGAAAATAGAAAGCTTCCGTTGCTTCTATTCTAGTGGTATTTCCGTAATAACCCAGCACTGTGTCCTTTTAACGCATAAGTTTTTTTTTTTCTTTTTTGACGACCACGCATAATAAGTAAAAAACAAAATTAAATAATTTCTTTTTAAAGCAAAATTAAATAAATTTTGGTCACCACGCACAAGTAGTTTTTTCTTTTTCTTTTTTTTTCCCCACGCCTACGTTTTATCAAGAAAGGAATTTTCTTTTCTTTTGGTTAAAAAATAAAAAGAAAATTTCTAGTATTTAGTATTTTAGTAATTAGTATTATATAGTAAAAGTGGTGTATTTTGCCAACTGTTTGTATTTTTTGTAATTTTGTATGTCTTTTTATGGATAAATCAAGTGGCTACAGCTCACATATCTGAATTGAGAACCAAGCAAGAATTGATTTCTATGACGTGTAGATAAATGAATGTACAATGTAACAAATCTGCAGATATACTTAGTAGTGTAACATTTGTTTTCCATAATTATGTACCCACTGTAATCACAGCTGTTTATCTGTGATTACATTAGTTTTTTTAATAAAATATAGTAGATAAAAAAAAAAACAAATGAATGTACAATGTATCAAAACAGAATATGAGTATGTGAACTTGCGTCTACCAGATTTTCTCTCCAAAAAAAAATTATTCCCATTCACGCTTACATTATAGAAAACACTGTATAGAAAGAGAAAAACATATAGTGATTATTCTATAATTGAGAAAATGAAAATAATTCTCAAACTAGAAAAAACAGTGGAAATGGATTGGAAATGGATTGGAAATGCAAGAAAAAAACAAAAAAAGGTATAACTTTTTTTAAGTAAAACTGAAACTGTCTTTCTTTGGTAAAATATCTTGAAATGAATGGTACATTGTATTTTACTTCTATTAGTTTGTAAAACTGAAATGCAATTGATTAATCATGTTTTTTTGTTTGTCATGTAAATCCGTTCTTAAGTAACAAATGTGTGTGGTGGCACACACACACACACACAAAATATGTAACAAATGTGTGTAGAGCTTTTTCAGTCGAGGATTGTAAACGATGGTTTGAGTTCTAATACAATTATTTGTAATATTGTTTAGTTATTAAAAAAAATGACATGATATTAAATCATTTTTAAGTGATATATTTGCAACTTACTTCCACACTGTGAGACTTTGAGGTAGGCAGGTAGATGGAATTTCTTTCTTCTTTTTTCCTGATTCTTAAGAATTGTATCATATGTTAATGTTTCATAACTGAAAACTAGTTCTTCTATTATCATGTTAAAATGAGTGAAAATACCTTTTAGACGGATTCCTTTCTCGATAAAACCTATGTTGAAAACTACTGCTCATGCCGTTACGAAGATACTTACTCTAACCGTTTGTTTATGTGGTAAGTTCGACTCAACAAAGATTGTCAAGGATGCTTAAAATTTGGTGACCAGTGACTGACAATCTTTGAGCGTCTGTCTAGTGAAAGAATTGTGTCATACAGTGACACGGTCCTAATACCGTAGTTAATAGACTGATCATATCGATTATTGTAAATATATTTCCTTACATTTTTTAAAGAAATGTAGATAATAGTTATTATCTCTACAAAAATACGATAATCTTTGTAACTTTATTATTATATACATGAATATAAAAAAAAATTAACACCAAAAAATATATATAAAAAATTCACAACATTTCTGTGTGCTGGTAGTTGGTACTTTCAGCAGTTTATCACTAGTAACAACAATAGACACACATTATACAAATAACATAAATGCAACCAGTAACTAGAATGACACATGATACATTAATAGCATACATATGATAATTTCGACAATGAGACGATGACCATGGATGCGACTTGCTTGGTCATTATTAGCTCGAGCCTGTGTATATAAACATGAAACCCACGTGACGCCACTTTGGTATCATCGTTTGGTTTTACCATTTGACCGACTAACCCCAAAAAAAAAGGTAGAAAACGAGTGACGTCAACGTCGCTAAAACAACACGCAGACGGCTGTTTAAAATCCCAAGACGGAAGAAACACTTTATATTGTATTATTATGATGATGATCCCATACCTTCTTTTCTCATTTCCTCTCTTCTTCGGGAAAAATCCTCTCTCTCTGCCTGATTCGTGAGAAGAAGATATGGGCGTTGATTTGGATTTGGAATCTATCTCCGAGGCCACATCTGGAGCCATAGGATCGCTTCTCAGCACAACTATTCTATACCCTCTTGATACCTGTAAATCCAAGTTCCAGGCCGAGATTCGTGTTCGCGGCCAGCAGAAATACAGGTTTATCCTCTCTCGTTTTCTATTCTCGTGCTTCGATGGTGATCATGTAATTTCGATTGTGTGTTTATGTCTATCGGCTTCTCGCTTGAAAAGCTGGTTATTTCCTGCTGAAATGATGAAATTGGTTTTGCCTTTCGAATTTATTGGTCCCTTGTAGATCCTCGTCTGGATCGTAACATAGAACTGAGTTTAGATTACATAATACAATTTTGCCCGAGAAAATTTCCCTTCTTTCGTCATGGCTTTTCAATGAGCTTCAAGCTTGAGATTTCTGTTTTTGGGTACTGCGTTTGATTTCCGGATGAGCATACTAATAAGTTAAAGCAGCATCTTTTCTTTTTCGATGATCCGGTCTCGAAGCACTTCGACTTATGTTTTAAATTTTAAAAAGTCGCGAAATTTGTAGATATTAGCACTGTAAAATAGCTGTCTTCAAGACTGAGTTTTTGGGTAGTGTAAAAGATCCATCTGTGTTTTGTCGTTAAGAGTTTTTTCGAGTATCTAAAGCTGTTTTTGTAACATTTTTCAGATACCTGTCAGATGTATTTTGGGAAGCAATTTCTTCAGGAAATGTTCTCTCGCTGTATCAAGGCCTAGGGACTAAGAATTTGCAGTCCTTCATTTCTTCCTTCATCTACTTCTATAGTTATAGCTATTTCAAGAGGTTACATAGTGAGAGGATAGGCTCAAAGTCAATTGGCACAAAGGCTAACCTTCTCATTGCTGCTGCTGCTGGGGCTTGTACCTCTGTATTGACACAAGTACGTTTACTTTGCACTCTATGTTTGACTGCTTTATGTCGCCTATTTTCTCTTTTGGTCAAAAGTTGAGATTTTTTTTTTAAGTTTTGTCGGAATGTCAACTCCGGAACTTGTTTCCTGCTTGGTGTTCTACCTTCTCTATGGATAATAACTTTAAGTTCTATGTTTGTGTAGCCTCTAGATACAGCTTCATCAAGGATGCAAACAAGCGAGTTTGGAAAATCAAAAGGGTTGTGGAAGACCTTAACCGAGGGTTCATGGGGAAATGCATTTGATGGCCTTGGGATTTCTCTTTTACTGACCTCGAATCCCGCAATTCAGGTACCATTGTCACTTTAAAACCATCAACTTCATATTTTACAGTCTAAACTTTGCTAGGTGTTAGCTGAATAATAAGCTTCTCTTTGCAGTACACAGTGTTTGATCAGCTGAAACAGAACCTCCTTGAAAAAACAAAGGCAAAAGCCAAGAAAGATTCTTCCCCTGTAGTCCTCTCTGCCTTTATGGCGTTCTTGTTAGGTGCGGTCTCAAAAAGTGCTGCCACCGTCATCACGTATCCAGCAATCAGGTATTATAGCTTCCGGTGAATTGCTCTTGTCATGTAACTTTTACAGATGTGCATCGATCCAGACCCTTTAGGGGGGATACTGATCTATATACATTCATGGGTTTTGTAAGGTGCAAGGTGATGATCCAAGCAGCAGATGACTCGAAGGAGAATGAAGCGAAGAATCCTCGAAAAAGAATCAGGAAAACGATTCCAGGGGTCGTCTATGCTATATGGAAAAAGGAAGGGGTCTTAGGGTTCTTCAAAGGCTTGCACGCTCAGATCTTAAAGACAGTTTTGAGCTCGGCGTTGCTGCTAATGATCAAGGAGAAAATCACTGCAACTACTTGGATCCTCATTTTAGCAATAAGAACACTGTTTGTCACAAAAGGTAGGTTGAAAAGTCCATAGAGATCGCGCTTCCGCAAGTGTCCCAAGGCCAAAGAAGGAGCAAAGACTTTGGTTTGGCTTGTCTGTACTGAAAGATCTTCTACAGCTTTCTCATTTCAAGAACAATTGATTTTGAGTAAGGATCTGATTGTGGAGGTCGCATAAAGCTTCTCATTGTTGCCAGATTGAGTTTCTGGGCGTAGAGAACATTCTGGTTATTGTGTAGTTCTGTTTGTTTTCTTCAGTTGTAATAAAATGCAAGAAGGATCTCTGCGTAGAGAGAATCATGTGACTCTGATAAAACCTGTTCTATGTGACTACAATCTTAGGCATCTTAAATTCTTCATCAACATTTTTTTTGTTGGAATTGCAAACGTAACGCCAAATACAAACGGAAAACATATTTTTGAAAAGCTTGAAAAATGTTGTATATTTCAAAAATGTAATTTTTTAAAAAGCGTTCTCATCTAAACGCTAACGCAGAAATTACGTTTAAAACAATCAGAATCTCATGTATGTTCTTCAGTTTCTGATCAATGCTCATGACTTTTGCAATGTTCGTTATGCTTAACAGACATTAATTCATTTTTTCTTATAACCATTCTGTAAAATAAAATAAATTATAAAAGGGACATCGTATATTTTAATTCACTTGATTGCTTCTAAACGAAAAAGAGGCTTTGTGTCTAGTTTCCATCGTTTTGTCACAGAGAGAGGGAAAACAGCTGTGAGACGGACGTGAGAACGAAGATGATGTCCGGTGGGAGCTACACGAGCATCGATCACCAGAAAGTCTCTGGATCTGTACCTGTAAGCTCAATCTTTTGCTGATTCGTTCTAGATCTCTTCGCATTCGCATGAGTCTCTATGTTCTGTGTTTTGTGTTTTTTGTTACACTGACTATGTGGTCATTGGATTATCGATTCTCGTTTGTTATCTCATCTGATCAGATCTAGTTTCCATTTGTTTCACCTATCTATTGTAGGCCGTTTCAGATCCTGGCCATGTCACCGTCAAATTCGCAGGTAAACATTGTCGTATTTCGTTTCAAACTCCTCTTGCATTTTGAATTAAGGCATTTTCTGAATGTTGTTGTGAGAAAGTACTAATACGTTTAGAAGATAGAATATATGTGGCTCCTTCTTTCTAGTCACTTCTGATTAAGCCAAGGTTTAGCAATTGCATATGTATTTGGTTCCCTCTTGTTCTGTGAATTTGATTGAAGGGTACATTGTATGCAGAATCAAATCTACAAACGTTTCCTCCATCTGCAACTCAGGGAAAGATTTCTGGTGGTACTAATCCCCCTCGAGATGCTGACGGTAATTCATCCTTAGATTTGCTCTTCATTTACTTTAAGAAATTTTCCCAGTCGATTGAGGAATGTAGGATCTGTAGACTTGTTCATCAACTTCGTTATGTTAATTGGCCTGTGCCAGTCTTTCTAATTTTGTATGTCTTTATGGCTCATATTACTGATTTTCAACCTCAAAGCAGATACATTTTCTAGGCCCGTGAATGGTACAGATGAACCTCAGGCTGGTGGTTGGCTCCATAAGTTCACTGTTGGTGCTTACAAGCCTTACTTTGACGTGGACACTTCAGATGTCGTAGAGAGACTCAAAGAATCGCTCTTTCCCTTCAGAGGAACATTTACAGAAAAGACAGCCAACAATCCTGATCTGTAAGAGTCTCGCCTTTACAGTTTTTTTCGCAACTTGGAGTTAAGATGGACTGATTTAGAAAGGAATATGGCATTTGCTGCTCTGATATTTCTCCAGAGTAAACTAGAATTAAGTCTTGTTTTACAGGTATGGGCCATTCTGGATATGCACAACCTTGATCTTTGTAGCAGCGTCAATAGGAACATTTGTTACATACATAGCCCACAAATGGAAGAGACAAGAATGGAACTACGACATTAATCTGGTGACTTGGTCTGCAGGAGTGTTCTACGGCTATGTAACCATTGTCCCTCTCGCACTATATGTTGTTCTCAAGTACTTCTCTGCGCCATCAGGCTTAGTCCAACTCTTCTGTCTCTACGGATATTCTCTATTCATCTTTATCCCTGCACTGGTAAGTTAGTTTACAATTCGGGTATCACTCACAAATGGAATGTGAAAAATCCGACACTATTAAACTGCTGTGTTCCTTTTTAAAACTCTGCAGTGTCTCTCTGTCGTCCCACTAGAGATCTTCAGATGGGTGATTGCGGGTTTAGCTGGATTCATGTCTGCTACATTTGTGGCTTTGAACCTCAAAGCACATATTAACTCTGCAGGAGAGAGATGGTTCTTGATTGTGGTCAGCATTTTTCTTCTACAGCTCGCGCTTGCTGTCGTTCTAAAGCTATATCTGTTCACTGTCACCGTGTAAAGGAAATCACTCACTCACTCAGAAGTCTGAAGCTGTGTTTTTTTTAAGTAAAACACAATTTTATATGAATCCGTTGATCATGAATTTTTTTGTAAAACTAGTAGTCTTGTCATCATCAACATGAAAATTATGAATATACCTCAAATCCTTGATGTTGTACTTGAAGATTGATACTCATTTTTTATTGAAGTAAAGTTTAACACGAATGAATGAATAACTGAGAACAAGCATTCGCCAAGAAAACAATAGTACAATACGATGATAACAAAATGTCTATGATTTTATGTAAACACAAAGCAAGTCCCAAAAAAGTTGAACAAAAAAACGAAAAATTACGTTGAAGTTTTCATCAGTATCATGAAAATCACAATATATCAATCAAGCTTTAGATTTTTTGCCTTTGGTCTCGGCCGCTACGGGCTTAGCCTTGAAGGGCAAAAACGTCTCTCCACCCATAAACGGCTGCAAAACCTCAGGGATGTCCACACCATCTTCTCGCTGGTAGTTCTCGAGAATGCAACAAATGGTCCTCTCTGTCGCCGTAAGAGTCGAATTCAGCATATGCACATACTGCTTGGTCTGCTCATTGCTCTGCATCAAAACCACAAAAACAGAATTACACAAGATCGACTATATTTGCTAATGAAACGAAAAAAAAAGAACAGAGAGATTTACCTTTTTCTGACCGTATCTGATCTCAAGCCTTCGAGACTGATAGTCTGTACAGTTGGAACAGGACACGAGCTCTCTGTAAGTCTCCGACGAAGGAAACCAAGCTTCCAAGTCATACTTTTTTGCAGCTGCATCGTTCAATGCTCCAGACACGATTGACACGACTCGGTATGGAAGTTTTAGCTGCAGAGGAATTATCATACAACAGGCTAATTAGAAAACATTGAAAAGTTCATCAGGTTTCTTTAACTCTAGATATCAAAATTACCGCTTGGTAAAAATCTTCGGAGTTCTTCATCATCTCATCGAGCATTGCCCACGAATCATTCTCGTTAGGACCAGTGATGCAAAACTGTTCAATTTTCTCAAACTGGTGAACACGGAAAATGCCAAGTGTATCTCTTCCGTGGGAACCAGCTTCTTTTCTAAAGCAGGTCGAATAACCGGCATATCTGGACCAAAAAATTATGATGTCAATAAATCCTTTTTACTACTTAAAGAAACAATCATCGAAAACGCTGAGATTATATATACCTTTTGGGAAGCTCAGTCGGATGGATCCATTCATCAGCATGGTATGAACAAAGAGGCTGCTCAGCAGTTGCAATAAGGTATTTGTCATCTCCTTCACCAGTCACCTGAACAAAACAACAATCAAAGCTCAAGACAAGTCCAACAACAAAATCAAACAAAATGTTTTTGTAACGTTTAAAGACCTTGTAAAGTTCTTCATCAAACTGTGCCAATTGTGCGCACTTGGCCATGACATCCTTCCTCATGAAAAAAGGAGGTTGCAATCTTTTGAATCCTCTCTTTTTCAAGAAGGTTAGCCCAAAGTTGATCAGAGCTTGGTTAAGGTCCACACCATCTCCTACCAGGTAAAAGCCTCTTGCTCCAGCAATATCAGCACCTGAGACCAAGATAGCATTTTATGAAACCCCAAAGCACAGAAACCCACAACACGGATTGAGAAAGGTGACCAAAGGGAGTGTCAGTCAATGCTACCTCTCTTGGTATCTGCAATTTCAAGAAGCTCAACGAGATCCACATGGTTTTTCAGCTTCTGACCAGGCGTGGCAACCCGCTTTTCACCCCAAGTTTTAGTCACGAGATTATTTGCCTGCATATCAAAACACCATACACTTATAAATCTCTCTCCGTTTCGATCACAGCCTTTAAGATAAACCTCGAGAAATGAAAAAATGCAAATGGCACTAACCTCATCGTTATCAATTGGAACCGAGTCATGGATGAGATTTCCAACTGTCTCCAATTTGGCTTTCAAAGCAGCATAAGCATCACGAACTGCCGCCTCTCTCTCGGCAGAGTCTTTTTTATTTTTCTCTGTTTGCTGAATCAGCTGAGTAGCATCACCACCAGACTATTTCCAAAGAACCAAAACAAAACCTTGTTACTATCCAAATAATGTTACTTATGTCCATCAGTTTCAGTCAAATGAACTAATTTCATTCCCCAACTACGGTATGATATCAAACACCATTATTGGTATAGAACTAACATCAGTATATGATCTACGAGACTTGATTAGTAAGTATCCAAACAATATCAGATCCTAAGTATAAGCACAGTGGATATCTATAAGAAGGTTCCTATAACTCATTAGAAACAAAATTTTATCATAAACTAACAATTTTGAGCTTGGCCACTTCCTTGTTGAGCTTGTTGAACTCTTTTCGGAAATTATCTACTTCATATTGACCTGAAAACACAGAAATGTGATAGCATCAAGCTCAATTAGCAAGGAGAGAAACGATGCGAGTAAAGGGATCGATAAAAGGGGATACTTACGCTGACGCCATTCTTTGTCAAGAGAAATGATCTCATCAACGACTTCAACGCTGGCAAATCTCCGGCGTTGAGATTCCCTGATGATCTCCGGATTGTTCCCTTTCTCTTCTCGAAACAGATTGATATCCAACATTGTCGTGAACTTCTCTCTGAATCAAAAATATAGCACACACAAGCTTAATATACTTTTTTCCAAGTCAGTCAAAACTCAAGCCGTTATAGATTGAGATTTGGGAGATGATGAGAAATGGAGAAACAACGTATCATCAGAATTTGAAGAGGCAGAGAAGCAAAAACATACTTGGAACTGTGGAGAAGAAGATGGGACTATCAGCGGCGTTCGATTTGACCTCAGCAAGGAAGATAATCTGTTTTAGGGCTTTATGTGTGTTCTTTAAAGTTTTTTTTCTTCATCAATGATGATAAAATAAAATAGTCGGAATATCCCCAATTTGTTTTCTAAATCACAGAAAGACCCTAAAGCTTTCATATTGTTACAGAAACCCCTGATTCGGCCATTCCTAGTCGTTGTTAAGGCAGTCAACATATCATCTATTATAATTTATAACCATTCCACGTCTTGGCATTACAAAGTTGGAGATACATGTACTTTATTCAGCAAAATTAAGGAATCTTAATTTAATCTTATTGTCCATCTTCAGTTTTGCATCATATATAACAAAAAAAATGTAAAAAGTCAGTTATCTTCTTCACTCACCACTACATTTGTGTTGGGAATTGCTTTTGAGATTTGAACTTAGCTCAGTAGATATTCTACAAATTATCAATCCCATAACATTACCCATCCATAACTCCACTGTTATTATTTTTCTTAAGTTTTGATCGAAATTTTGTTTTTCTTGTCATGAAGTAGGCATTATTAGGACACTTCGTAATTACTCAACGGCCCAGATTCTTCGCCTTAACTTTACGGCCCAGATTTTTTTTTTTTTTTTTTTTAATTGTGTCCTGGTCTCGCCGTCTCTTCTTCGACTTAGTGAGATGGTCGAGCAAGAGAGCAAACCAGACTCGTGATTCCAATGGTGGCTTGGTGCTTATTCGCCACTCTGACACTGTGAGCTACTTTTCTCGTTCCTCACTTCTGTAACCTCCAGGTACAATGTACAGCAGGATTCGCTGGGTTGCGAAGACGAGTTTCTCCAGCACAAGCGTCGCGAGGCTCGTGTCTTCACGCGCTTCAACGGATACATCATCCGTATCGCATCGAAATGTCTTGAAGGAGATACTGAGAAAGAGCGGTTCACGATGCAGCGTTCTTTCTCTGCTTCAGGAACGCGTCGACTCGGGCAACGCCGTCACGTTATCGGAGCTCCGATTCATCTCCAAGCGCCTCATTAGATCTAATCGCTACGATCTCGCACTCCAGGTTTGAAAACTCTCGACTTTATTAAACTGAGAAGAAGTTGGAATTGGTCAATTGGTTCGGAAGTTTAGATTTTGCCAATCATGAACAGATGATGGAGTGGATGGAGACTCAAAAGGATATTCAATTAAGTGCCTATGACACTGCTCTTAGATTGGATTTAATCATCAAAAACCATGGCTTGACAGACGCAGAGGAGTTTTTCGAGCAGCTGCTACAAAGCTCTGGCTCGCTGAGAGTAGCAAAATCAGCTTATCTTCCTCTTCTTCGTGGTTATGTTAAGGAGAAACTGGTTAAGGAAGCGGAAGCTCTCATGGAGAAGTTGAACGGATTGGGTTTTCTTGTCACTCCACACCCATTTAACGAGATGATGAAGCTTTATGAAACCACTTACCAATATGAGAAAGTAGCCATGGTCATTTCGATGATGAAAGAGAACAAGATACCAAGAAATGTTCTCTCATACAATCTCTGGATGAACGCAAGCTGCGAAATTTCAGGGGTTGTAGCTGTGGAAGCGGTTTACAGAGAGATGACTGGTGATAAGAGTGTCGAAGTTGGCTGGTCCTCGTTGTGTACTCTAGCAAATGTCTATATTAAGGCTGGTTTTGATGACAAGGCCAAGCTGGTGCTTGAGAGCGCAGAGAAGAAGTTGAATAGAAGCAATAGGCTCGGATATTTCTTCCTCATCACACTTCATGCTTCTTTAGGAGACAAGGAGGGAGTTGTTCGTTTGTGGGAAGCTTCTAAATCGGTTTCTGGCAGGATTACTTGTGCAAACTACATATGCGTATTGTCATCACTGGTGAAAATTGGTGATCTTGCAGAGGCTGAGAGGGTATTTGAAGAGTGGGAGGACAATTGCTGTAACTACGATGTTAGGGTCTCCAATGTTCTTTTGGGTGCTTACGCACGTAATGGACAGATCAGCAAAGCAAAGGCATTGCACAACCGTGTGTTGGAGAGAGGAGGTAATCCAAACTACAAGACTTGGGAGATTTTGATGGAGGGATGGGTGAAATGTCAAAGTATGGAGAAAGCCATTGATGCTATGCACCGAGCATTTGAACTAATGAAACGTTGTCATTGGAGACCGTCCCAAAACATGGTCATGGCGATTGCCGAGTACTTTGAGAAGGAGGAGAAAATAGAGGAAGCAAACACGTATGTTAGAGATTTACATCGACTTGGTCTTGCAAGCTTACCGTTATACAGATTATTACTTAGAATGCATGAATATGCACAGAGGCCAGCTTTTCACATCTATGAAATGATGAAGTTGGACAAAATTCTAATGGTTGAGAAAAGTTAAGTGAAATCTTTATTTCATGTCATAAGTTATAAATTTTTTTTAAAAATATAGTTTCACGGAAATGAGGAACTAAAGCAGTGTTAAGTTCATACATTCTGTCAAGATAATCCAACTTCCCTGTCCATTATCATGCATTACTTTTCTACAATTCACAACAATTTAAACCCAAAAAAAGGGAAGAAAAAAAAACTATCTTTGCTTGTTGTCAACCATTTTTCACATGGTAATAAAGAATTTTTACATTCAACACATCAATACTTAAAAAAATTTGACTCTTTGGATTTCTAGTTGCAGCCTTCTTCTAGTAGACGTGAGCATGTTTAAGAATGGTGAGAGGCCAAATATGATTCTGCTAACCATATAGCACCAGGATATTCCGGTATGATCAAAAGCAAATCTGAGCTCCATTGCCACCAATTGACGCTGTGAAGCACTGAAATCCGCTGGACTCGAGCTCCTCCACCACTTTGTCCACCACCGTCCCTGAAACCGCTTTGTTTCGCAGGATTCAACGTCAAAGGACAAACAAAAAATCAAGATTCAAGAAACTAAATTCAGAAAAAAAAAGATGATTGAAAACTTCTGAAAAAGGATACAGGTAGGTAATAGAGTGAGGACGCAGCCGCCACCACCAGCTCCGGTCAGTTTTGAAGTAAGCTTGTGCTTGGCCGTGGTTCGGATCACGGTATCAATCGAGCCGTGGCTAACCGCCATTGACTGTAACAAGCCTTGGTTCATCTCCATGAGTTCTTTTATACTCTCTTCTTTCTCTGCAACCGAGGTCTCGTCTTTGGATTGGATGGTTGCAGCAAGCTCTTTGCTTATAGAATCCACTGCATTGAACACCGATTTCATCGCATCTGGATGTCTGAGCGTTCTCTCTGACACACCAGAGACCAGAGCTTTCGTGTTCCGCCCGACTTTGGTGTTGGTGATAAGCATTCTCAGGGGCATGTTTGACTGTAGCCGAGTTATTTCGCCTGAGCAAAACTTGATCATGTTGCCTGCAACAACCACAAAACAGTAATGGTTTTTTCTCTAACATATAGAATGTTGATGAGAGCATTTGGAGTTTTAAAGGTAACACAAACCGTATGCACTGACGGTGTTATCGATCCCAGAAGGTTTCCCATGGATGATCTTTTCTCCTTCAAACGCCCATTTATTCAGCAACTCGAGATTGGTTTCACCGAGAGAGGACCAACCGTCACTGCGGGTTTTGTCTGAACTAGAAGATGCAATGAGAGCAGCTGTGAGAGCTACACAAAAAGCTGCTGATGAACCGAGGCCAGATCCGTATGGAAGCTCGGTTGTAATGATGACCGTAGCCGGACTGAATCTAAAAGGCACAACAAGAAGATTCAAGAAACCTGAAAATAAGGTCTGGAAATGTCTTTGAGCTCAAACTGTTTCTTTTTTTACCCTATGATGCTGGTGTATAACCAGAGAAAGGTTGAGATGCCAGAGGAGAGCCAAATCTTTGCCTCTGGAATATTCTGCTCTTCAACCAAAACCGCAATTGATTTAAGGGTCTCGCCTGAACATGAAGTCGGCGTAGAAGGGGACAAAGTGCTTGAATCACAAGGGATTGCTTCTTTGAGTCTGGCTAAGGACCAGGAAAACTCCAAGGAAAGGTCCTTGAGCTGAAGTGTAAGCCTATCATTGTTCTCAGCTGTCAGAAAGGAAATGTAAATGCTTCAGATTTGTTTCTACATTGGGAAAAAAAATACATCAACCATCACATTATTTCAAAGGCATCAATCTCTAAATCAGTTGCTAGAGAAATCAGAAGCACTGTATTATCAGTTCTTTTGCTAATCAATTTCTAAATCGGTTCACTGTGAGTTCAATCCGATAATCATACTTATCTAAAAAAAGAAACCAATTCCAGAATCTGTTAAGAAAGTAACCTGATTGACGAGGAAGACGGAGGGTGACGTAAGTGTAGAGATCAATGGCGGCAGCTACTGCCGTGGATCCATGGACAACCGCGTGTTCGCCTGCGAGAATGATCTTCCCTGGAGCTCTCGCTTTCACTTCCATTTTCCTAATCAACCATAAAGTGAGAAGTTTTTAAATTGATTGACATATACAGAATGTCAAGAAAAAACAGACAGATTCACAACCAACGAAAGATTCAATAATCCAGATTCTAGCAACTACGAATTGAACAACCCATTGACATTGTTACAAAATGTGAATCAGATCAAAGGGCATATGTATAATTGGGATCTGAAACAGATCCGAATCAAATTAAAGACCGAAACTTTGGAATTTATAGCCAAAATGATAAATGTGAATCAGATCAAAGCTGCTCAGATCGAACAGAGACGCTAAGAAGTGGGAAAATGAAACTTTAAAATAGCTTCTTCTTCTTCTTGACTTCATTTTCTTAGCTCGCGCAATACCAGTTCAGCAAAAATCATATTAAATCTATAGCAGAAATTCAATAGACAGAAAGAAACCTACCTGGAATTGCCGAGATAAGAACCCTAGAAGGTGGAGAATGTCTGAAGCCACGCCCGAGCAGCATGCTTAATTAACCATCTTTAAAGATTAATTTCGTGGAAAAAAAAAACAATCGTGGTTTAACTTTTCCGGTTTTCAAAAAATATACGAAAATAGAATGTATGTCGACTCAATTTGTCAACATTTCAACGTCGATTTGTATAATTATATCTGCTTAGTGTGAAATTTCTTGAAGAAAAATTAAGCTTCGGCTCGAATTTTATGAGTGTTTATTTTCAGATTTCGGTTTGGTTTAGTTTCGTATTTACAAACGTGTTTAAAGAAGGAACAGGTTCAAAGAAACCTTAAAGACACACACAATCCCATACGCATTTAGCAACGGCTATTTCTATTAGGCGAGAGAGACAAGAAGACAGAAATGGCGCTGATGACTCTTCATCTGACACCGCATCTCAATGGGTTCCATGTGCTTAATCCACAAAGTCCGAGACTTTCATCACCATCTCGAGTCTCTGTGTCGCTACATTCGATTTCACATCGAACCCAGTTCCAAAGTTTGGTTGTTTGTGCAAGAAAGAGGAAAAAAAGAGTCGGGTATCAACGAATCGCAGGGTTTCTGTTCAAGTCACTGTCGTTATTATCCCCTAATCTCCAGATCTTACCGCAGCCGTTGGATCTTGTCATTGCTGATCTGGGTGGCGTAGATGGTGGAGGAGGAGGAGGAGGAGGAGGGCTACGGTTTTGGAGAGGATGGGGAAGATTTGATGGATGGAGAAGGAAACGGAACAGAGTACCAATTTTGCTTTTCGTTTGTGTAATTCTATGGATTTGTGGTTTCTGCAAAATCTCGGGGAAAGAGATCAAGAGTGACAAGGTTTTGAAGGTGCTAGGGCTTTGCTTGTTTGGTGTAACTATGGTGAAAGATTTGAAGAGGGAGGCTAGATATTTGGTCTTTGGGTTTCTCTGTTTCAGCGCTTCACTGGGTTTTGGATACAAGAAAGAGAATTTTGTGAAATTAGCTTCGGGAATTAGGTCTTGTTCTTCAGTTCTTTTCAAAAGGAGAAGTCGTAAAAGAATTTAATATGAAAAGAAGACTATTGATTTGTTTAATTTCTTCCCGAGAATTTTCTGTTGTTTTCATCCATTATCTTTCAGAAAGGTCTAAACTTTGACGAATTAATATGCAATTAGTTGTGACGGATGCAATGTTGTTACTATTGAACAAAACGAGAGGAAAAGAATGAACTTTGAAGAACTTCAAAACAATGTGTATAGCTGAAGCAACTCCATGGCTTTAATATTATCAGACTTCATTTCTCTAAGCCAAAATCATATATTTGACTGACGCGATCAAGGTGTTTAGGTATATGCACGGTAATGGTATGAAGTTATTGGCTCATAAATTCATTCCACTAAACGTTTCAACTTCATGTCAGTAAAACATGTTCACAGTATACAAATCAGCCATTGAGGCGTCTCAAGACTAACTGAACACCTGAAACATAACTCTCTTCTTTCCTAGATGATGCACGAGGCTCCTCATAATCATCTGTATGCATCGGGTAAACGATAACCAGACATAACTATTTTGTCAGCAAACATCTTGCCAGTCTTGGGCATGACATGCCAGTGCAGCGTCAAGTTGAAGTCTTTCCCTCGAAGGTTGTGTCCCTAGAAAGATCCCATTTACAACAATCAGATACTCAGAACGATGAATATATCAAGAGAGAATCACGGAAATTTCTGTTCATGTACCTGGTCTATGAAACGGTACTTGTTTGAGATTTGAATCCAGAATTTGGCATGCTCTTTCTCGGGTATAATGGCATCCCAAAGAGAAACCTACGAAAATGTCAAGTTCATGGCATGTCAAAGAAAGGGTCCTGATCTACACTTGAGACAAAAAGAAAGTAGCTAACACTAAAACCACATAACTCTGAACTTGTTCTATCCCCATCGAGAGCAGTTAGCTATAAAGCGTTTGAAACAAAGTAGATATATATACCTGATTCAGGGCATTCTTTGAGGTTTCATACTCTGCTGCCACAAAAGCGAATACCTGCAAATGTTTTCGTTTGTGTTGGTTTTATGTTCATCCGACCATACAAAAAAAAAGTATCCAATAAGACAGTATGAAATTGAGATGACATGAGGTTATAGTATTGATGTATTTTCAGATGCTATACCTGCTTTGTGTTCCAAGTAAATAGTGACTGCAAGTCCGCTGTTATGTTCAGTGTCAAGCTGACCTGAAAACACGTAAAACTACTTATTAACCAAGTATATACTTATTAACTAATATCACATCTGGTTTATATTAATCAACTTTGACAATTTGAGTTTAATATGACTTTCAACAATAGAATATCAAATCCTACAATGCTCAAACAAACACTCAAGCATATTTTGGGGGTTCAAAATAAGCATCTACGAAAATCATAGACACATAAGGAGGGGTAAGACCATGAAACCTTACCTCATCATTTCCATGGGGTTGCTTCTGAAACCAATTGATATTCAATATCTGCACACCACAGCTCAAACCCATTAACGCAAATAGAAATTCAGGCTTCTCAAACCCCAAAGAACCAAATTTGCAGAATTCTCCTTATGTTTCCCAAGAAAAAGCTCAAACTTTATAAGTTTCCCACCACCAACGCCAAAATTCAACAAAATTAGGGACCTAAACAACTTAACCATATCAAAAAAATCAAGCATGAACATAAAGATCCAGGATACACTAAGAGATCTCTGGATTAAAACAAACGCGTACCTGGATCTGAGCAGAGGGAGTTTGGTTACTGAAGTTATCAGAGAAGGACGCAATCGCGCAAATGAAGGCCAGTATCGTGACAGCGAATGTGAGCAGAGCATTCGCTCTGTAACCAAAAGAATGCATCCTCTTTAAATCACTTGTCAAGTAGTTGTTTTCGTTCTCCGGAGTTGGTCTCGATCCGGAGGAAGAAGAAGGAGGAGAGAACGTTTTTGGTTTTTTTTTCCTCTTTTAGAATTCTTTTATATATTTTTTTCCTTGACCGATATTCGTCGCTGTAATATGATTGGCCAAGACACGTAGAACACTGGTGTGATATAACCGGCATTCTGGTTTTATAATTACTCCGGTTTAGAAAGATCGCTCGGTTATGTCTCTGATTTGTGATTACTAGAGATAATTGTTCGAAAAATATGTTGGAACCTAATGACTAAGTTAGTATGTGCATGCCACATACTGACACACACGAACGATGTGGTTACATCAAAAAATGATCAGCATCTGAAATCTTAATTCCCGTAATCCCATGCATTGATTGTAAAACAACGATAGTATGATACCATCCTCTTGTTTTGTCACAACATCGTGTAATAAAATTTAGGCAACAACGGTTTTTTTGTATATGATTATGTTGGCGTTTAAGATTGAACTTGAATTATTAGTTTTAGAATTGTTGTCTATTCGATGGCAAGAGGCCAAGAGCCAAACGTTATCACGACTTTTCGTAATCTACACATTATTATCTTTCTAGATCATATTTAACTAATGGCAGCTTCCTACCTCACGATTCAAAATGTTGAACAAGCAAACTTTTGGATCCTAATAAGTTATAACGTAGACCTATTCGTGCTTTATCTCTCTCTTTTTTTGTCAACGGTCGTCGTCTTATCTAGATGACTAAGATTCTAAATATAATTTAATGTAAATGATTCCAGATATATTTTAAATGAGATTTTGTCAAACTAGTTTTGGTCTCAAGCAAGATTTTCTAGTACTTCAAAGTTCAAATGATTAATTGTCGGAACACTTTCCACCTTTTTATACCCGCCTACAATTAGGAAAACAAAAACAATCCATACTTACAAATTTAGTTATTGTCATTCATCATATATATTGTTAAGAAAACTAATCAAATTTTTATTTTAGTACTCATTTATAAAAGATGATCTATCATTCACAAACGGCGGCTAAGGTTGTCGCTTCACAATCTTAGAATTTAATAGGGAACAAACGGAATCAAACCAGACGTATCAACATACAATCAAATCCACTGGATATACGACGAACATAGCATACTGGAATATTCAAAAAGTTTGCATGTTCACAGCAAAAAAAGAAGAAGTTTGCATCATGATTTAGAAAACCAAAATATTATATAAAGGTCTGATATAAAGTTACTAGAGCCAGAAGAATGTTTCCATAACAAAATTGTTTTTGTAAGTATCTAATATTTAAAATATGATACATGAATTCAAAAGCTAAACTATTATAGTACATTCCATTAAGCTATAAAATAACATTATATCCTCTATCAGTCACCGAATAAGACTTTATCCTTTTTTTTTTTTTTTTTTTTTTTTAATAAGACTTTATCTTATGTTCTTTAGTTCTTTGTTTGACATTTAGAGATCGATTTTAGCTTTTAAAGAAAAGCATAAATGAAATAAAACAATCTCCTTGTCCATGGGATTGACATTTAATATCTTACAAAAAAAATGGAAATTAAAGAATTGCGTGTGTAATGAACAATTCACAAAACACACAAAAAATGGGAAAAAAAAAACAGAGGTAAAGGAGTTGTGATAGAAAGAGAGAAGCCAACTAAACCGGTAATCTAACGGACCCGCTAGAAATACCAGCTGTCCCGGTATGTTGAACGGACGATGTTCCTTCACCGTCCTTGTTGACTCCAACTCTCGGCGAAGGAACCGGTGTATTCCTCCACAGAAACGACGGGTTTCTAAGAAAATTCCACCGGTCTGCTCGTACCGAGTCACCGGTCGGACTTGTAATCGCATTAGCTCTAATGCTACCGGTACCACCTAGCGTAATCGAACCATCGTCTCGGTTCCGCCATAAAAATGACGGTGTTTTACGGAACAACCACCGGTCCGATCGAGCCCTCAAACGGTCAACCGGTTTACCACTCCTCGAGCTCCCACCTCTCGGTAGAACCAAAAGACTATTAGACCGGTTCATCTTCCAATTCGCCATTATCTTCTTCCTTAAATCTTCCGGTAATCTAAGCGTAAACCGCTCGGTACATTCTCCAGGCAATACCACCGCATGCCCCGTCGTGTGCGACCTCGATAATTTCACACGTGTCACATCCTCACCGAGTTCCACCGCCGGTTCAGGAATCACCGGTTGTTGCTGCGCCTCGAGATCCGCTTCGGTTATTATAATCGGTTCAACCGGTTCAGCCGGCTGCTTCTGTTCGGCGAGATTTGTACGGCAAACCGGACAAGTCACGTGACCAGCGAGCCACGCGCCGATGCAGTGAGGGTGGAACACGTGATCGCATTTAGGTAGCAAACGCAGCGTTTCGTCGTCCTCGAACTCGTTAAGGCAAATCGCACACTCCAACGCACCTTTCCCGATCTTCTGCGTCTTCACTTCCGAGTACACGAAAGTCGGAAACGTCTCGATCATCGACGCGTCTAGCCCACGCGCCACCGTTCTGTTCGTTACTCTCCTCGCTCCTACCCTAGGATCGACGCTGCCGTCAACTGCGCCCGAACAGTGGCGGAGGTAGACGGTGAAGAAACCCATGAAGAAGAGAGCGGCGATCACGACCACAACGACCACGGCCATGGCGGGACTTAGACTGCCACCGTAACCATACGGGTCAGTTCTCGGGTCGGTTTGTCCGGGTTGATCTGATTGACCCGCCGCTAGCTCCGACCCGGATAATAGTAGAAACAAGACAACAGCTGGTAAAGCGGTTAGCTTTCTAGTCAACCGGAAAACCGGTAAACCGGTGAGAATATCCTTATGATGGGAGCTCTTCATGCTTCTTGAAAGCAGAGCTAAAGTTCAATTTTTTTTTTTTGTAATCGCGATTGATTTTTCAAATGAGAGAGGAAGAATCTGAAGTGTTTATAGAGACATTTGAAAAGTTGAAGTCTTGGAGAAAGAAGAAGAGAACAATGGCTCAAGAGGGTGGTGGGACCAGTTAGGGATGCCATCAGCAAATGTGTCACTTATTGAGCGCCACGTGGACAGAGAATTTTCCAATTGAGGTAGCAGTGAAAGTCATAATAGTTCGGTGACTCTTGAAAAGTCGTAATTTTAATAATTTATGAAGGGAATCTTTTTTTTCCTAATGGTCATTTTTTTCATATTTTTTTTTACCGGCAAGTTCCATTTATTCGTTACTAGATCTGTTATAAATTTTCCGGTAGTATAATAAGCAAATTTGTTTTCTTACAAGATTACGTCGGCAGTGGAACAACTTTATGTATCAAGAAATAGGTGATCACTTATCACCAAGAACTCTCAGTTTTTTTCAGCTTTAGCTACCTTTACGACTTTTCTTATAACTGCTTATATCTACTTAACTAAACTTCTTGAAATTTACTCTTGAAATTTTTGTAAATTTCACCAAAGGACAGTTTAAAGCAAAAGAAAAGAAAAAACAAAAATTCTGAACTTGCCAGTTGCCACACAAGGGAAGACCATCCATTTGAAACATGATAATGAAATGTGATGGCGATGACAAAAATACATGAATAACCAAATTTTTAGAAAAGCTTTGACTAATCTTAGCCATCATTCGTAGGTCATATCCTTCTAGAAAGCTCTTAGCCATCATAGCTTCATAGGTCTTCCGTGATCACTAACTCATAAGTGTTTTTGGCATCTTTCAAATTGAATTAGCAAAGATTAATGTTTCCAACAAAAAAAATTAAGGAAAATCTTTGAATATTACTCTGCTTTCAATTATTCCGCAATATTGCCGAAAGAAGCTTATATCATTTTGAAACTTACTTGGAATATTAAAAGGCAAATAAAATTGATATTATGGTTTTAGACTTTTACTTATTGGTCAAACCATGATCATTCTTGTGAGCACAAAAAAAAATGTCAAACAAGGAGAAGCTGACTTGACTTGGTCGCGACCAACTGTTACATTGACCCATACCTGCGCGAGCTAAACCATCGCGCACTTTTGATTCGCAAAACAAAAACAACACATCGTTTTCTGTGGACTTAGATGTCATGTAACACGTCTTGTATTCTACGATCAAACACATGGTTTCAAGGTTCTTGGTAAGTAGGTATTGGGACGCCCGAATCATCCGTAAGTTTCTTGTAAGCACTCTGCAGTCTTCTTGTTACCGGTCCTACTTTTCCTTCACCGATCACACGCCCATCAATTTTCACAACCTAAAAAGCAATAAACTCTATTTTTTTTCAAATGTTTCGGAACAATTACATTCCCTGATTGTAGGAAGAACTAGAGATTGTGCATGTACCGGGCTGAGTTCTCCCATTGTTCCTGTAGTCCATACCTGGAAAAAATTGATATGCATGAGAAGAAATAGTTCTTGGTCGTTTAAGATTCATTCTAAAATTTAGGAGAAGATGAGGAAACCTCATCAGCTGTATGGAATTCCGACAAGCTGATGTTTCGTTCTTCTAAGATGAAGTTCTCTTTCACCACCAGTTCCATGACCTAGAAATTGATGGGATAATACATAAGATTGTTTATGTTATATTCACAAAGATGTTAGAAGAAAGAATGTTAATCTTCTTCTCTCTTACAGTAGCTCGGGTAATGCCTGGTAGACAGTAATCTGCGTGAGGAGTGAAAACTCGCCCTTTCTTCACCATGAACTGTAGTTTCCAGACGTTAGACAGAGATTCAGTACGCTTATTTTGGAGAGTAAAATGTTCAGTCCGAGAGTCTTGAGAATCTTACAATGTTGGTTGCATTGGTTTCAGACACAAAGCCATCCTTGTCAAGCATGATTGCATCATCGACACTGGCGTTGTTGCTTTCAATCTGTGTCATTCTCACAGAAAAAAAACATCTCTCAGTGATGTCCTAAAACCACCTGACCATGGATTCAACTTGATGTAAGGCAAAAGATGTAACCTTTGCAAGTATGTTATTGAGGAGGTTGTTATGATGAATCTTGGAATCTAAATTCTACAAAAAAGAAAAGAAAAAGGAAATGAGCATAAACGACAATGAAGAGCAACACTTTTTGGGGAAATGTGTTTCTCAACTAAATAGATGAAAGAGCAATACGTTTGGTGAATTGCGGCGTGTAGTTGCAGTAACCAGCACAATTCCACCATCGTTGTCGTATACCGGAGGCTTCCATTCGGCAAGCACTACATTTATTTTAAAAACAATAATTCATGAAAAATTTCATGCAAGAACCATATTCATAGATTTCAAGAGACAATTCTGAAACCTTACCGATCAAAGTACATCCATAACGGTTAAATGCAGGGCTCATTCCAGAAGTGACCTTAAAAGAAACAATTTCATAGCTTTTTCCGGTTTCAAATGATTGAAATGAAAACAGAAAAGAAGGATTTTTTTTCATACATTTAACTTTTGAAATTGGTAAAAGTAATTAATACCTTTTTGCCTCGAGTCAGAGACAGTCTTATATGTGTGTTGTCAAACATCCCATTGGTTATGAGAGTTCTGAAGATGGCTTCTTTTATCTGTGCATTTTCCCTTGTAAATTTGTAAAATAGCTTTATTCAAAACCCAATATTCAAATACAATCAAAAGCTTACCTCCTCGCGGGTTGGGACATTGTTGAAAGCCAGAGCCTTTGCGGAATCAAACAACCTAATGTAACATTTCAACATCTATATAAGAATGCTTCAAAGAAATGCTTCGGTTTTTTTCTCTTACTACTTGTTTCTTACCGGTCTAGATGTTCTTCAAGCTTGAATACTTTCCCTTTGTATATTCGAAGACCTTCCCATACAGAGTCACCGCCTTGCACGACCGAGTCAAAAACAGACACCTTAAACAAGAATAAAAGAAATATGACATGAGACATAATAACAAGCAACATATAACAAACATAGATCCATGTATGGTTCAAGTACCTTCGCCATCTCACGAGGCACAATCTCATCACCAACCCATGCAAAAAGTTTAGCGTTTTCAGGAACTGGAAGACTGGGAGGAGGTAAGGTGCTGGTCAAGAGAGAGGACTTGTGCTTCACGTGGCGCCTGAGAATGTTGTATAGCGGTAGACATTGCTCCAGCAAATCGTAATGCCTCAAAGGGAATGTCTGAAAACAATCAAAGAACACAATGTAATCTGAATGATGTTTTGAGTTCACAGAATCTTTAATTGCAGTAAACCAGGGACCGTACATGAGGATATTTCCTCGGAGAAGCAAACCCTGTTGATTTGTGAAGAGTCTTGTACCACCATGAAGCCCATAGTCCATCTTCTGGTATAGGGCCAGCCTCCCATCTTTTAAGAAAACACAACAATGAGTCATCGTTTTTCTGTTTATGGTCAAATCCAAGAGAATGCTAAAGAGTCTTACTTAAGCATAGAGGCTTGAAATGGGATCTCCAAGTCATTGCAAAGACCACGTAATGTAGCCTGAATATAGAAGAATAACACAAAAATAAGCTTCTTCATACATAAGAGAAATGGGTTTTCATGTCAAAATTTCATAATACAGCAATGAACCTCGGGATCTCGCTGAAGCTCATCCGCATCGATGATTGGTGGTGGTGTTCCCATCTGACAGAGATCACTGTATATCGAAACTAACTCTCCCAATCCCAATTCAAGAAACGATAAAGGGTGTATCTTCTCAAAGGAAGGCTGCAAGAAAACACAGTCAAACAATAACAACGAGAAGAAACATCTCAAACCTGAAAGGATCACACCAATAGCCTCAGAAGAATCTCCAAGAAAACACAACACCAGAAGTGAGCTTGATAAGCTTACCAATATGTTAAGGGGATTGCGTATCAATATAAAGTGCTTTCCTTTACTCAATAATTCACTTGGCAAACCAACAAGTCGCTGTTTCGATATATGCTGTGCATAGACGGGCCAGAAAGTCAGAAACACAATAAGAATCACAATGTTATCTCAAACACAGAATTGTGATATAGAACGAATTTGAAGTCTCAAAATCAGAAAGAAGTAGCGAGTATAACCTTACAAAACCTATATTTCTTCTTTCCTGGACCATAAATGTTGTCCTTCACCACCTTTTCCCCATCAGACTCCTATCAGAAAATGTTACTATTTTATATTAGTTTCTCAGTTTCTCTGTAACGAATAGACTAAAGCATTGCTTTTTAATACCTCGAAACCTAAATCGATTACTGTAAATTTGACATACCATCTTAGAGAGAAGCTCATCTCTGTATGGTCTATCAGCACCCGTAGCCCTAAGGAACGCAGCGTATAATGGCTCGTCGAGCACTTCAATGTCATCTCTCTGAGTTATTTAAACCAAAGAAAAACCAAGTTTCACAGTGATTCAAATGTTATAACATTTATTCAGAACTGTTCAACATTAAGGACCTATTAAAACAAAAGTTTGATCTTTTTTTTCTCCTATCAATTAGCATAGAACAACTGTTAATCTACAGCCCAGAAAAGGGGACTCAAACAAAATTTGGATTTTCAATGAAATTCTATCATTAAAAAAAAAAAAAAATCTTTGAACAAAGTAAGAAAAAAGGTACCTGGGCAAAGGAGTACATGAGAGTGGTGCTGAGTGATCTTGGAGCAGACCATGCGTGAATCACCTCCATCAAAGACGATCGCTTTGCAATCAAAAGGACACTTCGCTCTGTGATCACTCCACTCAACTTCAAGTACAATTATTGTCTTAGGTCCGTGTTTCTCTTTATATATTAACAAGACCCTACCAGAGAATCTTTGAGTCATGTTAAAAAAGATAATATGTTTATTTTTTCACTTCTGGGGAAAATCATAAATTTGCAAAGACATTTCCAGATTTGGCCGATTGATTATAAGTTTTACATGTTTTTTACCGATAAGTTTAATCTTCACAAGTATCTTATCTGATCTCTTGCCACATCGAATTTGGTGAGTGATAATGTTATAAAATAAGCCTTCTAAAAAAATCGAGATTCTCCATTTTCTGTAAAACCATAAATCAAGTAATAAATTTTTGACAATGAGATCAGATCACTGTCACCACACAAGAGTGGGTTTCCACAAAAAAAAAGAAAAAAAGAAGGAACAGTTACATAAATAATTGAAGAAGATTACAAGGATGATATCTTTTCCTCAAATCCAAACTCAGCAAAATGAGCTTTAGATGCTAGAAACTGTAGATGTGTTTATAGCGGCCAGTACTAGCGTTCACCAACCAACTACCATCTAGAAAAAAAGTTTCGATTAACAGTCCAAGAATCTTCAGTTTCAATCTTAAAGAAACTAAACTGCTTCTTCTGCTAGAAACACATTATCTGGAGGATATGGAGAAGAGCCGGACACTTGAGCGGTCATACGAATGCATATACGGTAAAAGCCTGAACTGAGGGCTAAGTTCTGTAGTTACATCCGTGATGGAAAGGTCCATTTGATCCACAAGTGTCAAGAACGCATTGAAAGTGTCTGCATTGCGGATCACAGATGCGATGTAAGCCACCACGGGGCTGCGTCCTTGCTGTGCCGTGTCTCCAGTCTCGAGAGAGACTTTGTCTCTTTTGGGTTGTCTCCTTAAAAGAGCTACTAGAACCCGAAGAAGATGAGGTAGACATGACGGATCATAGATTACATCTGCGCCTAGACTGATAAGATCATAAGCATTAGTGACATAAGCAACATCTTATACCAGATGACTCTCGGTTTACTCACATGACATCTGGACGATATTCGCTCAGTTCACTTTCCGATGCAGTTTCCCACGGAAGATGAATGCATTTAACTACCTGTTAACGGAAAAAGAATAGATCTGAATCTGTTAAGTGTATCAATATATACTCTGAATCAGAAAGCACAAGGAAAGTGTTTCCTACGCACTGTACTCTGAGCTTCTCCGGTTTGTTTGAGCAACTCGTCATCATAGTTTAAGTGATTCCTCTCTAAATTACGTTTCATGTTCACAAGAGTTAAGAGATCTCCGTCTGTTAGTATCACCTGCACGAGAAGAAAATGTGACTTAACATAGCTTTGTAATTATTATGAGAACTTTGTTAATAACTAACAAGCAATTAAAGATACCTTTTTTGCCTTTACATGTGCAAGGCAAATTCCGACCATACCAACTCCAGAACCAACCTACACATAATATAATAGATCAGAACGTAAACCTCATCGGTGAATAAGCTTCATGATGTAGAACTTACCTCAAAACAGGATTTATTGGCGAATAAGTTTGGAAAAGACAGAACAAACTCTGACAGAAACAGACTTGATGGCCAGATGGAACACCTGCACATAACCCAGGATCCAAAGGTCAGCAACGTAGAAGGAGACTCGTGCATCTAAATGAATCTGTGGCAGTCAAATAATCATATACTAAAAAGACTCTTACCCGGTATCTCCTTCAAGCATGTTCAATGAACATTGCAGCGGAACAACTAATTTCCTTGAACTTGGACAACTTGGATGTTTGTATAAACCTACTAATAATCCACAGATGAGTTCGCAAACACATCCCAATATGAAAGATCCAATGAACAATAAGCAAAGATACACAGCAAAGACAAGATTTCACCTTCTGGGAAAAGAAAAGAGATGAATTTGGTGATCCTTGTGTTTTCTTTCACCAATGCATATTCCTATATACCAAACCAAACTTACATTTATTTTCAATGAATTACGAAAACAGAGAAATTTCAACAACAACAAAAAAAAGGTGCACCTTTGAAGCCGCCGACATGTAAAGAGCATACTCTTCATACACTTCATCCAATACTTCACCATTGTCCAACTCAACTTCACTTATGAGTTTCTTCAGTAACTTTTTCGCATATGATGCGTTACCATTCGCAGCCTGCACCGATGCAAGAGTTTATCATACAGTAACTTGCACATTACTAATACTCAAGATTCATATTTTTTCTAGAGAAAACTAATAGCGAAATCGTACTTATTAATTTGGCAAACACTTGACTACCAAAATCTTAACAGAATTACTTCACATAAAGCTTCCAAATTTCTGATTGTCTAGTACTTTTCCGAGCAGAGCAGAGCAGTAGAATTTACTTACAGCTTTTACGCACATTTCCCAGAAAAATCTCTGGGCACTTTCTGTAATTAATCCTCCTGTACAACCTCTACACACCAAAGGACTTAATTAAATATCAAATAGATAACGAAGCTCACGACGGCGAGTCGGCGACGGTGATATATACCTCGCGAGAGCGATGACAGAGTCCACCGGTTCCATGGCGAGGAAAGCAGAGAGGACATGAAGGTACTGTGACTCCGTCTCCGCCGCCATGACTTCGCCGTGTCAAGCTCGGAGAATGGCTGGCTTAGTTTAGCAATTGTAAAACTTTGGGCCTAATGGGGCCTGAAATGATTTGGCGCATAAACAGATACAAAGCTTTGAAATGACTAAATGGTCCTTCAAAAAACCACGAAACTCCAAAATTACCTCTCACCTTGCACCTTTGTCTTCCTAGTTACCTTCAGCTAATTTCTGGACATCTTATCCATTACAAGCCATGAAGTTTTCTTCTCTATTCTTCCTTTCCTTATGGCCATTCTACTACACTCCCTCTCTCTTTATCCACCGAACCTTAAACCCCAAATTCCTAATCGGCCCAGGATTCTCTGTCAGCTCGAACCTTCTGCAGATCTTCAAAATCATACCTTTAGGAGAGATGTGGTGCTTAGAACAGCATCTCTCTGTTTCGTCTCCTTCATCTTTCAAAACCCACTTCCAGAGTGTTTAGCCGATCCTTCGAAGTCACCCAAACGGGGAAGACTCGGCATTGCTAACACTAAGTCTTGGTTCCAGTTCTTTGGCGATGGATTCTCCATTAGGGTTCCTCCTCAGTTTGTTGACGTCATGGAGCCTGAGGTGAGGATTTGTGTCACCATTCTCTTATGAATGCGAATCCTTTTTAGTGTAATCTCGTCTAGTCTCTGGCTTTAGTCTGAAATTGGACGATATATTATGTGATGACTGCTCGTTTGGTCAATGTTGTAGACTACCTTGTTTCTGGCTGAATAAGAGTTGAATTGGTGAAGTTCAAGAATAAACGTCACCAATCTTCTATTGATTTGTTGCTGGAAATTTGATCAATGAGTAAGAAAACTTATTTAGCTGCCAAGTTGGGACTCTAAGTCGTTGGTTGTTCTAGCCAACTTGATTAGGGGCTGAAAATTTTTTGTTACAAAGAGTTCTGTGTTTCCTAACCTGTAAAATCACTAGCTATATCTGTAATACTTTTTAACAAGACTGAATTTGAAAACTGGTATGATTCCTATTTTTTAGATGAATTGATCATTGTTCTTGACATCGTGTGTTACCTCATGATTTAGGATTACTCTGCGGGATTGTCTCTCTATGGGGACAAGGCAAAGCCGAAGACTTTCGGCGCCCGTTTCGCATCTCCTGATGGGTATTGTTGTCTCTCTTCCCTCGTAATCTGTCGGATCTATTTACAAGTTGCCCATCAAAAAAGCTGTATGAAAACCATGCGTTGATGCAGATCAGAAGTTTTGAGCGTAGTCATTCGCCCTTCAAATCAACTTAAGATCACTTTCTTAGAGGTTTGCACAACAAAAAAACATTTTCTTTACAAGTTTTACATTTCCTTGAGAAGTTTACTATCTGGTAAGCTAATCAACTGTTCTCCGATTCAAATAGGCTAAAGATATATCCGAATTGGGATCATTGAAGGAAGCTGCAAGAATCTTTGTTCCAGGTTCTCTTTAAATCATATGCATATTGTCAAATCGCTTACAATCTTGCTTTTGAAATCCTTTCATTCTTCTTGCCTTGTTTTGGTTCTGGTCATTGTTAAATTCTTTTAACAACAAGCAGGTGCCGCAACGATTTACTCTGCTCGTACAATCAAGGTAAAGGAGGAAGAAGGTTTTAGGCAAGTCGGCTTCGAACTTATATTCCTTGATTAGAGAAATTTCCAAAGGAGTCTCTGTTTGTGAAGTCGATTTTCTTGTTCTTCTTGTCTTCTGCAGAAATTACTACCTCTACGAGTTTGGGAGAGATGAAGAACGCATTGCTCTAGTAGCCGCTGTGAACAGGGGGAGGGTATCTGCTGCAAAACTCAGATTACTCTTTGAGACTATGACATTCGTTGTTCCAGATTCGTGACTCATTGTATCATTTGTTTCTTTCTTAATCTTGCAAAGGTTTTTATCGCTGGAGCAGCTGCACCGGAATCCAAATGGAAAGAAGATGAATTGAAGCTTCGATCGGCTGCTATTTCTCTGACGGTCCAATAATTGAAAAGCATCTTCGTCTTCTAACAGAAAACGCGAAACGCTCTTTTGTCCATCCAGAAATGCAGAATTAAGACCAAACGGGACAAAATGGACACTGTTTTGAGACACCTTTGTCATTCATTTTCGGTTTCTGTTTTTTTTTTTTTGTGGGCCTTTGGTGATGTGATGTTCGTTATTTGTACTGTGTAATGAACCAAAGTAATCAAGATTCTTTGAAACGTGAAATTTCGAGTTTTTTTGGTACAGTAGCGTCCTAGAACGTGATTTTGCTGCCTAGTATCCCATTGACCATAGTTGTGGTTTGGTCAACAAAATCAATAAATTTCTAGCCAATCAGCTAAGCGGTTGTATCGTTGCAACCTAGCTCATGTTTTTTAGCCAATCGTTAAAAGCATGCGTCTGCGTTTCCGGGGCTTATGAGTTATGACACGTTTTCAGTATAGAAGGAAGGCACATTGAGATACGGTGCTCCGCGGTGTAGTGAATCCTATTCGCCTTAAACCCTGTCGATCGAAGTCGAACTCGGAACAGAAAGAAATCCCTTTGATGGGATTTTTGAGATCAGTGAAAGCTAGGGTTTTTCTATAAGATTTCTTCTTGGTTATCGAGAATGGCGCTCGTGAGGAGGTTTCAGACAGTTCGTTCTTTGTTGCGAACAGCTGGATCAAGAGAATCTTCCCTGTCGTAAGCAGTTCCCTTAATTTGATTGTTCTTCCTCTGATTGAGTTTCAGGAAAAAATGCGTAAATATGAACAAGCAAAACATCCAATTCCTATTGCTACGCTCTGATTTATAACTTAGATTAGCTGAAAAAGATTTCAACTTCATTTGTTTTCCAGTGTTCGGAATGAAAATGAGTTCTCTTGGACTCAAATTGGAGATGATTTCAGATTTGGGTGCTGGAGGAGCTATCATTCCTCTCTTTGTCACGGTAATTTTCTCATCTTGTGGATCGAGATCCCATTTCTCCATTGGTTTGGCTGTGAATTAATGCTGTTGAGTAATTTAGTAATGTAATTGACATGTCCAGCTCCTGACGCTCGTGGACAAAGCGTGTATTCACGCTTATATGAGAGCCACAACGCTAACACACACTTGCTTCAATCTACAACGGTAATCACCATTGGCTGTTGTTTTATTGACCATTTTTTGGTCTGATCATAGACATGATTTTTGTTGTCTCTTCTTGTGTTTCTTAGATTGCAGAGTCTTTCCCGTTTAGTAATGACAAAAGGTCTGCTACAACGCAAGTAAAGGCTCCACCTCAGCTACAGAAAACGGTGTGTTAAGTAACTCAATTTCAATTGCATTTTTGTTTCCAAATTTCAGTTCATTTGATGTCTCACGTCACTTATTACAATTGCAGGGTGCCGTTAGAGTGTCGATGGTAAGTCCTGGATTTGTTTACGAGCCCTATGCACTTCAGGAGAAAATCCCGTTTTGGCGGAGGTAAGTTTGGAATTAGACGAACCTTTTTGTTGATATAGATATTTTGAAAAACGCTGTTTCTAATGCGAAAAGAGTGCATTTTTTGCACTGTTCAACACTGGAAGGCAGAGCAAAGTTTTTCATCTGTAGTTTGTAAACTGCTTTCGTTTTAATTGTAGATGTTTCACAAGAAGCGGTTGGCGAAGAACGAAAGAGGATTTTGTTCGGGAGGTTGAAACATCTTCATGCTTTCATTATCTTAGATTGGAATATATATCCTGATCATATACTAATACAACGTCAAAACTCTAAATTTCAGCTAAGAAGTGCCTACGCTATCGCAAAGTTAAGAAAGACTGGGTACTCAAAGAATAAGTTCTACATAGAAGCACTTGAGTTATACAAAGAGGTATTCACTTGTACACTTGGTTATGGTTCTTACAGTGACAATTCTACGAATCATCTTGAATTGGGTACACGTGTTTTCTTCAGATTAACATTATGATGGCCAATGGTGACAAGAAGACAATAAGGAAAAACGTGACTGAAAGGATGTATTCCGTAAGCTTTCCAACAAATTTGAGCTTTTGTATTAAAAGAGAGAATGTGGTCAAGTATTATTCAATTTTGTGTTCTCTTTGATGTAGGCACTGAAGAACGAAATTAAACAAAGAGAAGCCAGTTGGGGTAGTGTTTACTGGGAAATGGTTGAACCGGTCATCAAAATAAAAACTTTACAAGCTCGACTGGCAAGTTCTCTAAAAAGCTTGATCTTTGTTTATACATTGAATCATGTTATGATCTAACCAAATACAGTTGTTGAATCTTAATCAACAAATCACTAGTGGATTTTCAAGCTCACCATTTTTTTTTCATCCTTTTGACAACTTATCCAGATCGGCATTGACCGCACGGACCTTAACAAAGCATTCATACAGCTGACACTTGAGTTTCTGACAAAGCAGGTCAGTGTTATCTTAAGTCATCAGTTTGATTCTAGTGCATTGAAGCTGTACTGAGAACTTGAGATCATTTTAATCTTCAGAAATTTGAAGCATATGATTCGAAAGGCAATGTAGTAGCCGGGGACAAGAAGAAAGAGGTAAAGTATACTTGAGTCATTCTTTCTCTTCGTTTTGCGATACGCATCAGGAGGAATCTTCGATTGTTTCTAGACTACAACTAATTGAAAATATTTTAAAAATAACATTTGGCCTAGATCGATAAAAATCTGATTCAACTTACTGGTAACCAATTTGGAAGTTTAGTAACGTTTCTTACCTGCAAGTGAATTATGACTTTATAAGTTTGTTGCTTCTGCAGATCCTTGTACGTGACATCTGGGTCTTTGAGAAGTCTCTATTTCATCCAGGAGCTTGCTGGCGACTCTGTGGCCGAATTAAATTGCAACATTCTGACAAAGAGTCTCATCAATTTCCTACAAAGAATAAAATCCAACCTGCCCTCTGATTTTTGCTGAGTCAGTATAATATATACGGTTTGGCTTTCTTCTATTTTTTTTTCTCTTGCAATTGAAGCCTGAATGTTATCTGATTTGGCTCTAGAGAAATCTACTCTACGATTTGCTAGGTCAATCATTGATAAGAGAAAGATCAAGCAATAAAATGGCAGCATGTTATGAGTAATCTCTTTGTAAAAACCTTATTGGAACCAGACTTTTTGTTTTGTTTTTGTAGTTCATTAACAGAGGCTGGTTTTGTTGCTTCTGTCGCTTTCTTTGATCTCTTCTACTTTAAAGTTATTGGTGGATGCTTAATGATCAGGCAACTAGTGTTACTAAGTATACTGTCTTTAAGGAGTCAAAAGCTGGGACCTTTTCGATGGTAAAGTTGAGTTGTGTTGTGATGGAGGGAAAAACATAAAGAAGACAGATTTTCTTATTTTTTTGTTTTCCAAGAATTTGTTAGTTTATATCACAAATTCACTTTGTACACAAACAAAGTCCTACAGATAATAAGACAAGTTTCAACTACTAACCAGTCTCACCTACCTCACCACTTCAGAAAACAAAACTAATGTTTTAAATGTTGCCAAAACAATGGTTAGAGAACAAAAAACTTTGAATTTTCTTTGATTTTATAATTTAAATAGATAGTGGTTCAAACTTCAAAGCGCATTCCTAAAAGATGATTAAGGGGGGTGTTATTCAATTATGGTTTTTAATAGAGTTTAAATCCATTACAATCCATTGTTATTCAATAATTGATTTTGATTTCTCTATAAAAATCCAATGTTATTGGTTCATGTATTTAGAATCTCTTCATTAATAGAGTTTGAAATCCTTTGTTATTCAATTAAAGAGTTGAATAAGTCAATTAAAATCTTATGTTATTCATGTTTAACAGATTCTTACAACTGATTTTAGGTGAAAGATTTTAACTGAATTTGAATATATTTTTATGTGTTAAATTTAACAATCAAAATCCAACCTTTTACCCTCAGATTTTGATAATTATAAAATTTAACACAAATAATTATTCACCTATGTTTTTTTCTGTCTTCCTTCTATGTATTAATCAATAAATACAACACTCTTTCATCCCTCCTTTTTTTTTCTTTTCCTTCCATTTCTCTATTCCTCACACTTCTTATTTTTCCCATTCATTTATGTATTTCTCTCTTTTCCCTAGTACATATCTCTTTCCCTTCTCTCTTCCCATAAGTCATCAAAGAAAAAAAACACATTTTTAAGAGATAAAAGTTCACAGCAAATGATTTTTTTTTACGTGTACATATGTGGTTTTAGATTGTTTTTTTCTTTGAATTTTTTAAATTCAAAATTTATTGAAAATTAATATGTGATTTTCTAAATACACATGCTAAATAACTTAAAATTTTAAACAACTCATATACATTAGATTCTAAATGAATTAAAAAATTTTAAAATCTAATCTATTTTAATCTAGTAGAGTTGATTTCAACATACAGATTGAATAACACCCCTAAGTTTATTTTCAACACTTTTATTAAAATCATTTGGTTTTTTCCTTTAGCTTTTTTAAATATATATAAATATTGCAGTCTGATAATAACTTCTTCGGTAGAATAATTGTTTTAAACTAAAATATAAAAAATTATTTGTCAGTTAAAATGAGATCTCAGATTTTCTTCCTAGAGGATTAAAAAAAAAAAAGTTAAGAAGTCGTAGTGATCTTTGTTTGACGGACATCTTTGGAGATATGCCTTAACGTGATGTGATCCTCCAAAAAGGCTTAAGGTTGCAAATGGGCAGTGGCTGCTCTTCTCTCTCTTACTCTTCTTCCACTTTCATTGTCACTGCGTCCTCTATTTCTTCTCCTTCCTCTTCTTCCTCTTCCCTTAAACTCAATCCAAGAAGCTTCCTTTCCCATAGCCCTCGAAATCTATCGACCCAATTAAGAAATCAGGCACCTTTGAGGTGTGGTAGATCCCTGGAGATGGAATCACAGAAACCCATGTTCGATGTCGAAAAGTTTGATGATGAGTTTGTTCAGAAGCTGGTTTATGATGCTCTCGTTTGGTCTTCCCTTCACGGACTTGTCGTCGGTGACAAAACTTATCAGGTTAGTTGCGCCACTCAAGTTCCTGTCTTTTGATGCTCCAATCAGACAAAAGGAGTTTTAGTCATGTCCTCCAACTTGAGAATTCAAAACTGATAATCTGTATGAATCGTGTTTTGATGATTGATCATTGTCGTTCTAAATTGGGTTAATCTGATAATCACCATTTTGAAATTCTGCGTTCAGCTAATTATCCTGGTCATACTCATAGTCATACTTGATCTGAAACAAGCTCATATCACTTGTTATGGATTATTAGAAGAAGAAGGAATGTGGTTATGTTTTGATGAGAATTTTTATTACAGAAATCAGGAAAGGTTCCAGGGGTTGGAATGATGCACGCCCCAATTGCATTGCTACCGACGCCATTCCCAGAAATTTACTGGAAGCAAGCTTGTGAAGTTGCTCCCATCTTCAATGAATTGGTTGATCGTGTGAGCTTGGATGGGAAATTCATACAGGATAGTCTCTCCAGGTTCGCTAATCTGAAATCTCTATCTGCTTTCAATTAAGTAGCTGTTTCGCACATCTCGTCTCATAACAACCATGTCCTTTTGATTGATTCTCTATGTTGTAGAACTAAAAAAGCTGACATCTTTACATCTAGACTTCTCGACATTCACTCCAAGATGCTAGAAAGCAACAAGACAGAGGTCTTTTTACTTTATCTCTTGGTTCATGTTAATTTACATTCTTTGGTAACAATGTCCTGGTTTTCATTCATTCATTTCGCGTGTTTGTGTTCACAGGACATACGTTTGGGATTACACCGGTCAGACTATATGCTTGACGAAGAAACAAAATCACTTCTTCAGATTGAGATGAACACTATCTCGTCTTCGTTTTCCGGCCTTGGTCGTCTTGTTAGCGAGCTACACCAGTACGCACACCATCTTCTGAATAATCTGTTTTTTTGCTTTTCGAACTTTACCGCGAGTTTTCAGCTTAAAATGGTTTCATTTTTCAAAAAAAAAATATATTTCCTGTGTTTGCAGGTCATTGCTTCGATCTTATGGGGATCATCTCGGGCTATGCTCTGAGCGTGTACCCAGAAATGCATCCACGAGCCAATTTGCTGATGCAATGGCTAAAGCTTGGTTGGAGTACAATAATCCAAGGTTAGCCTTAGCCAAAGAACACGTTCTTGATTGTAATAAAAATCCTTGAAATCAAGAGCAAATGACCTACTTTACAAAGGTTTTGTTATTTTAAGATGGAATTTTTCTTTCTTTCAGAGCGGTAGTCATGGTGGTTGTGCAGCCGGAAGAACGCAACATGTACGATCAGCATTGGCAAAGCAGTGTTTTGAGAGAAAAATATCCTCTTTATTTTGCTTCTCCAGTTTTCGTGGATCAATCTCGACTTTTTAGCTTATATTTTGTGCATCCTTAACTTCAAATCACGCACAATATTGTAACCATCAGGAAGACTCTAGCAGAAGTCGAAAATGAAGGGCGTGTACAAGAGGATGGAACTCTTATTGTGTAAGTAAATTGTTTGCGTCATGGTTTATGAAGCATTTGCACATTGTTCTCAAAACATATGTTAAGAGTTTTTTGTTGTTGCAGTGGTGGCCAAGCAGTAGCAGTGGTTTATTTCAGATCAGGCTATTCGCCCACTGATTATCCATCTGAATCAGTAAGTAACCATCTTCTTTCCCATATGGTGGCTTGATTCTTTGAAAATATTCTCAATCATATTGTGATTTGAAGGAATGGAATGCTAGGTTGCTTATAGAGCAGTCCTCCGCAGTGAAATGCCCGTCTATAGCTTATCATTTAACTGGCACCAAGAAAATCCAGCAAGAACTCGCAAAACCAGGTGTTCTCGAGAGGTACATGGATCACCACTTGTCTTGCAAACTGAAGAACGGTTTTCAAATTTCTCAAAGGGGATAACTTTTTTAACTTCAAAACACGTTTCACAGGTTTCTGGACAACAAAGAGGACATTGCTAAGTTGAGGAAATGCTTTGCTGGGCTTTGGAGCTTGGACGATCCAGAAATCATCAAGAAAGCAATTGAAAAACCCGAGTTGTTTGTTATGAAGCCTCAGAGAGAAGGCGGAGGTTAGAAACCAACCGAGTTCCCTAGAGTCTTCTACTTTTCCCGTCATATTCTTCAGCGTATATTCTTGGATTCTTTCAGGAAACAACATCTATGGAGATGATGTGAAGGAAAATCTTCTGAGGTTGCAGAAAGAAGGAGAGGAAGAAAACGCTGCTTATACACTAATGCAGAGGATATTCCCAAAAGTCTCAAACATGTTCTTGGTGCGAGAAGGCGTTTACCATAAAGATCAAGCTATATCAGAACTGGGAATCTATGGTGCTTACCTCAGGTACAGAGTAGAAGAAGAAGAATTTGGTATGCTTTAATTCAGTCTCTACTTACTCTGTAGCATAATCTTTGAGCAAATGAAACTTGTAGGAACAAGGAGAGAGTTATAATAAACGAGCAGAGCGGTTATCTGATGCGAACGAAAGTCTCGTCATCAAATGAAGGTGGTGTTGCGGCTGGTTTTGCCGTCTTGGACAGCATTTATTTGAATTGAGATGGATCAAATTCACAATCATCCTGATTAATGTTTCTGCTGGTTTATTCTCTTTTTCTTCGTCTTCTTCTTGCCTTGTTAAAGATTTGTGTACTAATTCTTGAAGATCTATAAGACCAGACAAAGCTCTTGACAATTCTTTGCACAAAGCATATATGCTTCTTCTACAATTCTTCTTGGGCCGTGTAAGATGATCTCTACGTTTAGACCATAAAAGGATTTCAGGAAACAGAAATCTCAAGATTACTGTGGTGTTACAATTTAATTTAAGTTAAATATTATTCTTCATAAACCAAAAATGCGTAAAACGTAGAAGTAAAGTTAAAACGGTAAAAGATGTTACGTTTAGAGCTAACTAGCAAAGTTAATAATTACTTTTTGTTGTTTCAAAACAAATGCAATAAACGTAATTTTGTTGTCACCAGCAATAACATTCAAAAACAGTCGATTTCTATATAAATCTTTAGATTAGGAAGAAAAAAAAAAGAAGAAAACGAATTAAAATAAGAAGGCTTAAAAATAAATAATTACACACAAAATGGAGATTAAGACATTACTCATAGCATTTTCCATAATCACCACTTTGGTATCATTTGCGTATCCAAGTTTGGCCGCCCGAGAAGGTGGTGTTGACGACGAACCGTTGGTCCATTCCGATCGCGAGATGGATGCAGTGGAGGCGATATCGCCGGCTTCTCAAGATTACAATTATAATATGCTCGAGAATCTCCCATTCAAATATCTAACCTATCTCTCAAACTGCATTGACAAGATGGGGGACGGTTTTAAGAAATGTAATAACGATGTTATTAAAGAAATTCTTATGAAGAAACCTGTCGTCTCGAGACGCTGTTGCCTAAAGATAGTTCAAGCTGGAAAACAATGCTATGTGGAGATTAGAAAGGTGATGTTTCGATATTATCAACTCAAACGCTTTGCTTCTCAAGTTTCTTCTGAAACCCAAGATGTTTGGAACAGATGTTCTGCTCAAGTTCAAATTCCTCAACCACTTCATCATGATTAAATTTTCTTGTTTGAGCCCTTATATTGTAATATTGGTTTATATATGCCTTGGTGTATTATTCTGATTATATATAACATATTAATATAACTTCATCAGACTCACTGGTTAAGGTGGTATTTTACTATTTTGTGTTTCTTTGGCTTTGTTTTTTAGTCTATTCGTTAAACAAAATCGTATTTTGTGTTTCTTAGTTTTTTAGCCCATAAAACTGATGTTTTAGGTGTCAACATATATTAACATTTTAAATGACATAAAAGAAATTAGAAAACTAGTTGAAATATATTGGTTGATTCTTCATCGGTTTTAAAACCCATAAAACTGATGTTGTAGGTGAAAAATTATATTTAGAATTTGAAGGACATACAAATTATAGAAAATTAATTGTCGTGTAATATTGGTTGACGACTCGATCTCCCTTTTAAGGTTAAAGATCAAAATCTTGTTCTTTTTAGGTCGTGTGAGATGATCACTAGTTTGAAGCCATGAATTGAAAGGGATCAGATCGATCATGGAATCTGGAGTATATGATTATTAGGATTCTCATATACGTTATTTCACTTTAATTAGGGATATTGCATTTTCGCGATACACTAAGGGAGGATGATGAAAATGGAGCATTTTGTTTGAAATTAAACTTGCTCTAAAAACAAAGTAGAATGAGTTTTTCAATAAGATTTTGTAAATAGTCTACTTCATAATAACGAAACAATCCCTCGACTAATCGTTGTAAGTTGCAATCAAACGATTCAAACCTTTATAGTAGTTTTGAAATATGTATTTAACTACATAAAATAGCCAACATATGTAATTCGTTATTCACGTTTTCTTATTCATTTATAGTGGTGATTAGAGCATACGAACATGATATACATACAAAAATGCACATAATATAAGGAATATATATTACCAATAAATACCCGTAAATCCGATGCCTCTCCGTTTTGTGGGAAAGATAGCTAACAAGAAGCTAGCCACTGTCCCAACCATAACCCCAAGATACCTAATCAAGATCACCATAATACCACCCCAATCGTCGCCGTCGTTGTTCTCCGGGAGCAAACACCTCCGAAAATCCGAACTCTCTACGGCTAACGCCAAGAACACGACCACCGACACGAAAGCATGCAAGAAATCAACAAAACTCAGTTTGTATCTCCGTTTCTTGTCGGCCGTTAAGCCGGATTCAGGATCGTAACCATGCTCGTGGTCGTCGAGATAGTCGCTGAGGATGTAGAGGCCTTTAGCAGTGGCAACTCCATAGTAAATGCGGCCGTCTTCTCCTACGAAAGAGTCGGTGAAGGAAGAGAAGAAGCAAGCGGCGGCGCAAAAGGAGATGAGGGAAATGGTGAGGAGCTTGTTGAAGGGTTTATCGGTGCACGCGCCGCCATTGGAGAAAGATGGGATTAGGGTTTCGAACATGAGAGCAGTTCCGGTCGGCAAGAGTTTTGCGAAGTTTCCGGCCATAGGTAGAGATCTAGCGAACGCCGCCTCCATATGTCTCGTACTTTTAGTAGCTGCCTAGGGAGAGGGAAAACGTTTTTTGTATGTTTATATGGAGAAAATAGTGTTTTGTATGTCCTTCAATTCTCTATGTAATGCATGCGTGTGGATACGTTTGGTGCATCTTTATAAACGTTTCTTAAAGGAATGGAGTTTTTTGTTTGGTATCCCAAAATGTAATACATATACACACATTTGATTAAAATTTTTTTGGAAAAATTATTATAAGCTTTTAGTGAATGATGATTACGATGCATGGTCTACGATTATATTTTTGATTTTCTCATAACTAATCTCCACAATTATATTTTCTGCAGATATACAGTATATAAAAGGGAATAAAACAATTATCTAACGTATCTCCACGATTTATTTTTTCTAGATATTTTTTAAAAATGTATAATGTACGTTCTGTTATATATTGGCTATCGACTTTTGTTGGGATTGAAAAACAGACAAATGATGACACGATCATATTACGTCACACGCATCTTAACTCGTGACTGAAATCTTCTTATTTATTTATTTTTTGGGTAAAGATGCATGTTTTAAAATCATAAATCGTCACAAACAAACGTTCGCATGTTTGTTGAAAAAAACAAAAAAAAAAAAGAGAAGCGTTCGCATGTTTTGATCAATCAATCTGCCAACAAAGAAAAGAATCTACGTATGAAAAATAAAACGTACTAATTGGACAATGTGCATGTTCTATGAAATTGAGTCCATTAAGCTATATCTTGCTCGGTTGTACCTAACTCTTTTCGGTGACTCAGTCTTATAAAATATTTGTACGTGAATCTGAAATTAAAAGTAATTAACTAAATATATACACACTGAAAATACGGTCTTCACAAGACACTGACATGTTTGCAAGAGCTCCGTGGACCTTGAGGGATAGGCCAGTAAAACCATCACAAAAGATGCAAGAGATGGAGTGGACTGTTGTTAATAGTCGCGGAAGACGTGGTTGTGGAGGACGAAGTGTTAACAAGTGATTTCTCATGGAATATCTTCACCTGTTATTCTCTTTCTCTTTAAGTTCTATGTTCTTTTTTGTTATTGCAGCTAGACTAAGTGTAGTTTTAACCTCTTATCTAAGCTACTCTATCATCTGTGTATATGACCCAAAAAGGTCATATGTTTGTATTAATTACCTTGCATTAATATTTTATTTAAATACCCTTTATTAAAATAAGATTGATAAAATACGGTCACATGCTAGTGCCTAGTAGGCATAACCTCAGGCAGACTCAGGGCCGTGCCTCATGTAAAATATATATAAACAAAAACATTAGCATGCGTCCTCAAATTTATTAAAAAAATAACTTAGGAACCATATCTTAGGTATCCTGTGTTTTTGGGCTTGGTTTAGCAGGCTCTCAATACATCTTCAAGTCACAAGAGTAAAAAAAATGAAAATAGTTATGAAAAATAAACAGAAACTGAAACATAAAAAAATTAGGTGAACAATTTTCTCCGTTTATTTTTATTGCCGTTCGCTTTTTCTTACAGTTCACCAAGTCATCTATTATATTAAACAGAAGCATATTTAGTACTTGCTTCCAAACATTCCTAATTTTTTTTAAAGTGTTTCAAAATAATTTAAATAATTATTTATATTTAATTTCGAAAATTAGTTATTAATTTAAATATTTTTAGAGTTCCTTAAATATAGGTAATTTATATTTGATTTGATTTGATTAAAAATAATAAATCAGATATTAATTTAGATTTGATTTAAAGATTCTAATTTAAATAATTTTTATACTATTAAACATTTTTATCAAAAATATCTAGAATTTTTTTAAAAAAAATTCACATATGAAAAATAATGGTCATATTTGAAATATAAAATATTTATAATGATGTAAATGATATGATATTTATGTTGCTTATATAATATATTTACGATTATGATTTATTTACAAATTAATAAGAAAATAATAAGTAAAATTCAAATGTATAATTTAAATATTAAAAATATATTTTTTAAATTCATAGAACTAAAAATATATATAAAAACCGGGTTAAAAATATTTTGGTAACTAAAATCACTAATTTTGAATTATACATGTATATCGAAAATATATTTTCTATACAAAATCAAAACATAAAAAATTAAAAATTATTACATACACTATAATGTAGTTTGAAAAAACAGTTGTACACTCCCTTCGTTGATTAAATTTTAGAAAACTATAATGCTAAATAATACTGTTAATACATCTCAAACTTTTAACAAATAATTATATTATACGGTAATATGAACGAAAAAGTTAGAATTATGTTTTTATAATAGTTCATTATGAATTAATATTAGTGGATGGGTTAAAATTATATTTTTATAATTATAATTAATTTTAATACTATAAAAATATATCTAAACACAAAAATCAATATTTTCACTTATTAAAAAATATATTTATAAAAATAATTATATCTAAACTCAAAAACACAAATTATATTATAAAATTCGTTAAACAATAAAAAATATTCCCGTGCGGATGCACGAGGTTAGAATCTAGTTAGAAATAAATTTGATACTTTTATTTATTCTTCTTCTCTGCTTTTATTTCGTTTTTAATCATCCAAATTGCCGTTTTGCCTGAAACTACAACCACAAATATTATCACATTATGTTCTGGATTTATAAATGTCACCGAACAACACAAGAAGGCAGCCGTTTTGGAGGAAATATAAATATTAAAAAAATTCGAAATAAGGTTCATCACAAATTGTTATTCTTGGTAAGCACATCGGAAACTTAACTTTGTGCTTTTCATCTTCAAGAACAAAAAATGGAAAATGGCTAATCATGAAACCTAATTCAGAGAATTATCAATATTAAAACCCATTAACATTGTTATATAGTTTTTCAGTCAAGAAATAACTCCAGTGGTTGGTTACCAAGTAGCAATCTGGATAGTTTGCAAAGGTTTTTTTTTTTTGGTTAAAACGTTTTACATTGAGGTTTAGTCTGCGAAGTTAATGAGATGTAATCAGTTGTATGCAATCATTCTATCTGAATGTTGGAATCTCTGATAATCTAATTTCATCGATAATCAAGAAAATGCTTCCACACCACTGACCACACCGCTCTTTACGTTTTTTTTTTTATGTGACAAAAAATCCGCTCTTTCATTTACGTTACTAGTTACTAGTCGTTCTGTGCGTTACTAATCGCATCATTTAGTTTATTTCCTAACGGTGGACTAGAAGAACAGCATAATAATATCTTTAACTATTATATATATATATATATATATATTTAACAGAATAACTATTATATACAGTATATTGAACAAAGGTGGACCCTTATATAAACCATGTCAACCAATCCTGAATTCCTGATCGTAAATGTACTTCTCATGATTCAATAAAAATTTATCATTTATTGTCACGAAATAAGTGAACCCTAAATTTGTGGCGTCAAGCCAATTAAATTTATGGAAATCAAAGTGGGGCATCTTATTTAGTTATACAATATTTCAGAATGTATGTTAACAAAAACAAACAGTAGATATATCGATAAATAGACAAGATTGAAGCGGTCCCATCAGTTAGGTTTTGATCGGTGACGCGTAGTGAAAATGACATTCATAATCTCAATTCAAAAAATATTAATGGTGTTTTCTTGCGCTGTGCAAGACAAACGTGGTCCCTAATCCATAAAACATACCGTGAAGTGAATGGCATGAGGAGAATTGAAAATAGTATGATTTTGCGTCTAACCCTCATATATATATATATAGGCAAGTTTAATCAATCAATAATAAATTCTTCTCGATGTTAACCTGAAAGCTACCGTCGGTTACCAAAGTATTTTAGTTTCGACGAACATTAATTAATCTTATATGCCTTGACTTTGAGTGGCTTGGTCTTCCAGCTATTATAATTAAATTGCCAGTGAAGTAACTACATTTGGCATGCATGAGTAAGGCTCGGAGTGAAATTAGTTGGTGCCTTAGATAAACCAGATTTGATCATGTGAAGGCGTAGTAGTCCTTATCACATGTGCAATCGAAGTCGGAGTAATAAAAATATACTCTCTTTGTTCTTTATTAATAGATGTTAGGAGAAGAAAAATTGTTTCGAAAAGATGAATGCTTTCAATTTTCTATGCATAATTAGCTATATATTTCCTATTTTATCCTTGTTTATTTCTTTTCTATTTATGATAAAAATTTATGGGAAAATGTACAATAACTCATATCTTTATGTCTTCTTTATGTTATACATATGATAATAGAGTAAGTTTTTTATATTTCTTTTTCTTCTATGATTATGATGTAAGAGTTAAAATTAATATGTGAAAAAGCTTAAAAAATCATAAAAGAAAAAGTATTAATTAAGAGCCAAACATTTTTTTTTACCCTATTACCTTTGTATATCTCGAATCGGCGATGGAACTATATAAATGAACAAAATTCTAAAATGTTGCCAAAAAAAATCTTTTATACATGTACAAAATGACACCAGTATTAGTTTTAAAGTCCATTTTCATTACAAACAAAATCATTACCCTCAAGCTTCATTTCTAGGCCTTTTGACTTCAGATCCAAAACAATTTCTAAGAGTTGAGATCTTTACATGTGGGCCTCCACCCATTACTCATTATTGAATCTTTTTTAGTTTCATTTAATTCATATATTTCTCTCAGGCCAAATAATGAAGTTCGATTGCGTTTTGAAAGGTTTTTTATTTTTCTTTTTAGAAAAAGCAAGTTTTTGCTAATCCAGTTTTTAATTTTTTTTGCGATTTTTACGAAAAATTGTTGTTCTTTCTTTGAAAATCCTTAAAACCAGAAAAGACTTAGTTTTGAATTTTTGACTCTTTTTTTAATTCTTTAAAAATAGGTTAAAAAAAAAGGCTTTTTTTCAGAACCGAACGATACGTCAGTTTCCAGTCCCAAACTGTTAAAAAACAAAAATTATTTTTTTTTCCTTGTCTTTTGTTTTTTTTAGTCATTATCAGTATGTGAGATTTGGTTTCAT